CGGCAGAATGGACAAGGACGTCCGAGGAACTCAAGCGGGCGGTCGAGGAGCGCGCGCGCCTACTCCGGATCCGAGCCCACGTCCCCGAGATCGCTTCCGAGGAACGACTGTCGCGGCCGGTCCACGCCAAGCTCGCGGCGCGGAACTCGGACTCCAAGATCACAGCACTGCGCTTGGGCAACGGAGAGCTAACGTATGACATTGATGTCGCTCTTGACCACACGCAGGCGCATTTCCAGCGCCTCTACCACATCGAGCCTCGTGATCCGGAACGCGTCGACCGACTTCGGGACGAACTCCTCGTGCCGATCAGGGCGGCACGGACTTGCGACGACCCGCGCTCAGATCCGCTCTTTCTGCGCCGACTCTCGGAAGCGCAGATTGATCTCCTCCAGCAACCCATCACCGAGGACGAGGTCGTGGCCGCGATCGGGACGACGCACCCGGGGCGATCGCCGGGCCCGTCGGGCGTGCCTTACGAACTCTATCAGACCGCACCGGAGGCGTGGTCCAAGGTGCTGACCAAGGCCTACAACGCGATGATCGAGCGCGGTTCACTCTCTCCCAAGCAGGGCCAGGGACTCGTGCGCCTCATCTTCAAGCGCCACAAGAAGAATGCCGATCGCGCCGAACTCTCGTCGTATCGCCCCATCACCCTGCGCGAGTGCGATTACAAGATTTTTACCAAGGTCTACGTCGCCCGATTGAACCAAATTCTGCCCGATCTCCTCCCGCCGCAGCAGCACGGCTTCGTCGAGGACCGCCGATCGGCCGACGCTGCACTACACCTTCGTCTCCTGATCGAGGAACTTGGCGCGCGCAGGACCGAGTTCCCCGCGGCCGCGCTCTTGTCTCTTGACCAATCATCCGCCTACGACCTCGTCGAGCATGACTGGATCTTTGCCATCTTCGACGCTCTGGGCGCTCCTACCACCTTTCTTCGCGTGCTGAGGATGCTCTACTCGGGTGACTCGACCTCGGCGCGCTACATCATCAATGGGTTCCTGACGGCGCCGGTGCGACTGACGTGTGGGCTCGGCCAAGGGGACCCGGCGTCATCGTCGGTCTGGGACATCGTGTTTCAGCCGTTCCTGGATGCTCTACACCGTCGAAACATCGCGCTGAATCTCTCCATACCTGCACTTCATCCGTACCCACAGAGCCGCGCCATTACATCACTTGCATTTGCCGATGACGTTGTCGTCGCCGTCGCGGGCTTGGAGTCACTCAACTTGCTCGATGACCTGGCGCTCGACTGGAGGCATGCAACGAATGGCCGGCTCAACACGGACAAGACGGTCGTCCTACCGATTGGACGTCGCTGGGACTCTGGGGAACGGCCAATCGTCGTCAAGGCCGCAGGCGAGTCGCTCGAGTGGATCGGCCTCCCCTTCGACCCCAGCGGCGACACCGAACTCGCCTACGCGAATCTCATCGAACGGCTCGAGGCGACGCTGGAAGCGGTTCAGCATCGCTGGCTCACGCACCACACCCGTGCCTTTTACGTCAATCGGTACGCCATTCCCAAGATCTTGCATTTCCTTGCAGCCGACATCCCGCCGCCCGAAGTCGTCAAGAAGCTCGATGACATGCTCGTCGATTTCGTCCGTGGGGGCAAGGGCAGGACCAGCTACGGCAGAGACATTGTGTTCACCGCCAAGAACAAGGGGGGACTCGGGGTGATAAGGATGCGGGACGTTGTGGACGCGGTTGCGGCACGGCTCTGGGACGTTCTTCTCGGCGGTTCCGGCGCGATTTGGCAAGGACTTGCGCGCGCATCACTCCAGCGAGCTCAGCCCGACCTCGACCTGGCCACCGATCTCTGGCCACATCCATCCACTCCCATCCCCAACGACCTTCATCCCCGATGGCACGCCGCACTGGGCGTTCCGAAACTTCACGACGCGCAGGTCAACCCGAGGGCCTTGACCACCGCGAACTTGCTCGCGCTGCCCACCCTGCTCGGCAGCCTCCACACCCCCATCAGAGGGAGACAGACCATCGACGCGGTTCATGTACCTGACTACCTTCGTCTCCAGGGCTACCCGAAGGTGGCGGATCTCTATCGACGCGAGTTGTATGCGGGTGGGGGGTTTCACCTCTGGACGCCGCCGGCGGATGTGCTCGGCGACAACAGCGAGTACGATCGACGCGGGCTCCCGCAGCGACTGGCAATCGCGGCCTGGTACCGGTTCACTGTCAATCGACACAAGAACACCCCCTTGGCGGCGGCGGTGGCGGCGGGACGACTCAACGTGCCTCCCCGGATCGGCACCAGCGCACCGCTCGAGGCGATCATCCCCAAGCCCGTGGCCCGCTTCGCAATGGAGCAGCGCCTTCCGGACCCGGTGCTTCCACAACAGGCGAGCCAGTATACGCTGCTGAACATGGCTCGCCCCTACACAGTCCGTCGCATCCGCCGGGTCCTGAACGCGAAGGCATTTACCAACATGCTCGGGCTCAAGGGACCACCGCAGCCGGACGACCTCAGGAGCTTCTGGAAGGCAGTCAACTCGAAGGCACTGACAGCGAGGGAGAGGGAAGTTTGGTTCAAGCTGATCCTCCGCTTCACCCCGACGCGCAAGCTCCAGCACGAGCAAAAGCACGACACTTCTCCCGCGTGCCTCGTCTGCGAAGCGCCGGTGGACGACACCGATCACTACTTCTTCGGCTGCTTCGACTCGCGAAACGTCTGGATCGCGGCGAGGGGCGTGCTCTGCGACGCGCTCGGATGCGACACGATCGAGGACGCCGAGTACACGACGCTTCAACGACTCTTTGGCCTCCCCAAGCTCAAGGCCAAGCTCAGCGCACAGGAAGGCGCGGGCAGGACGATCGAGATCTTCACGGGGATGGTTTTGGAGATGATCAGCAGTGGGAGATGGAGGATGCAGAAGCACGGGACGAGGATGGAAAGCGTGGAGAGGAGGAGGGTGGTACTGGAGGAGAGGATGAAGTTGAGGGCGGGAGGAGCAAGAGGCAGGCGAGGGCAGTAGAGGCTAGGTTCGATTTCCCCCCACCCCATCCCACACTCACACACCCCACATCACACATCCTCTTACAAAAACTGTATACTAAATATATTTTCTTCATCTTTCTTTCTTTTATTACAGGTCTGCCTCCGTTGCTCATGGACCGGCTCGCGATTTGGGATTGACTCGACGGTGGCTCGCGCTCTCTGGCTTCGGGGTTCTGAGTTTAAGGGAGGGATCAGCAGACACAGGCAGAAAGTCGGCTTTGAGGGGCCAGGGACTGCTGAGGTGGAGGTTTTGAGGGGCCTCCACCGCGTCTTGTTGTGACCGAGCATAGACTTGGGATTTCGCGGGTCAGGGTAGCTGCGCAGTCGCTCTCCTGTCTTTGTCTCGACCGAGTTGGGAAGTGGGTGCGGGGTGGGCCTCTTGTCGTTAGTACGCCAGTTCTTTTTCATTTTCTCTCTCTCTCCTTCTCTCTCTCATTCGTCTCCTGGGGGGGGGCAACCGCTTGGCTGGGGCACTTGAATCCGAAGTATCGGATTGGTGGACTTGGCCCGTTTCTCGCATCTTGCGGGCGGTTTGTGTTATCATCGTCGACTTCCATCTAGTTTTTCCGTAGGCCAATCAGGGGGAACAGGAATTGGGGGCAATATGATGAACGGTTTCTACAAAAAATATAAATGCGAATCTAAAATAAAGGCAAAACCTATACAATGCTAATGGTGTCAGCGGCATGTCTGTAGCGATAGAATTGAGCGCGGTAGAGCAGCTCAAAGATTGAAGTGGAAAGCGGGATCTCCTCCGGCTGTAGTCGTCATACGCACTTCGGGCAAAGGGGATACTCATCATTGGCTCTATATCGTTGCTTTTCCAAGTTTTGAGGTTGATACATTGAGCGGTGCAATCGTCCTGCCGCCCTCAAGGATGTCGGCGCGCGATCGGCCTGCCCTCCGACAGGGGGTTTGTGGAAGAACCGCCCTCCGATCCCCGAGCATGACGTCAAAGCTCTTCCGCCTCCTCGATTTGTGGCTGACGCCCGGGTAATTGGGGCGCTTACGTGTCTTTCCTGCCTTCTTTCTCTCCCAAAAATCTGGTCTGGACGCCATATGTGAAGCGGACCCGAAGGCTGCCCCAGCAAGCAACGGCGATTCTGCCGGCTCGCGCGAGTGGAGAGAGTGCAAAACACGATGTTCAACCCCCGGAACTCAATCTCCACGCCGGATAAATATCCACCGAGACCGTTTGGTTGTGGTTTCAAGACCGCCGACACGATTAACGGTTCGGCAGGTGACTGAAACGCACACGCCTATCGGCGTTGCCCGACGAGCAACTTGGGAGCTCGTCAGGGGGGTAGGGGGGTAGGGGGAAGGGGGGAAGGGGGGAAGGGGGGAAGGGGGGAAGGGGGGAAGGGGGGAAGGGGGGAAGGGGGGAAGGGGGGAAGGGGGGAAGGGGAATGCTGCGCGCCACAGCTGTTCCCCACCCCTTGCTGGCTGACCGTGTGAGTTGCCAAACTGACAACTATGAGAGAGGGATGTCAGCCGTTTCTTTGAACTTCAATGCGGAAATGGCGATTTGCAAGCTGAACAAAGGGGAGTATTCGACAGGTCCGCTCGCCCGCCGCGAAGAGGAGCCGGCATGGGGTTATCACACCGATCCCTGTGCCATCTTAGCCGGCGCGCGAGGGGCCGTGTTGCACCGCTCAGATGAGTCAAGGTTCCGATCAGTCATCTACGTTCCGAACAAATCGGTCAGCTGATCGAACATTTAGTCGAATAGTCCAAGTCTCAGCCTTTCTCAGAATTGCTCCCCCTCTTTTTTTCCCATGGGATGTCACAAACCGCCTCCTCGAAGTCGATCAGATCATCAATCCAATGATCATGTGACCGTTCGACCCCACAAGTAATCCACGGAGCCTCGCTAGGCAATATAATCGCCCGTCCGGTCCCGCGAAAACTTCTTTCCTTCATCTTCATCACCTCCACTTTTCCTGGCTGTTCCCCAATCACATCCCAAACACGCAACATCAAGATGCGATTCTCCCTCATTGTCCTTGCTACGCTACTAGTCGGCTTCACCGCGGCGGCGCCTGTCCTCCAAAGTGACATGTGAGCGCTTCCTTGGTAACTTCCTTCATCGACAAGCAAAAATGCTCAACTGGATTCCTATGGCCATTCTACAGCTTCAAAGGCACTCAGAAAGCCGAAAGAGGACACAAGCTTGTCCCTCATGTCACGGTGCGGTACGTCTCGAGGCCCCCTGCCCCTTGCCACCCCCTCGCTCCCGGACGTTCGGCGCCAGGTATGATAATATAGGTCGAGTCCATCTGTTCACAGTGAATGCAAGCATAAATGCGAGCTCGAATACGGAAAATATCACATGTAAGCCACCTGGCGCTCCTGAGATATCTGCTTTGCGATAAGCATTCGCCTGCGTGATCTGACTCGTCGCTTTCCTACTTCGCCTTGCAGTGGACCCTATGAGCTCATCGCCTGCGAGAAAAACTGCCACTAGTCTGACCCGATCTAGAGACAGACGCAGAAGAACGCTACTTCATCTCGATCCCGACCGGGTCGTTCAGCGCTGGTCTGTCATCAGTTGCCATTTTGCCACAGTCAGAGTTTTCGTTCGGGCATATTTCGGTCGGGCACAAGACAAGGTTCAAACTTTTAGCCGTCGTTGGTCCGTTATCTCTTTTGTTTGCCTTCATTCTGTCTCTTTGCAATGAGTTTTACTTGACAAACATTCAAGGAGTAGATGAACGGGTGTTTGACTAGTATCCGCGAGTGTCTTCCTTTTCCTCGATTGACCTCCGCCGCCTGAGTATCGGCCACTAGACAGCGCTGCAGGCAACCTTTGCAGTCTATCCCAACATGGTGGACAAAATGGACCAAGTACATTACAACACTCTAAAACGCTTTACCACATCAGTAACACATTAAGATATTACGGTGTCTTCTGAAGAGAGATAAATTAGATGGACCTAGAAGACAGGCTGAGGACACGCGACGGCGACCAAGGTTCTCGGCGCTGTGCGACCCGTCGCCTTGTAGAAGAACTGTGATAGCTGCAGTACTTTTTCTTGGTCGGATGCCGAGTTACAATTGGGATAGTAGATGCTGTAAGGCTCGTTGTGGGTGACGTAGTTGCAGCATTGCGCATCGTGGGCGAACATATTCCAGACGAGAGCCCCGAGCGTAGGCTGCTTCCGTGCTTGCGCCAAGAAGCTGCTCAAGCTGTCACCACCATTGCTGTCCGTCCAGTCGAATTCTGATGAGGCGGAGGGAAAATTTTCAAGGTGAGGACGTGCCATTAGAAGCGAGCCCGCGCTGAGCCTTTAGGGACTCACCACCGAGGAGGAAGTTCTTGCCAAACCCCTGTGCGATCGAGATCTCCTTTTTGATGATCCCCCAGTTGCGCGGATAGACGTGATCGGTAACGATGTCGACGATGCTGAGTTTTCCACCTTGGGGGATCGCACCCGTGGTGTAGTTCCAGAGACCATCGGTGCCGTCGATCACAAGGGTGTTGGGTGCGAGGCCTTTGATGACTACGGGCAACAGAGAAACGGAAAGGCATGATCAGGACTGGCAAGGTAAAACGCTTATGCCAGGGTACCGGAATACTCACGACCAGCAGCCTTGCCCGTCCAAGCTTGGGGAGGGTAGCCCTCGCGACCGAAATACGCGCCGAGCTCATTCCCTGTCACGGATAGAATCCTCCGGGTCAGTTCCGTAATTCGACTACAAGCCAACCTTGCACTTTGACAAGCACTCACCCGTCTCCCAAGCCAAAATCGTCGGGTCGTTCTTGTACTGCACTCGGGAGTACTTGTTCCTTCGATTCATCACCGTGCGAACATACCCCATGTACGCGCTCCACGCTTGCGAATTCGTGAAGAATTGGGCTCCGTATTGACCCGACGACAGGTTCTTCCAGCGCAGAAAGGTGTACTTGCCACCGTGATAGTAGTCGTAGCTGATGGTGTAGAAGTATGCCATGCCAGTAATAAATCGAAATTCTTCGCTTTTAATGAATGCGCAGGGCCACTTTGGAAGAGGACTCACTTGTCGGTCAAAGGAAGGACGACGCGGAGTCCGTACTCGCGTGCGGCAAAGAGCACATAGTCGTGAATGTCCCAGTAGATCTCGTCTGCAAAGTTAGTTGCAATGGGCTGCAACAGAGTTGGCGAGCCGAGACTGGTTGCGCACGTTGTCAAGCGAACGGTGTTGGCGCCGAAGGCAACCGCGGCAGCTCTGTCAAAGATTGTAAGTGTCGATCAGCTTTTCAGGCATCTCTCTTCGTTAGCACCCCAACCATCGAGAGGCATCGACTTACAAAGCCTCGCGCACTCGGCCTTTGTCGGTCGGCAAGCCCTTGGGCAGTCCGACATTTTCGTCATTGCAGAGCCAGTAGATGTTGGTCCCAACGATGCGGAAATTACCTCCGTTGACCTTCAACGCCTGCCCCGAGCGCTGCACGAACGTCGTCGGCTTCGGCAACGTCCCCGTACCTTTGATCGTCGTTCGGGACCCGCTGTAGACGGGAGCGCACCCTCGTTTAACAGGTGCGGTGATGAGAGGGTTATGGACTACAGCGTCTCTCTCGCCCCCCGAAGAGCTGCCGAAACGAATTGCGGTGCGCGAAGCTGGGATCTCGTTCGTCGCTTCCGACAGGGGCGCCGATGGCTCATCCAAGATATCGGCTACATTCGTCACGTCGTCGTCTGATCTTCGGAGGATGTCGACTCCTTGTGCTTTGAGAGCGGCCTTGGCGACTTGCAGTTGAGCTTCGATCGCGGGTGCCCGAAAACGTTTTGGGACGGAGAGGTCCCAGGCGGCAAAGCCTTGCGCGGCGACGCTCGAGACCGCCAAGGCGAGGTTGAGGGCTATCGTCCAGCGCATGGTCGTTCAAGCTTGGGATTTACTTCGAGAAGGGGGGAGGGGGCAAGGCCAGTGGAGCGCTTTTGGATTAGTTTGCTTTGTCATAGATAACGGTGCCAAAGACCAGCAGTCCGACCGCCTGTGGCCAACTGGGTTGAAGCCTGGTACAAAAACTCCGCAAGCCGGATTCCGATGCCGCGAATTGTCGGGCTCGGACGAGCGTGCGATCGGTTGGCGATACGACCGGCACTCACTCACACGTTTCGGGCACTCCGAAGGGCTGCAGGCTCAGGAAAACTACAGTCGCAACGTTTTGAAAAGTATGTGGCAGGAATTCAAGGTGGAGACAAACGAAGCGAGGGTTTCATGCATGCATGCATCTGGATCCTCGGCAAGCGAACGGCATCTTTTTCAATCCCCCGCATGTTTACTCTACGAATGGAGCTCACACGCGTGAAACGCTCGACGTCTCGAGCGATCGTGCCTTGCGCCTTCCAGGCCTTCACATCCCCTGGGCCCCAGCCTGATGAGGCTCGGAGCCCGCCAACCTATTCTCGCGCGCCGAGCGCCTTCAGGCCCTGCTGGAAGGCGCGCCGAGTCGCCGGCCGCCTACTCGACTCCAGAGTCAATCATTTTTTTTTTCGAAGCTGCCCAGCAAGGCACCGGTTCGGCTTCGTCGCCGATCTCGCCCATCCATCGTCTCTTTAAACGGCTGGCTCAGTCTGACCACGGTCGCGGTTGCGCGGTCGTCCTATCTCCGCCACTATGAGTAACCTGACATTGCAGTGAACTGGGTTATCTGTCGAGGTATTGGAAATATTAGACATGGGACATGGTTTTCGGGGTCTGGTAGGGGTGTTAGCCACAGCTAATGTGCCAAGGGTTGGGCGGCATTTGCCTCTTGGCTCGGAGCGATCCTCTTCGTCCACGTGCGGGCGCCGGAGGTACGCGGCTTGGGCATTGAACACCAAGTATGAATGAATCGATGAAATACTGCCAAAGCACAAGCATAACTATTGCACACCGGAAAAAAAAAAGTGAAGGCTTCGTGACAAAAGTACAAAAATTTGGTCGTTATTAGGAGAAAGAAGTGAGGAACTCGGACGTGGCAGCAAACATAGGAGGTAGTGATCATTCGTCAAAGAGGCCACGACAAGGTGGGGTATTATGAGAGGGTAGCTCAGGACGGGTGTTGTTTCAAGGAAGGGGATGGGGCATTGCTCGGGGATGACGAGGTTTCGAGCCTCGATTCCGGATTCGGGATCCTCAGGCGCAGGAGGAGGGCGTCGAGGCGCTGCAGAGTCGAATGAAGGGCGATAAGATCAGTCTCGGGTTCTCTTCAAGTCGAGGAGATCTCACGATACTGCACCACTCACACTCTCCAACTCATCCAATCGTCTCGTCTGCGGCGCATACATCGCCATCGTCTCCTCACTCAAATCCAAATCCCTCAACGAAGGTCCGAACAACGCCTCATGCCCCTGAGGTCGTTTCAACGATGAGGTCCTAGGCTTCCTCGTCGTAATCGATCGAGCCCCCTCGTTGACGAGGGTGAACATCGTGTCGAGGCCGAAATCGTCGTGGTAGTACAAAGCACCAGTTTGAGCTTTCGTCGGTGCGTTCGTCGACCGTGCGTCGTGCGTTGTAGGAGTTGGCGTCGCGGAGGTGAAAGGGGCTTGATTGCTCGTCGAGGCTCCGAGACTGACGACTTGCTCGATTGAAGGGGAGCCGCCTTGACCACCAGGCGAGAGTCTCACGTTCGGCCCGGATGGCGAAACGGCCCGAACGGTCGGTGTCGAACTGCCACTCACACCTCGTTGATGCTCCGCCGCCCACGAGGGCGGACGCAAGGCCGGTGAAACTCGACCTCTCAACTTGTCTTCCTTGACCTTGGCGAGTACCCGATCCAGACGTTCTTGTAACGACTCGTTGAACGCTGGACTCATCGCTCGTCGAGAACCGAACGCCCCTTGTAATACATCATCGGTCTCTTGCGTTCCCAAAGGAGAAGCGACGCGAGGACTCTGGCCCGCCGTCGCGGCTTGTCGAAGTGCCGAAGCCGCTCCAAGAGATCGGGAATTGAACGTCGGGGATCTCAACGCTGGTGAAGAGGAAACGGGTGAAGCGACGGAAGTGTCGATGCGGATGTCCGTAGTCCTTAATGCGCGCAAGGCGTTACTTTCTTCATCACCTGCTCCCGCAGCCTGGGCCGCGTTGAGTGTACTCGAGGAAGCGTTGCCGGTGGAGTAGATCGAGTCCGATTCCTTAGCCGTATGAAATGATTCCGAGTCCGTCGTCGTATGGTTCGTCGTTCTAGAAGCCTGAGAAACCGACCGATCCCCCAAACCCGGATGCAGAGAGCCAGATGGCGTCGTCGCCGCCGGCGCAGCGGGTGCGAATTCCCGATCGACGAGATCGCTGATATCGGTCGATTGACCATTCGGACCAATGAAGGAATATCGCACTCGACCGCCGTCCGCACGAATGCTGCGGATCGTGCCTCGTTCAGGGATCGCGATATCGACACCTTGTTCGTCGTTCTGCCTTGCCGAAAGTAACGAGCGAGCTTGTTGCGTCGTTGACGAGGTTGAAACCGAGGTTGGGGAATGACCACTCGAGGAGGGGGCACGAGGATCGGAAGCGGTTTGATGTTCGGCGAAAGCGCGTTTCTGTTGTCGTTCTTCGAGCTCGTCGATCGTCACGGGAATCGGACCGACGCCGCGCGAGGCAGGGCCGCGGTAGGCAGCGCGTCGAAGGACGAATACAGGATCGGTCGGTTGCAAGTCTTGTTCGCTGCCGAGGATGAGCGTCGCGTCGACCGATCGACGACGGAACTCCCTCGAGGTACGATCGTACGATTTAAGCAAAGGTGGGATCGGGTAGGCGTCGATGAGCTTGCTCGACGAGTGCAACAACGTTTCTGTAGGCAGTCGGCACCAATGATGTTAGGAAACCCTGCCTTACGGCTCTCCGAATCGTACGGCCATCCAAAAGTACTGACCGTGCCCATCCTTCTCCACGGCCAAAGCATACTTGACGCGCGACACGCTCCTCCTCTTGGACACCCGATCTTCAACTTCATCACCCCCATCCACGACCCCATCGACAATTCCAAACCGATCCAAACCCGCCTCGATCACCTCAGAGACGTTCGCATTGCGAGGGAAGAAGACGATGCGTTCCCTTTCGTCGGGAGAGATGGGCTCGACACCTAGACCGATATTGCGACGATCGGATAGGACGGAGCGAGGTATGATCGCGTTGCTTTGGGGGTCGAAGACGACGGTTTCGGGTAGGTCTTGAGGGTGGATCGTGATGCGTGCGGCGAAGCGGAAACTCGGGCTGGCTGAAGCTGTCAGATCGACGGAGAGCAAACCCGCCTTGGTTTCCGGACGATCCGAGGAAGGCGAGAGCACAGCCGTCGTCGAGGACCCATCCTTATCGATCGGGCTCGTCGTCGATGATGCTTCAAGTTTAGCCAATGTCCCATGTAGCGACGCGTCCCTCGTCCTCGGTCGTCGTCGATTGAGGTAAAACTTGACCGCCGAATCGTCGCTCCAATCATTCATCCCCAACCTCGTAATCGCCGGATTCAACGACAAGTTGCTCTGAATGGAGGTGATCGACCCAATCGACGATCTCTTGACGGAAGGGACGATGAAGCCCTGTTCGGCGGCTTCGGACATGGTTTCAAACACCGTCAAAGGTCGAACTTGTTCACCGATCACGCGTTCTTCACCACCCAATTCTCGGACGGTGAGGTAGTATTCGTCGATCTCGGCGTCGCCGGTAAGACGGAACCTCTGCATCGCTTGTTTGACGAGGTCGTGCGTTGTCGTCGCTCGATTCAACAGGACGGTCTTGAACGTCGCTTCGGAATCGACGTGATCGCCGGCGAAAATGCGCAACACGCTCAACAACGGCACGTCCAACCCAGGGATACTCGGCGACCCCAACAGACTTCCCGGCCGCATTCGAACAGCCGTCGCCGAAATGGACTGTTGACTCCCTTGAGGCGCAAGTGCGACCGAACCGGGTCCAGCACGAGGCGTCATCGTATTTGACACGTCCCCCGGCGCTCGTTGCACGCCGTACTGGTGATACATCGCCTGCTTGGCCTCGACCTGTTGTTGTCGCAATGCGGCGTCGGTCGAGAACAACGTATCAACCGTTTGGGATTCGCGACGGCTCGGATCCTTAGTCCTCGAACCCGACGACGTTCCGGATCCAGTTTGAACGGGCGAAGCGATACGATTCGATTCCTCCGAACTCCTCGCGCCTCCACCACCGCTGACGATCCCATGTCCTTCATCCGAAGCATTAAGACTCCCCAAGGACGAATTCTTCTTCTTCTTATCCTTCTTCCTGAACAAGCCCAGGATCCCACCCGATTTTCTCTTCTTGCCTCCATTCGCCTCCTCATTCCCACCACCACCACCATCAACCGAATCCCTCCCTGCACTTCCCGCACTCCCACTGATCTTGACTTTGCCCTTCCCACTCCCAGTTTCCGAAACGATCGAATTGGGCGTGTATGAGCGACCATTCTCCTCGGCCAAATGGCCCGCACCCGAAGTAGCATACGAACTGATCGTATCCATCGAGTTCAACGAAACGTCCCCTTGACCTAAACTACCCTTCGCTACGAACCCTTCATTGGGTGATTGAGGACGAGGGGAAGTGTCGACCGAATTCGAGCGAAGCGCGTTCTCTTGATGGAGGCGTTTGGCGGGTCCGATGAGTCGATCGTAGCGTGGGTCATTGACGTTGACGACTTCGACGCCGCGAACTCGAACGGGCGAGATTTGTACCCCTCCGTTCGGTGACGAGACACCAGTAGTACCATTCTTGGATCCCTCCACTTCGACCACCGGGGTACTTTGAGATCGGGAGGTCGAAGACGTCGTACGTGGTTGTGAAACGAACGTATTCGAGATCCCCCTCGGTTTTTGCAAGTCCCCGAACGGATCGTTGATATCAAAGTTCGGATCCCTGACGATAGGTGGAGTAGCGGAAACTTTTTTCGTCGGCGCATCGGGTTCGAAAACGTCGAGGTTCACGGCCCGACCTTTGATGGAACCGGATTCGTTACCTGAGGAGGTCGAGGTCGCGGCGGACGGTCTTCGGGAAGTGACGAAAGGATCTGTTTCGTTCGTCGTATCTTCGAGTGGAGCGAGGGATGGGTGAGGCGATGACTCGCGCGTCGAATCCCACGTCGTTGTCGGAGCGACAAGAGGCGAAAGGTTACCCCCGTCCTTTGACGCGAGTGCATCCTGATTGAGCGAACCATCCGGCGAACGAAGTTGGTACAAATTCATGCCCGGTTCGATGTTGCCCAGATCCGAAGCGCTGTACCTCTTCTTCACCGTCAGAGTCTTGTCCTCTGAAAGGGGAGCATCCTCGATCGTGCCGACCTCTCCAACATGCCCATGCGATTCCTGATGATGAACGGTCTGATGAACGTTGTGCGCTTCCCTCGCTACACCTCCTCCATTCGTAGCGACGATCGGAGCCTGCACGGATTGCAGCTGACTTTGCTCATGATGATCATCAGAGAATTCGGACGTTTCTTCCTCCTCGTCTTCGTCCTCGTCATGGTCCTCAAAGACTTGATCACCCATGAGTTCACCCTCGTCGTCATCCCGATTCCGTCGTCGTCTTCGATGATGATGATGATGTGGTTGTTGACCGTGTTCGCCGTCCTGACTCATTTCGTCATCCTCTTCTTCATAATCCTGTTCCCCACTGCCCGTTTCTTCCCCATCTTCTTCATCATAGGTGTCGCTATCCCCATTCGCCGAATGTTCATAATACGTCGGCGCCGTGAACCCGACGGTCTTGGCTTTGGAAGAATGACTCCGTTCGATCCGCATTCTACCCGCATCGGAAGTCGAAGAAGGAGGGGAGATGTTGCAGGGATGATCCTTGTGAGAAGGGGAGGCGATGACGCCTTTGGCGGAAGGGTGTTGGGACATGTGGGGGTGGGGTTGTTGCGAGGGGGGGATACGGGTTTGGAAGCGCGTTTGGGCCATCGTCGATCGAGGTCCACTCAGTACGTCTTGTTGAGTCGCCGTGGTGAGCTAAGAGGTACCCTTTTCGGGGGGCTGAATGAGCTCTCTCTCTCTTGATCTCTTTTTTGAGAGCAATCGATCGGCAGCGATCTTTGACTCACATCGACGTTGAGATGCTTGTTCAACCTCGCTAACCTTTCCCAAGGCGTTTCGATATTCTCCGCTGGGATATAGCCGACCGCCTGAGTTTTGAGTACCCTGACCAACCACCAATACGAATTCGAGTCGTCCAACAACAACAACTTGTCCCCCTTGACGACCGAGGCTTGTCCATCCACGGTCGCGAGGAAGGTGTGGAGAGCGTAGACGAGCGTAAAGTCGATATCCTCGTCGGGGATCGAAGGCGAAGACGAGAGCGAATCGGAGAACGAACCCGAGTCTTCGTCGAGGTCTTCTTCGTCGTGGTCTGGGCCGTCGTCGTCGCCGTGGTGATCTTGGCCGTCCTCGTCGACGTAGTGCAGTTGGATCTGCCCCTGCTGCCCCTGCTGCTGCGCCTGCTGTTGCCGTGACCTCGAGTGATGGTGATGATGCGCGCCGCCGTGTTCATCGAGCATCAGATCCTCTTCCTGTTCATACGCAGTGCCGTACCCATTCACGCGACCGTTGCCAGCGTGATCGTGATCGTCCATGATCTGTCTCGCAATATCCTGTGCCCTATCATAATCCTGTTGTTGTTGTTGTTGCAAAGCGCGAGAAGCCATGATGATATCCTTCGCTTTGGGTTTGGGTTTGACAGGTTTGTGCAAAGCCTGAACGGAGATGGTCAGTGCGGGACCTCGTTTCGTTGAAGGGGGGGAGGAGATGATGCTCGTCGAAGAGGTAGGAGCAACACCAGCTTTATTGGAGGTGGAGGTGGATGTGGTGGTGGCGAAGGATGAGCTCATGCGGGCTGGACTGGGTGAATACGGATGAGCTCGTAGCAGCTCGTAGCAGCTCGTTGTCGTTTGAGGTTGGGGTTGGCAGCTACGGGATACGCGGCTCGCTCGGTGGCGCGGCGGCGCGGCGGCGTCCAAACGCGTTCGTCTCTCCGTCTCGTTTACCGTAGCGCGCAAAGAAGCAGCCGCTTGCTGTTGGGGTCATATCGTGGAATCAGTCAGCCAACCTGAACGAGTTGGGAGAGACAACTGACGTACAAGATCGTCGACCTGATCGCGTGCTCGATCGTCCAGCGGGAACGCGCGGGGTAGAGGGCGTGGGCGAGGGCGTGGGCGAGTGTGAATGTGAATGGGTGTGACCGCACTCGAGAGACCGCACTCGGACCAGACGTAACGTAACCGTAACAACGGTCGAGCGAGTCGGCGAGCAAGATCCGACCCGTCTCGAGTGGGTCGTGTGGTTGGAAAGAAGAAAAAAAGAACCCCTTTCACACAGAGGCGGTAGGTGGAGTGGGAGGGGGGGGGGGGGTTGTTCGAGGAAGAGGGAGATGAACCGAACTCGCTTTCGAACTGGACGAGGTCCGTCCTCAACGAGCGGAACACACACACGCCTAGGAACACGCTCACACACACGCTCACACACACGCTCACACACACGCTCACACACACGCTCACACAGAACACACGCGACTTTGTGAGCGCGACTGTGAGCGCGACTTTGTGGGCGCGTGGTGCGCAATTCCAACCTTATTACGTCCTCAGGCTAATCACCCCCCCGAGTCCAATTCTAATGCGCTTTTCGCCCTCAGCCAAGCCCGTCCGCACGCACCCCTGCCCTCTCGCTCCTCCTCCTGCCTGCGCTCCGTCTTCAAGTTCACCGCATCGCCAACCCCCCCCCCCCTCTCTCTCGCCCTCCGACCAGAATGCCACCGCTCCCACTCTCCCACTTGCTAACCCACTCCATAGCTACGTCCCCAGCTGTGGTGCGACGTACGACCCGTCTTTTCTCGAGCTCGTTCGCTCTCCGCGACGACGCTTCCGCCACGACCGAGCAGGAGCAGAAGCAGGAGCAGGAGCAGTCGACCACAACTTCAACTCCCACACCCGTCGAGGAAGACTCTTCCCCGTCCTCCTCTTCCGGAGTAGGGGGAGGTGGAGGTGGAGGACGTGGGTTCAGAGCGTGGTTGCGAGGTGATGGGGCGCAGTACCGTCGTGGGATCAAAGGCGCTACGAATTGGATCGGCGAAACCGTACGTCCCCCCTTCCCAACACCACATCCTCGTACGAATTGACCTACATTTCTTCAAAAATTTCTCTCTCACTCAATTTACTTTCCCAACCTCTGCCCCCAACAGCCCTTCCCGCTCAACCCAACTTTCAAACCTTTACCGCCCGTAAGCGAACTCATCAAAACCAAAGTCTACCACGCCTACCTAGGTAACCTACAAACCAACTCCCCCAACACTACCACCCCTTCGGACCTCGTCGTCGTTCGAGCGATCTCTTCCAAGTTCGGTCTTTCGATGGCGCGCGTGAGGGCGATCATCAGGTTGAAAGAGTTGGAACAAGAATGGAAGAAACGCGGTTTACCGCTCCAAACGAATTTGAGACAAGGGATGGAATCTTTTCTCGGCGTCAAAACTCCGACCGAACAAAGTGGTTCGAATTGGAGGGGGATCGAACGCGCCGAACAAGGTCAACGAGTTGAACAGATTCGAACGGAGGGCAAGGCCGGTTGGGAGATGGTCGACTCTGAGAATGGCGAGCGGTCCGTCTTTTTACCGCTCTTACAACATCTTTCTACAACATCCACTACTACCGTCCAAGGAGAGGACGTTGCAGCAGAGCAGGCACCCAAGAAACCCGTTGCACAAATCAAGATCGTTCAACCGACTCGACCGGGACGACCGAGGTTCTCGTTCGAGAACGTCGAGGGTACCGAGAGGGGAAACACGTTCGCGAGAACTTATAATCCCAAAAAGACCAAGAGGGGGAATAGAAAGAGGCTTGTTGGAAGCGATGATGTGTAATTTGAAAAATAAGGGACTTGGGTCTCCAGCCCACCGGGAGAGATACGATTCGTGCACCGATCGATCCTTTCTTCAACACTTCATGCATTCATTCCACTCACAAACGCAAGCCTCAAGATCTTCTAAACATGAACACCCCAACACCCCTCTCTCTACCTTTCCCCATCTACAGCGCCTTCAAACCCTGCACCGTCGTCTCCGCTTCGACCACGCTCAAAGCCTGCTGCACCTCCAAATGACCCCTCGCCGCCTTCAACCAATCCCTCGCCAAAGCTTTCGGCCAACCTTGTAAAGAGTTGACCTCCCTCGTTGCTTGATCCAAATCCTTGTTCAACAGATGGAACTTGGCTCGAGCGATAACGCTCACCACGTCCGAGCCTTCCGCCCAACCTTGTTTCTCAAAGAGGAGGTAAGAAAGCAGGTAGGATTGAACGTAAGAGAGCACACCGGCATGTTCGGGAAGGAGGGAGACCTTCTTCAATTGGGGGGCGACGGAGTTGGTGAAGCGTGATGCGAGGCAAGGGAACGACGCCACGCCGGAGAAAGCGATCGATTCGTCGATGGTCGAAAGAGCCACGTCGAGGATCGGCGCTTGGTCAGCCGATTCTTTAGCGAGCTTTTCGAGCGCGTTCAGTTCGTTCACGAACGGTCGACCGGATTCGATCGCGTGTTCGACGGCTTTGACCGCCGTTTGCAACTTGCGCGCTTTTTGGGCCATCGTCATCGACTCGACGTTGCCCTGCGTCACCTTTTCCAACTTGCGAATTCCACCCTCCAATTGATCCAATTTGGCCAATCGCCCACCACGTTCCTCTTCGACCTTGAGTTTGATCTCGTCGACCCAACGACGTTGCAATTCAACGCCTTGAGCGATGACCTCTTCCTTGAGTCGTTGATCGATCAACGCCTGTTGCGTTTCGAGTTCGTTCTGCAACTTGGTCTTGTACGCCTCGACCAACTTCTTCCTCTCGTCCTCGAAAGCCTTCTTCCAATCCTCCTCTTGATGATCCAAACGATCTACCAAGTCCTTCTCCGCCTTGACCAAAAGGTTCGAGTATTCCTTCGCCTGACGATCCAAACTCGTCGATAAAGTGGCTTCGCCCTCGTGCTTGATCGCTTGCAACCTCGCCGCCAAAGTTTTGAGATCGTTCTGCGCACCCTTCAACACCCCCGTCGCAGCGGAGGCTTTACCTTCGTCCGAATTCTCGACGAATTGGGCCAACGCATCGATCGTAGAAGCGAGTTGACCGAGCATCGGTTCCGAAGCGGCCTGCTCGTCCGATTTGATGACGGGCGCGACGAGCGGTAGAGGTTGAGGAGGCGTAGGAACCGGTTTGAGCTGATCGCTCGGCGTCGCGGGTGCACGAGGTTTTTGGTACCCGGGCGCGGGCTCGAACCCAAGAGGCAAAGGTGGACCATCGTAAGGCGTTCCAACGGGCGCTTTCTTGGGTGGGATCGGCGTCGCGTCCAATTGGCGTGGTCGTTGAGCAAACACGGGCAAAGTCGATTCAGGTTCCTCAACCTTGGGCACGATCTTTTGAACCGCACTCGAAGCCTTATCGAGAACTTCGCCAACCTTGACCTTGACCTGTTCGACCTTTGCTCCGAGCTCGGTTTCGACTTGTTGCGCCAACCCTTGAGCTTCTTTCGCCTTTTCCACCGCGCGGTCTTTCGCTTTTCGAGTCGCGTCCGAAACGGATTGAGCGACCTGATCCGCTTTCGCCTTGATTTCCTCTCGCGCCTTGATCGGATCGGCCTTGTCACCTTTCTTCAATTGCCATCCCTCGGCCTTGGCCTTTGATTCGGCGTAACGCGTCAATTCGGTCTCCTTCTTCGCTACAGAGCCAGCAGCAGTAGGTGTAGTCGCAGCAGTCGAAGAAGTAGAAGTAGTAGACTTTGTCGTCAAAGGACCCGAAGCGGTCGGTTTCGAAAGAGCTTGATCGACTTTGGCGCTTCCGTCGGTAAGGGAGGCGTGATGACGATCTAGTTCGTACTTGTCCAAAGCGTCACCTATCAATTCACCCCCCGGTACGGACTCGACGAGGAAATCACGATATCGGAGTGAAGTGTAACCTAGCGGGATCGAAACGCCGTAAAAAGTGATGGCGAGTAGGGCGAGTGGGGTCAGCACCTTTCGGGTCAGTGAACGACGGGCGACGATCGGTGTCGAAAGTGGTGGCACCGAGGTTGAGTTGGGCGGGATCGGTAGAACGTTCGATTTGGAGGGAGTAGTAGTAGTAGTAGAAGTAGCGTAGGTCTGTGGTTTTTGAGTTCGAGGTCGGTGTTGGGGTTGGTACGATTTTCAAGGTTTCAAGGTTGGTGCCGGCGGGGTTGCAAGTTGTAGGATTATCGCGCCGAGTTGCCACGGGAAGGGGTCAAGGCGGATATGGGGGTGGAGAGCAAGGGAGCATCAGCACATACACTAGTAATTTCAGATAGTTTTTGGATAGTACTGACCCTCTTGATCAGCGCCTGACGCATCGTCGTGGACGGCAATCGCGAGGCCGCGCTCGACAGGCCGGTACGACCCGTCATCGCCGTGGTGCGCAACATCGAGAGACGAAACAGGAGGAAACGAAGAAGGGGGGAGAGGACGGGAGTCGACTCTGGGGTGAAAAAGGGCGAACGAATGACGTAGAGGTGGAGGATGAGCGCAGGAACGAAGGAGAAACGAGGAGGCCGACTGGGCCGGCGGAGCGACTCCCCGCGCCTGGCAACGTTTGCCCACGTATTACTATGTCGTACTTATTGTCTGATGGCGCCCGGACGTCTCTCGCTCGGGCCGTCGACGGGGTCGGGTTTCTCATTTTCCTTCTTCTTCTTCTTCCACTTGATCTCGAAGCTTTCTTCGCCCAGCCGATTCTCGTCGCGATCCGTTGCAACTTGCAGTGGAACCGATTATCGATTCACCGCTCACTGCAGGCTCGAGTCGAGGATCTCGCTGGCTGAGTGGCAGGCGTCCGACTTGGGCCGTCGCCTTGTATATCTCTCCAACACCAGCCAAGGGGTTTTTTAGTGGGTATGGTGCAGAGTCGACGAGTACTATACTAACGGCTTAGCCAGTCTATTTGAATGCATCTCGTCCGAGTTTTTCCAGACGATTTCCAAGGCCTAATACAATTGCGCCGTCATTAAAGTCTGTTAGAAAGGAAAGAAAAGAAAAAAAAAAGAGGCGGTTCGGCCACAGCCGCAAGCCCAGCCGCTTTGCTCAGACGCCGTTCGGCATCTCGCACACACGTCGAGGTCTCGGCACACCAAGTCAGCGCGCAAGCATCCAAGCTTTGCGCATCCGCCGATCTTGACATCCATCCCAGAAGTCTCCACCGAGCTTGACGAACCGCTGTTGAGTCGGCCAACTACGGATCACGATGACACCCCTCTTGCGAACGTGTCGACTCGCGCACCGCCTCCATCCTCTCCTACCTTCTTGACGCCCGATCAACACCCTTTAACAACGAGTATTCACCCCGAATCAAGCCACGGTATCGAGAGGTCAACGAGAACGATGACCACCACAATCACGACGATGCCGTCGTCCCCCGTCCGGGTGCGATCGTCGACGATGCACGTTCCCCTCCCATCGCAACAGCGATGCCATCACCTCTACATCGCCTTCTTCTTCTTCATCGAACCCGCTCGATCAGCCGTTGAGACCCAAAGGTATCGCTTTCCTTTCAACACCGATGTTGGTGCATCGCCGCCGACGGGGGGAACGTCGTCGTCACGCGCCTTTGACTCACTTCCGAACCTCACCGCCCCTGAACGGCCTGAGCGTGTTCCATCGGCTTTTCCGCAAGAAGGGCGCGTCGAGTTCGGCATCCCTCGATACCATTCGTGCTTTCCCTGGATCGATTGCTTTAAAATTTTGATGGTACGTCTTCCCAAGTTCCAGCCTGAATTCGTATTATGCCCTGAACAAGGCTGATGTCAGGTGTTGGCTCGGTCAGTGTCGACCGTCGGAAGCGCGATCCCCCCTCCGGGTAATCGGTGGGCTGACGTGGCGGTGCGAATGACACCCCCTCTTTTCCCCATCGATTTCCACAGCACAAGGCCGTGTCGTTTCGTCTACCCTTTGACGAGATTGCTGTACGAGCTCGGAATGGGCTCTTTCAAATCGTCATTCTTCAGAAACGACTTCTGCTTCGCGATTACTCGATCGCCCGACCAAGAGGATATATGCTTTTGCTTCGAGCCCAGTCTTGATCTCCTCTCGACACGTCAAAAACTCCGACGCGAGTTTTGCTGTATAGCGAGAGGAGATGAAGATTGGGCGTGGAGCAAAAGAGGTATCCTTCCTCATCACGGAGATCATGTAATCGAAGCAGGAGTCGTTTCTAAAGATGACGATTGAAAAGAGAGCTCGTTAGTGATTTTGGAGGCAACTTAAAAACTCATTAGGTGAATTACTCTGTGATTGTTCTGCATACCTTGGGAGAGTGACTACCGAGCTCGTCAGCAACCTCTTCGAGCCCATGCTGAAGGGTAGACGAAACGACGGCCTTTTTTGCTGTGGAAATCGATGGGAACGGAGGCCGTCATTCGCACCGCCACGTCAGCCCACCAATTGCCCGGAGGGAGATCACGCTTCGGTACCGTGACGGGTTTTTGAAGTTTCTACCCAAGCGCCGAAAGACGACCGATTCGACTTTTTGATCATGGCCAAATTGAGCCAGGCTCGACTCTCGAAGCAGACAACGCAAGGGCGCACATCAGAAACTCGTCCAGGATACCCCCCCCCCCCCCCCCCAAAAATTAGCAACACATGTACAGATGAGAATTTTTTTGTCGGGAATACTACACAGATGAAGGATCGCTGCACGCCAGTCCGGAGCAAGCCAAATCCCGCCGAAGCGAATGTCGCACTGACTCTTTTCTCAAGCCGTCGTCAGACCCGAACGTAAGATCGATATGTCCTTCGCGAGACTACCCGATCCGGATACAATAATGTCCGATCAATCGACGTGGTTCTTGTGCTTCTTGGGGCCGTCTGCACGTCGGAGCAAAAAGCGGGTTCGGGGCCCCGGGAGAGAATCATCAGCCAAAAAGGTCTTTCCCCGGCGCTGAAACTCGTAATAAGTGGTGCGGTGCCAACCGTACACTTGGCCTCGTATTCCGTCTTATGCTTGTCGTGTCTGTACCGATGCAGAGCGGTATTCAGTGTGAAGAGCAGTAAGCTTGATCGACTTGCTTCCGACACAAAGATTGGGATCCTTTGGAAGAAAATACTCACGTCGATCCAGCCAAGTTTGAAGCATGCGCCAGCGAAGAAGGAACCTAATGTGAGATGAGCCGTCAATCAGAGGAATCTTTCAACTTTTTTAGAAATCGGTCACGTTCCTCGAGAAATGAGCCAGGCACCCACCTTGAACGTAGAAGCTTTCCATCCCTGCGAGGGCGAGGTCCCCAATGAATCAAGAGAAGTTTTAAGAGTTAATTCCTTCCGACTGGATTCCTCGGATGGGATGATGGTGCGGAGGGACTGACTTTCATGATCCCACTCCTCATCTTGTCCGCCGTTTCCTCGGCCGTGACTTGTCGTTTGTCCGTCTTGACCGCCACACTGAGTGGGTAACACAATCGTTATCATTCCGAGATGCGTGCACCAGTTCGGTCGACCAGACCGACCGCTCGAATCCCTGCAGGCCAGATGATCGAGCGATAAAGGGGAATGAAGAGCGTACCCTTTCGAACTGATGGAAACACCTTGATGTGCCAAACTATCCTTCGTCGACCTGAAACGAGAATCCGAAACCCATATCGATCAGCACCTGCAACCAACCAACCAACCCCCCCCATCCCCCCGAAATCTCGACCGTCCACCGTAGTCCTCCACACCACCAATTCCTCTCCAACTCCCAATTTTCAGAATCCTAGACTAGACTAGAGCTAGAAACGCCCCCCCCCCCCCCCCCCCCAAGCCGAACAAACTCACGTCACGGCCGATTTCCAAGCGGCCATGATCAACTTGACCGTATAGGCGAGACCACCGAAGATGGCCAAGGTGAGGAAGAGCTTGATCAGGTTCCAAATCAACGAACCGCTGTCGGCGTCGTGGGATTTGGCCATGGCTTGGGGTGAGGTGGATGAGGTGTGGGATGAGGTGAGCCGAGGTGGATGGAGTGTTGAAGATTGAGGTTGGTGTGCGGCTCCTGGAAGGGGTGGTGGTGGTGGGGGGGGGGGGGGCGCGGTGTAGAGTAGACGAAGAGGGGGGGGGGGGGGGGGCGGCAAATAGAACGACGGCTTAAACGATGACGTTGCACAGCCGACGGACACCACCGCCAGGTCTTTAAGAGGTCCAAGCTCAAAAAAACACCCCAAGACGATTTTGGCTTGTGCGCGTGTGCGCGCGACCGCCTGCGACCACCGCGCGCTGGCCCCCAAGCCGCCCCAAGCCGTCGAAAGCGTGCGCACTCTGCCCGCTCTCACCTCGGCTCTGACTTCTCTTTCCTCACAGTGTAGTTCGCATTACTCCGACACTCCGCCGTCAAAGCTCTACCCGTAAGCTTTCATCTCCTCGAACTTGGGGCGCACCTGGACCTGCTGCATTCGACACACGACTATCGGCCGGTCGAAGGGAGGAGGAAAGCACGCAGCTAGCGTAGGCGTCCACAGGCGCGGGGGGGTGGACCAGCGCAGGGCCTTTTTTCCCAGCCTGATCGTCGCGTGCGAGAGAGAGCAGAGCGGACGAAGCCGACCCACACCCGAAAAAAACGTCGACTGGGGGACGACGCAACGAATGCGGATCGAATGCATCGTACAGATCGTTTTCAGGATCGTTTGGGAGCAAGCTAGGACTGGGGACGGGCCATTGGGAGTCGAGAGCGTCGTCGTGCTTTGGCGGCTGGATCGTGGGCCTGGGGTGCGACGCAGGCGGGCGTGAGGACTTTGGCTGGGCCCGCCAAATTCAATTTCAGCGTTCTTGGGGCAGGCCGGGGGTTGGATTGGAGAAGCTGAGCCGGGGAAGAGGAAACAGGCCCACGGCCCTACCTCGCTACTGTGACTACGACCATTCCATCCAACACGACCGTCACCACGACTCGATGGCACACTGTCACGCACCACCATCACCATCTCAGCGCCTGATGAAAGCGAGGAGCTGATCAGCCCACCCACCTGTTGTCGGATCCTCCACAGACCCATCATGATTATCACCAAAGCCGACCGAAGGGTCATCGTGAGTGCAAGCGACCGCACTCTCCATCAAGGCGGACCAGACCGCTGACTTGGGCAGTTCTTGACCGCTCACCCTCACAGTACGAGGCTCTCTTCAAGGGTTCGCCGTCACTCCTCTCCTCTCGTCTACACTCGCATGTGCTCACAGCTCCTCCCCTTGTGCTCCACACAGACGGTGTTCTCGTCGCCAAGAAGGACTACAACGCCCCCAAGCACTTGGAGCTCGACGTCAAGAACCTGCTCGTCATCAAGGCGTGCCAGTCCTTGACCTCGCGCGGCTACGTCTCGACCCAGTTCTCGTGGCAATACTACTACTACACCCTCACCCCGGAAGGCATCGACTACTTGCGAGAGTTCCTGCACTTGCCCGCCGAGATCGTCCCCGCTACCTTCAAGAAGCAGGTCCGAGCCGCTCGCCCCGGTCAACAAGCCGGTGGACGACCCGACGGCGCTTACCGCGCTCCCCGAGGTGGCGACGAGGGTTACAGGCGTCGTGATGACAAGAAGGAGGGTGCCGGAGAGGACTTCCGTCCCCGATTCTCGTGAGTTGCTCGCCATCTGCCCCTCGGTTCCAGCAACTGCGACTGAACTTTAGCTTCGTCTTCTCATCAGGGGTGTCGGCCGTGGTGGTCCCCGTCCCACCCAGGCTTAAGATTCAATCAAGCCTCTGGGATTATGTAGAATGGGCGCTAGCTGGGCCTGCGATTGCGCTTTCACTCTTTGTAGGGACGAAAGGAGAACGCCGACGATCTCGGTTCGGTCTTGTCCTTTCTTGTTCTATTTCGAGATGGAACGCGCAATGACAGAGAAAAAACAAAACCCTTCCTTCGAAGGAAGTGTGTTGACTTTCAATCCAAAAAAAAAACCTGCTTTGCGCATGAAAGATAAGAATGGCTCTGGTCGAGATCGACCAACTGACCGAAATTGTCCGACTCGAGAGAGTTGACGATTCGGCACTCGGGGCGACGACTCACAAAACGTCGGGCCCATTCCTCGCCACCAACGGTGATCGTGGAGGTTCTGCATACAAGATGAAGCTTAACGGTTCGTACCCATCGGCCTGATCGGGTTCGAGGCGGACGCCCGAGTAATGGTCACCATACGCCGTCCAGCTCCTCCCGAGCTCGAACAAAATCCGGCTCGACGAGGTAGCTGCTGACTTTGGGGGAGTTTCATCTTGCGAGATGCGACTTGATGAGGGGTGACTGTAGAATATTCTCTACCGCAAACCACCGGAATCATTCATTTCACTGCGCTGAGCAACCTTCTCCATGGACCATGGACCGGGCTGCCGAAAAATTGAAAGTGTTCGCAAGACCTTTTCCGACTTTAATTTTTCTTCTTCTTCCGATCCGATCACACGAGCTCTCGATACGGTCGAACCTAGTACATCACCAAGTCTACGTACTACTCGAGCACCCGAAAAAAGTGGATCGCGAACAAAACCGGGAGAAAAGGCATCATCTGCAACACCATCATCACAGAATGGCGTGCGCCAATATGAGGTCCGGGCGGCAGGCCCCCCCCCCACCCCCCCCCCCCCGGTCGCGCGGCGCGCGGCGCGCGCGCGGGGCAGGGCAGGAGCAAAGGTCTCACTACTCACCTCGAGCTCGATCGAACGGCGCGAAGCACTCGAGCTTGAGCTCACACGATCCAGCAGAGTCGACGATCCGGATACTAGCTAGAACTTTTGTGAGAGGTGCGATCTAACAGGGTTTGGAAAAGGGACTTTTCACATTCACCATCAAAGAAAGAAAAAGAGAAAGGTTCGCACTTGATGGCGAAAACGGGAGAGATTGGAGTTCTTCCGCGAAGGTGATGCGGTGACGGCCGGCGTGAGTGGCGCGCGCGCGCTGAAGGCGAGTGTTTCATGTTTCAAGGCCTCGGGGTAGGCAGAGCGATTGCAGGAACGAGCGTAGTGTGATGGGGGGGACTACTTCTCCGGGGTTGGTGATCAATTTAAGTGATGGTGAGAAAGGTAGAAGCTCGGTGAGTTTTTTCGAATAGAAGATGTCTTTTCCTTGGCGTCGTACCTTCCGGCAGTACTGCACTCGTTTTAGATGGAGCCGCGAATTTTCGTTATGCGCAGTGCGGGTTTCGGAGCTTGCGAAGTCGCGTAGGCACATTGCATGTCAGTGCGACCAGACCAATTTGAGCTCTCAGGCCAAGCAAAAACCAGCAGCCTATACGAAAACTTCGACATCATGGAAAACAGGCCTCGAGTACCCTACTCAAACAGGAGGCCGTGCCACCTCCTCAACGTTCCGCGTAGCGAGCTTTCAGAGCCCATGCCGAGCCGGTGTACCCCCGTTCTTCAAAGGAGCTAAAGGAAAGATCACTGCAACGCTAAAGACTACCTAAGTTACAGGTAAGCCGGGGTGCCCGTCACCCGTGTGAAAGACCCACGAGGGCGAGGTGAGACCCTCCCTGCGGCCGAGCGCCTGGGGGGGGGGGGAAAGGGGGCGAAACAAATGTCTCACCACTGGGGGGAATGCGCAGCCACCACGGATGCCGACCAAACCTTCGACGGCACCATCATCATCACCTGAAGCTTACCGAGCGGACGTGCCAGGATATGGCGACCGATGTTTTGAAAGAGCTTGTACTACTACACTTGAACATCGTGCTTCATCACATGGCGATTCGACAGTCCCTAGAATGGCTGCGCTCACCCAGACCCACGTCACTTTGACTGCCTTCAAGAAAAACCAGCCCTTTCCAAAACCGGCTGCGCGCGCGCTTGGGCCTGTTCAAATTAAACATGGGCCGGGTCGACCGAGCTGCGGCGCTGGAGCTGGAACGTTCATGGCTTCGAGCAGGGGTTTGTTTTAACAGTAGGATGTTTGGAAGAGTTTTGCAAATATTTATAGTGCGTGACTAGAAGACCATGCGGCCTGAACAGATAGGAGGGAGCGTGCATCGCTCGAGTCGACGACGAAGAGCTCTTTCGGTAAACTCTCAAAAACTCCGGCTCGCCGGTCGGCACTCGGTATCGAGCTTCGACGTCAGCGTGATGGCGTTGCGGGTCAGTGCACAAGTAGTATCGATGTCATCATCTAAAGGGCCCGGGGTGAAGGAAAGCAATACGATAACGAGATTGGCTGGGCCTTTGATGAGGTGGATGCCATGAGCACATCCACAGTTCGATCTTACGCCTTTTCCCGCAAGTGAAAGCTGGAGTAACGGGGCCTTTGCCGAGCCGGGTCCTCCACCAATCATCGGGGCCTCCTCAATTCTGATGCCTTTATCGCAGTCGATCGAGGCATTCATCTCTGTCAATATTAGCCATTGTGCCAGAGTTTTGTGAAGGAAGGAACAGCTCACCCTAGGTAGCAGCCACACAATCAAGACTGTGAGAGCTCGTAGAATATGCAGCTCCTTGCGGAGGCTGATGTCAACCGTGAGCTCGAAAAGCTGGTTGAAGATGTTCCAGCGCAGAGGCAGCGCCCGGGGCACTGCACAGAGCGGCACAGGGCTTCACCAGCAAATCGTGCTCGGCTTGTTTCACACTCGTTGATGATGGCAGAGATGGGCCCCTGGGCCTTTGCGCGCGCGCCGCCGAGGAACACTACTGCTGCTCTGTTTCGGGAATGTCTCACTTGGGTCCCGCGGTGGCCTCGCCTTCCGGCCGCTGGCTTCGTTTATGGCGAGCTAGGCGGATGATTTTTCTCGCTCAAGTGAAACATCCCAAGCCTCGAACACCCCAAGACACAGAGCCTTCGTTTCGATTTACGCTCCCGCGTTGACCAGGCCCAGCACCCCCCGGGCGGGCAGGTCCCCCGGCGACACTGGCAATCTGCGATTCTCTCAAACTCTTAGAACTAGGGCCCTGATTCCCCGTCTCTCTTCGCTTCCTCCCCTCTGGCTCCCGAATTGACCGTCTTTCGTAGACATACACCACCTTCTGTCTACTTTCGACAACCCCTCTTGATCGCAAGAGGTCTCACAGCGCCAACACACCGGCAAGAACTCTCCTCGCCCTCGAGTCCAAACCGCCGACATCGAATCGGGCGCATCACCTTTGTTCGATCCAGACCCTGGCCCCTTCTTATTTTACGTTTCCAAGTCTTCGCCGCCGCCGCCTCAAGGCCTCAAGCACCAGCGCCGCCCGCGCCGCCTTCGCCTCCTCGCGCCGCCGGACTCCTCGCCCAGCCACTCGTTTTCATTCACACGCAGGACATCCACCTCTTCGTCCTCGGCATTCCCTCTGCAACGCTCATCTCCATCTTGTCGTACCGAGCCCGACCCACCCACCTACCCGACTCGAAAGATGCGATTCTCGACCTTTTCGTCCGTCTTTGCGATCGGAACGGCTTTGCTCGCGCCGCCCGCCTCGGCTGAGCCTCACCCTGATACGCCGACCTCGCCGAACCCTTACCCGCACACGAGCTTGTCGAAGCGGATGTGCATCTTCAATATCTGCATCGGCGGAGGTTCTTCGTCGTACAACCTTGCCTCTGACCCCAATAACTGTGGTTCTATCGGCAACAATTGCAACCTCTACAACTTCGTCAACGGGGGTTCCGGCGGCGCGATTTGCTCGAACGGTGTCTGCGGTCCCGCATCTTGCAACTGGTTGTTCGACTTCAACTGGCAGACCAAGGAGTGCCAGAATGTCGGATACGATGTCAACAACTGGTTAGTTTGGTTCTTAACTGTGATAGCTTGCCTTTCTCGACCTGCGGTTGCAACTCCGCCATATGTTAACGCGTGGCTGACCGCAAGCTCTGCACACTTCTCACAGCGGTCGTTGCGGTCAGACTTGCTCGATCACGGGTGCGTCCGGCACGCAATGCCAACAAGGAACTTGCATTGCTACGGGCTGCAACCAAGGTTACCTTTTGAGCGCCGGCAAGTGCACGAAGGTCTATGACACCCAGAACGACGTGAGTTTTGCGCTCTCGACGTTAGGCTTCGCGCTGGGAAAGCAGTTACTGAACCCTTCGGACCAATCCTTTTTCTCCACGTCACGACGATAGGTCAACAACTGCGGTTCGGTTGGAAACGCATGCCGATCCTCCTACCCTGGTGGAACGGGTTCATCTTGCGTTGCGGGTCAATGCCAAGCTGCGTGAGTGACTTTTTCTCGAACCTTTCGGAAGACAGACACCAAGAAGATCCTAGAACTGACTTTGAAATTGTACTCTTCGATCTTTCTTTCAGCTCGTGCAATAATGGTGCTATCTGGAACCCTTCGTCGATGTCGTGCCAGAACTGCAACTCCGACGTCAACAACTGCGGCGCGATCGGCAAAGTCTGCTCGTTCCCGCGCGGTACTGCACAATGCCAGTCGGGCAACTGCGTCTTGACCGGCTGCAATTCGGGCTCGTACATTGTCGGTGGCCAGTGCGTTGCGCTCAGTCTCTCGACCGACACGAACAACTGCGGCGCTGTCGGGAACGTCTGCAACTTTGCCAACGGCGCCGGATCGTGCTCGAATGGCAAGTGCGTCCTCTCGACTTGCAGCACCAACTACGCGAAGGCGACCGACGGTAGCGGCAACGCCTTCTGCCAATGGGTCAACACGCAATCCGACCCCAACAACTGGTAAGCTCCTTTTCCTGATCGCACTATCATTGCAAACTTTCAGAAACCGGTTACTGACTTTCGCGCATCTCGCCCCTGTCTCCGAACGCACTTTCGCACGCACCCTCGTCCGCAGCGGCACCGCGGGCTACAAGTGCACCAGCTTACTCAACTCCGCCAGCACGACTTGCACCAACGGCAAGTGCGGAGCCATTTGCAACAACGGCTACGACTGGGACTCGGACATGTCGTTCTGCCGACCTGTCACCAGCGACTCCAACAACTGCGGTCGCTGCGGCAACATATGCAAGGTCGCCAATGGCATCGCGTCGTGCGTGAATGGCGCGTGCGCGGTTCAAACGTGCAACTACGGCTACTCCAACGTCAACGGCGTCTGCACCGCGGTCAACACGCAGAACGACAAGAACAACTGCGGCTTCATCGGTAACGTCTGCCGGTCGTCGTACCCTTCGGGATCGGGCAGCGTGTGCCTCAACGGTGCCTGCCGAGCCGCCAGCTGCAACACCGGCACGACTTGGAACCCGGCCACGATGGCGTGCCAGAATACCGACAGTGACATCCTCAACTGTGGCAAGGTCGGAAATGTCTGCACGTTCCCTCGCGGTGTTGCGCAGTGCCAGTCCGGCAACTGTGTCTTGACCGGCTGCTTGGCAGGCTCGTACATGGTCGGTGGCCAATGCGTTGCGCTCGACCTCACTTGCGACGTCAACAACTGCGGTTCTGTCGGCAATGTGTGCTCGTTCCCCAACGGTGCCGGATCGTGCGTCGCCAACCAATGCAAGCTCACGAGCTGCAACGCCGGCTTTGCTCTCACGACCACCGGCGGCTCGATCTTCTCGTCGTCGACTTCGTCCTGCGTCGCTGTTGACACCCAGACCGACATCAACAACTGCGGAACCGTCGGTAACAAGTGCTATTCTTTTGCCAATTCGGCCGGTACCTCGTGCGTCGCTGGCAAGTGCCAAGGCTCGTGCTTCAACGGCTTCGCGTGGGACTCCTCGGCCTCCAAGTGCCGTGCCGTTTCGAACGACGTGAACAACTGCGGTTCCATTGGCAATGTGTGCAACATCCCCAACGGTCAGGCCATGTGCCTGGCGGGTACTTGCCAACCGTTGTCGTGCCGCACGGGCTACTACAACCTCAACGGCGCTTGTGCCGCTCTCGACCTCCAGACCGACGTCAACAACTGCGGTCTCCCAGGCCTGAGGTGCCCGACCAGCTTCTTGTTCGGCGCGGGTGTCACTTGCGTCAACGGTATCTGCATGCCCAACTCGTGCAACGACGGCTACGACTGGGACATCTTGCACTTGTTCTGCCGTGATGTGCGCACCGACATGAACAACTGCGGTCGATGCGGTAGCGTGTGCACGATCGCGAACGGTGTCGGCCAATGCTCCGGTGGCTCGTGCAACGTCAAGAGCTGCAACTCCGGTTTCCAGAACGTCAACGGGGTCTGCACTTCGATGAATCTCCAGACGGACGTCAACAACTGCGGCTCGGTCGGCAACGTGTGCTCCTTCCCCAACGGTCAGGGCACTTGCCAGAAAGGCAAGTGCACCTTCACGGGTTGCAACAGCGACTGCACGCTCGTCAACAACGCATGCATCAAGCCCGACCTGACCTCGGACGTGAATAATTGCGGTTCTGTCGGCAACGCGTGCCACTCGTACGCCAACGCTGGCAAACCCTTCTGCTCCAACTCGGTCTGCCAGGCCAAGTGCAACAACGGCTTTGACTTTGACTTTGACGCGGACTTCTGCCGTGACACCAGGACGGATACCTCCCACTGCGGTGGCTGCAACAACAACTGCTTGTCGCAGCTTCCTGGCGCTTCGCTTGCGAGCTGCGTCAGTGGTACCTGCTACGCCAAGGGTTGCAACAGCGGCTACACCCTTACTTCCGGCAAGTGCATTCCTATCGATACGCAGAACGACCCCAACAACTGCGGCGGAATCGGTAAATGTTGCGAATTCGCGCCTCAAGGCGCAACCGGTAGCTGCACACTCGGCGTGTGCACTGTCAAGAGCTGCCCCGCCGGCTACACGATCTCGAAGAACCTTTGCCTTAAGAGTCAGCCGTCGCAACGCGCTGCGAACGTCAAGAAGCGCAAGATCGAGAAGCCCAAGTCGCTCTGCCCCGAGAATGAGACCGCATGCCCCATCGTCGGCTCCTCCTCCTACGCCCTGGCCGTCGACCAACACTTCTCCTCGTTCGCTGATTTGGCTACCGGTGGCATCATGAGCGGCAACGGCGGCTACGAGTGCCTCGACACCAAGCAAGCTCTCGACTCGTGCGGTGGCTGCGCTTCGACGGGTGAGGGTCAAGACTGCACCAAGATCCGTGGTGCTGTCGGAGTCGGGTGCGATGCTGGGACGTGCGTTGTCTTCTCGTGCCAGTCGGGGTGGAAGCCCAACTTGGCCGCTTCCAAGTGCGTTCGATCGCACGGCCACAGCCACAACTCGAGCTCTGAGAACGCCAGCCATTCCGATGACGATGACTCCAGCTCGGCCGCCACACGGAGACACATCCACGCCCGAGCACATCACGCCCACATCCGATCACACCACGGCCATGCATGATCTCCCAAGTCGTACGTTGCTATTCGGTATATATAGATGTTCTCCTTCTCTTGGGTGTTGTCGCTCAGCGGGTTTGTAAGGGCTCCCATCGCATGGTCGTACTCGCATTTTCGCTTTTCTTTTGTGTGTGTTCCAGTAATCAGTATATTTGTCTGTACCCCATCTCATCACTTTCAGCTCGTCTAGCGAGAGGCACGTTCTTGAGTGAACCCTTTTTATATAACCCTTCTTCATTAGAATACATCGTACTGCCTTTCAGACAGGATACCATCAATTAACGCCGATAGTATGAAGTGAGTTGCGTGCACTTGAGATCTTCTGAGCATCAAACTTGAATGCCATGGAATGAACAACTCTTGCAGCATTGGTTTGTCCTGAAGTTCACGCTCTCGGGTGCACCACGTCAAGCATGGCGGAAATAGGAGATAGGAGCGCTCTGTCACAGAGCAGTGTCTACTTCGTTCTCGGTCTCGAATGGGGAGGGGTATTTTTGCTATGAAGTGTAGCTCCCATTCGAAAATCCTATAGAGGTAGAGCTCATGCTGGTCTGTCTACGCAAAGTCGCCAGAATAGTCGGCATGTCGTACTGAGAGATCTCGGGAAGTTGAATTTCGTTATCTCACTGACAGCTTCTGCCCATATGAAAAGTTTGTCGTTCATCCGCCATTGTCAACCGTGAGCTTATGGTGCAACACGTTGGCCCCTTTTGACGACAGTTGCGCTGAGAAATACAGTTTCCCCTTCGCGCGCGGTACAACGAGCCAGAAAAGAGATCTTCAAATACAGGGCCTCGCACCTGAAGCCTTCGTCGAGCCGACATCAGCACAAGGCCGGGGTCGGCGCCACGGAGCGGGTGGCGGTGGCTCCTTTGAGGGAGATTGCAGTGGCGCCGCAACCTTCTCAGCGGCGGCAACGCAGCAGCCAAAAAATCCAGCCGTAGCGCTTTGAATTAATTGAGCTTCAAGAAAAGTACCACCTGAAGAAAGAATGTGTGGTCCTCCGGTCCTTCGGGATGTCGATCGCTAGACGGCGGCGGAGAGCTTGCCCTCGCCCCAGGCAGCAGCTGCAGCAGCACCCGCGAAGACCCGCCAAGCCATGGGGATCGACACAAACGCTAATTAACGCTTCGACGGCCTAGATGCAGGGCAAAGTGCATTCCGACACAACGGGTGCTTGCAATTAATATTTCAACCCTAGGCCGCCTTGCCACCTTGCCTTTGCAATAGGTTTCAACCTTGTTTACAAGGCGTTTCGTCCCACTCGGGCACAGGTTCAGTGCACTCGATCGGGCAAAATGCTACCCGCGACCCTCCCCGGCCGAAGCAGGGGCGCGCGCGATCGGCAGCGCAGACGACGCTCTCACCCGCCTCTTTGGGACAGGGGGCGCAGGCCGATGGGCTGATCGCAACGGCACCAGTCGCTGCCACAAGAGAAATATCGCTGTCAGGTGTACGAACCGAGAAATTTTCGTTGCGCGTACCTTTGAAGAACATCTAAGTCATTGCAAACATACCTGCAGTGGCGCTGATTAGTATCGTCGCATCAGCGTGCCGAAGCTGCGCTGAACAACGGTGGATGGCCAGCGCGCCGCACGGTGCTGATTTTCAGCAGGCAGCAGGCGCGCGCCTTCCCGATTCGCCGTTCGAGGCGCGCTTCGACTGAAGGCTCCTGGCCTAGTCCTCCCACTTCGAGACATGGACGCCCCCGCCGGAATCGGAGAATCTTTGCCAGCCTGGGGAAAGGCGGTCAATCTCGACTTTGTCCGCTCGTTTTCACCTTCTACCCTCGACTTCTTCGACCACTTCACTCGACTCGACTCGACTCGACCCTCCTTCACCTGTACTCAAACGTCGACTCTCGAGGCTCGACAGGCGCAGCGGCGCGGCCATGAAGATCAACTCGCTCGTGACGTCCTCTCTGGTGCTCGCACTCAGCGCAGTGACGGCGGCGCAGGCCAGCGCCGAAACCGAGATCGATCGCACATCACCGAATCGACATGTCCTCTCAAAGCTGACAAAGCGAGGCTTTTGCATCTTCAATATTTGCTTTGGCTATGACACGACCTCCGATTCCAGCAACTGCGGTTCGATCGGTAACAGCTGCGCGGGGAAAAGCTGGGCGAATATGGCCTTTATGTGCCAGAACAGTGTTTGCGCACCGGTTGCATGCCAGCCGCTATACGCCTGGAATGGGGGCACACAACAATGTCAAACTGTGGGCTCCGACGTCAACAACTGGTCAGTTCCACTTCACTTCATAACAATGGAGTTTGGGTAGCGGTGGAGCGCAGGCTGCGCAGCCGAGTGAACTCTACCGAGAGTAAGGTTCCCTCTCGGCCTCAGCGCGCTGGTCGGATGACGGCCGCGGCGATCGGCACCGAGTCGCCGCGCGCGCGCGCCCGCTGCAAGCCTTCCCGACTTCCAACCATTCTGACGACTCGATCACTCGCTACAATGCTTCTCCTCCGAGCAGTGGTGCTATCGGCACCGTGTGCAGTCTTTCGAACTTCGTTGGCGGTGCGTCGGTAGGCTGCAATGCCGGCTCCTGCGTGGCTACGACATGCGCCACGGGTTACACACCGAGTGCGGGGGGCGTCTGCACCAAGAACATTGATACGCAGACCGACGTGAGTGTTGACTACCAATTCTAGTCGTCTCTTCTTCAATCACTGAACCTCAGCCGCTTTCACCAGATTAACAATTGCGGATGGCTCGGTAACCGATGCCTGTCGTCGTACCCCGGGGGCACGGGGAGCACGTGCTCCGCTGGTTCGTGCCGAGCTGCCACCTGCAACGCTGGCACAACGTGGAACTCGGCCTCGATGCAGTGCCAGAACACCGCCTCTGACGTCAACAACTGCGGCGCGATCGGCAAGGTGTGCGCTTACACTTCTGGGAATGCCCAGTGCCAGAACGGGGTATGCTCGCTGGCGGGCTGCATCGCTGGCTTTTACCTCGTCAACAACGCCTGCACCTACCTGAGCCTGGCGACCGACTCGAACAACTGCGGCACCGTCGGGAACGTGTGCAACTTTGCGAAAGGGTTCGGATCGTGCGTGTCGGGGAAGTGCCAGTACTCGAGTTGTACGGGTGACTACGCCAAAGTCACCGACAGTAGCGGCAACACGTTCTGCCAAGCGGTCAACATCCAGTCCGACTCCAGCAACTGGTCAGTCCTGCTTCCGTCGGCGTGATCTGGCACCACGCCGTCGCGGATCGAAGCTGACCTACCATCTCCCTCCTTCTTCGGTCCGCGCTTAACAGCGGTTACGTAGGCCATGTATGCCCAACACAGGCCAACTCGGCATCGACTTACGGCAGTGGAGGTAGCTGCGCGAGCACGTGCAACAGTGGCTACGCGTGGGACTCGACCGCTCTGTACCGCCGACCGACCGCGAGCGACGTCAACAATTGCGGCTCGCTCGGCAACGTCTGCAAAGTCACGAACGGCTCGCCGGCATGCTCGAGCGGAGTGTGCTCGGTCGCCTCGTGCAATTACGGCTACGAAAACGTCAACGGCGTATGTACCTCGATCAACACGCAGACCGATGCCAAGAACTGCGGGTGGGTCGGCAACGCCTGCCTTGCATCGTATACCGGAGGAACGGGCAGTGCTTGCGTTGCTGGCTTGTGCCGCGCCGCTTCCTGCAACGGCGGCACGACTTGGAATGCCAACTCGATGATCTGTCAAAACACTGCAAGCGACATCCTCAACTGCGGCACGATCGGCAACATCTGCTCGTACCCCTCAGGCGTCGCGAAGTGCACGAACGGCGTCTGTAGCCTGGCGAGCTGCGTCGGTGGAGCGTACCAGATCAACGGTGTCTGCACTGCTCTCGATCTGACGAGCGACGTGAAGAACTGCGGATCGGTCGGCAAGGTTTGCTCATTCCCCAACGGCGTGGGCGCCTGCATCGCGAGCGTGTGCACCTTCTCGAGCTGTACCGGCAGCTACGCCTTGTCGACGACGTCGGCCGGCCAATCTTGTGTCGCCGTCAACATGCAGACCGACGTCAAGAACTGGTGAGTTATCCCTTCTCTCCTCTCTTGCACGAACGCTCGCGATTTGCTGAAGCGAAGTCCTCGCCTTCGTCTGCTCCCCCATCAGTGGAAGTATGGGCTACGTATGTCAAACGCCGTCCAATTCGGCAAGCGTGTTCTGCAACGCCGGAAAATGCGCCGCCAGCTGCAACGCGGGATACTCGTGGGACTCGGGATCATCAATGTGCCGGTCTGTTTCAAACGACGTGAACAACTGCGGATCGCTCGGCAATGTGTGCTCAGTCTCTAATGGAACGCCAGCGTGCACGAACGGTGTCTGCTCGCTCCAATCGTGCAACTATGGCTACTCCAACATCAATAATGTGTGCACTGCGATCAACACTCAAACCGATGTGAAGAACTGCGGATGGGTTGGCAATGCGTGCGCTTCGTCCTACCCAGGAGGAACAGGTACTGCTTGCGTGGCTGGCTTGTGCCGAGCAGCGAGTTGCAATGGCGGCACTGCTTGGAACGCGGGTCTTATGTCTTTCCAGAACACAGCGAGCGACGTCAACAACTGCGGCTCGATCGGCAATGTCTGCTCGTACCCCTCCGGTGTCGCAAAGTGCACGAATGGCGTTTGCAGTTTGGCAAATTGTCTCACCGGCTTCTACCTCGTCAACAACGTCTGCACCGCCCTGAACCTGAACACGGACGTCAACAACTGCGGGGCCGTTGGCACGGTGTGCTCGTTCGCAAACGGCGCTGGGTATTGCCAGTCCGGCAAGTGTACCTTCACCAGTTGCACGGGCAACTATGCCTTGACTACGACCTCAAGCGGCACGAGCTGCACCTCGGTCAACACTCAAACTGACGTTAACAATTGGTACGCTCTGGTGTACCGGTTACGCTTCTACTCGCACTGGGTAGCTACATAGACAATTTTCTAACGCCTCACTGCCGTTTCCTTCCTTGCGCAGTGGCTCGGTCGGTTACAAGTGCCCATCGCTCGTGAACTCCGCATCGACGTCCTGCAGTGCCGGAAAATGCGTCAGCAGCTGCAGCTCAGGATACGCGTGGGACTCGACGGGCTCCTATTGCCGCCCGACGTCGAACGATGTCTACAACTGCGGATCGATCGGCAAAGTCTGCTCGATCGCGAATGGGACCCCGGCGTGCACGAACGGTGTCTGCTCGCTCCAATCGTGCAACTATGGTTACTCCAACATCAATAATGTTTGCACTTCGATCAACACCCAGACCGATGTACAGAACTGCGGGTGGGTTGACAATACGTGCGCTTCGTCGTACCCGGGAGGAACCGGTAGTGCTTGCGTTGCTGGTCTGTGCCGAGCAGCATCTTGCAACAGCGGTACTGTTTGGAATGCGAACTCGATGACGTGCCAGAATACGGCGACCGACATCAACAACTGCGGTTCGATCGGAAACATGTGCTCGTACCCCTCCGGTGTCGCCAAATGCACAAATGGCGTTTGCAGTTTGGTGAGCTGCGCTGCGAACTTCTACATCGTTAACGGAGCCTGCGTCTACCTCAACCTGGATTGGGACAACAACAATTGCGGTACGGTTGGAAATGTTTGTAGCTTCCCGAATGGTGTGGGTTGGTGCATGTCCGGAAATTGTACGTACACGAGCTGCACTAGCAATTATGCCTTGACGACAACCTCGAGCGGCACGACTTGTTCCTCGGTCAACACTCAAACCGATGTCAATAACTGGTGAGTGATTTTTTTGCCGCGTTTACTTACGCCCCTATCTAATCTGGTGGCCCAATTCTGGTCTGACGCTCCTCTCTTTGCCCTCCCCTGATCGTTCTCGCAGTGGTTCCGTCGGCTACAAGTGCCCTGCGGTTACAAACTCGGCGACCACCATCTGTAGCGCCGGCAAATGCTCTAGCACGTGCACGAGTGGCTTTTCGTGGGACTCGACGGCATCGTACTGCCGACCGTCTCAAACGATATCTTCAACTGCGGCGCGGTTGGCAAAGTGTGCACGATCCCGAACGGCACGCCGACGTGTTCTAACGGCGTTTGCTCGCTCCTGTCGTGCAACGTCGGATACCAGAGTGCGAACGGCGCGTGCACGGCCGTGAATACGCAGACCGACACCAACAACTGCGGCGCGCTCGGCAACGTCTGCAAGTCGTCGTACACGGGCGGCACGGGCAGCGTCTGCGTCGCCGGCCTGTGTCGCGCGGCGTCGTGCAACGGTGGAACGACGTGGAACCCCCTCACGATGGCGTGTCAGAACACGGATAACGACATTCTCAACTGCGGTGGGCTCGGTAAGGTGTGCTCGTTCCCGCTCGGCGTCGCCAAGTGCCAATCGGGCGCGTGCGTTTTAGCAAGCTGCACCACGGGTGCCTACATGGTCAACGGGACGTGCACGGTCGTTGATTTGACGTGTGACGTCAACAATTGCGGATCGGTCGGCAACGTGTGCTCCTTTCCGAACGGAGTCGGACTCTGCGTGGCATCGCAATGCAAGTTGACAAGCTGCAACACCGGCTATGCGATGAAGATTACCGGCGCTTCCGTTTTCTCCTCTGGTTCGACGACGTGCTCGGCCGTCAATACTGATACCGACGTCAACAACTGGTGAGTCGCTGGAGTGCCTCGCTCGGAGTTTGTTTTGACTCGGCGCTGACGTTCTCGTGCCTCCCCGCCCCTTCATTTCGCTGTACTAGTGGATTCATCGGCACCAAGTGCGTCGCTGGTGCAAACGCGGCCAGCACCTCGTGTGTGGCGGGCAAGTGTCAGTCGACGTGTGTCGCGGGTTTCGGCTGGGACGCGACGACCTCGGTGTGCCGATCGACGAACAACGACGTCAACAACTGCGGCGCGATCGGGACGGTGTGCTTGACGCAGCTCGTGGGCTCGGCGACGGTGACGTGTGCAAACTCGCAATGCTATGCGTCCACTTGCCAATCGGGATTCACGAAGAACGCGGGCGTGTGCACCGAGATCGACTTGCGCACCGACATGCTCAACTGCGGCACGATGGGTCATGCGTGCTCGTTCACGCCTTCAGGCGCTTTGGGCTCGTGTGTGGCGGGTGTATGCGCACTCACTTCATGTCCGACCGGGTACTCGATGGTCAGCAACGCGTGTGTTTTGAATGCATCGCAGCGTCCCAACGCGAAGAGGAGCAAGATTGTGAAACCCAAGACGCTGTGCCCTGAGAACGAGACGGCGTGCCCGATCGTCGGTGCTATGTAAGTCCCGCGCACGCCTTTCTGCGATCCGCCTCGAAAATGAACTTGACCACTGACTGTGCATGCTACGCCCATTTCCCTCTTGATCAGTTCATATGCTTCTGCCGTCTCGCAACACTTTTCCGATTCGGCCAACCTTTTCGCCGGTGGCGTCATGAGCGGCAACGGCGGCTACGAGTGCCTCGACACGAGGCAAGCTCTCGACTCGTGCGGTGGCTGCGCTTCGACGGGCGAGGGTCAAGACTGCACCAAGATCCGCGGTGCTGTCGGAGTCGGGTGCGACGCTGGGACGTGCGTCGTCTTCTCGTGCCAGTCGGGATGGAAGCCCAACTCGACGGGCAGCAAGTGCATTCGCTCGCATCCGGTCCATCGTCACGTCAACTCGAGCGGGCCGACGGCCACTCGACAACACAACGTCCGCCCTCATTCAGCACATGCCCACATTCGTGCGCAGGCTCACGCTCACGCTCATTCTCATGATCGATCGCATGCCCAAGCTTGAACTTGTAGAGGGATAGCGTGAGAGGGTGAGGCTGACTTGGTAGGAGTCCAAGGCGGAAGGCTCGTTTTTCATATCATTTTCTGGTTTATATTCTTAGAGCTCTGTTGCCATTCGTATTTCGGCATATTCTTTTGTATATATACGCAATGCAACTTTTGGGCTTTCTTCTTCCGTAATCATCTGTGCGCTCATCGAGCTACCAAAGAATTGGGCCGAGCTCTTTCCAAGATCAAAACTGCGGACCCCTAACTTGAGAAGCGGAAGGAAAAAGTGGCTGGCGAAGCGTCTTGCAAGCGACTAGTACAAATTCAATCGATCGTCAAGGCGAATGAGAGGGACAGGATCTCAACTTGCCAAGGCACGCCGGGAGCGGGTAAAGCCCGGTACTGATTGGACAAGACCAACCCGCTCTCCGTTCGCATAGCTTCGTCGCCCGTGTGAGACCCAAGTCGAGTGAGAAAGTGAATTTTAGTTTACTGCGCAAAGAAAGTGCCGACTCCGAAAACCCCCCCACGGCGGTGTGGTACTCCGGATCGTGCCCAACAACGGCAAACTCGACTTCAGTGTCCGGCGTACGACCCAATTGACTGCCGAGCTCCGCCGCGCTGAACGGGTGTTCGATGGTTCGGCGTGCACCCTCCACGGCGCCACCTGCGACGAGTGACCTTCCCGACCCAAGCTTTCGATGGCCAGATCTCCCTGTGCACGATCGACGACTCACCGACTACAATTGTGACTCGATTGACTCAGCACCGAATGGCAAAATCTTAAACAGCGCGCGCGATGACTCCCGGCTCTGGCTATCCAAGACTCCAAGTCCATTTGCGAGCCCTGAATGCCTCGGAAGGAGAGAGGTCTCAGATTGTCCGAACGACACCCTTCGGTACAAGAGGCAGAGGATCGAATGAAGGACAAGTACAACTGATTAATCGGAACATTGTCTCAGCGATTGCGTGTCTCATCGAGTTCAAGAATCCTGGTACATCGGAAGGGTTGCGAGTTGTAGGAGGTGGCAGAGCAGAGGGGGGCGGGTCGCTTCAGGGCAGCGCAAGGGGCAAGGGGGACTTGAGGACTTTTGTGGCTCTACGGGACTCGGTTTGCTCTCTTTCTTAGGTAGATCACTTCAGGAAGAATCAGGCCATACGGTTGGTGCTGGTTAGGTCTCACGGTTTCATTGTTGGGAATTTGTGTGTGTGTGTGTGTGTGTGTGTGTGTTCGAGCGCCCCAAGTCTCCAAGTCTTTCGTCCCCGTTCAAACTCTCTCGCCTCCCCTTTTTCCCATCTCGGCGCCGGCAGTTCCCCCGCGCACGCGTTTTGCCCCTCTCGCGTCCGGCCCATCCCCATCGTCGCTCTCTCTCCTCTCCTGTCGCGTTCTGCGCACGAGTTCAAATCGCAACCGTCTAGCACTACCACAGCGGTCACGTGGTTAAGCAGACTACAACGCTTCTCAGCGAAAGGGAGAAGAGCCGCGACTACTAGTGCGGAAAGACGGCGAGGATGAAGATCGGGATGAGGATCCTGTTCAGAGCCCCGAGGTGTTTGAAAAGAAAAATTTAGGTTACCACTATCCAGATAACGATGAAGATGGTTGTCGACTCTACAGCCGTGATCATGGCACTCCGAGCGCCAGAAGCGGGTGGCGGGTGCGAAATCGTCAAATCCCTCAAGACGCCCGCAGTCTAGTGGAGAACTTGGACTGATGCGGTCTGACACCGGCTCGCATCTCGTAGGTATTTTTGGCATGATACCAGATGCTTGCGTCATGGTACTCATATATGATTCTGTTCGGAAATCTGTTTCAACCGGCTGAGTGCCATAGAGATCCTGACACCCGCTCTGATTCGGTATGAGGAGTCCGGTCTGAAATTGGTCTGAGCGAGTCTGAGGGGTCGTCGGCGGATATGGCACCCGTTACGGACTCTGTCTTTGTTCCAACATAACAAGACATGACCGTCGGCACGTCCAAGGCTGGGGCCGGGATTTCAAACAAGTCAAACAAAAAGGAAAGAAAAAGTGAAGAAGGGTTCTGCGTTCTTATTACGCTCATCGATTCGTATTCCTATCTCAAAGGGCAGAGTAAGCCTAGCAGAGCCTAGCAGGGGAACGCTGAGGAAGCTTGGAGAAGACGCTGTCCGTCGGCGCGCCTTGTCCGCTCACCACGCGCACTCGACCTCGACCCAGAGCCGACACCGCCGACACCGCCGACACCGCAGACACCAGCCGCCCGCCCCCGTCAGCAGCAACATGTCTTCCGACCAAGCCTCGGCCTCGACGACGGATTCGTCCTCGGCGACGATCAAGGTGCACGTCAAGGGCCCATCCGACACGAAGCTGACGCTGTCGATCGCGACGAGTGCGACCGTGCTCGAGCTGAAGCAGGCGATCGCCGCCGCAGCAGCCGCCTTCCCCGCCGATTCGCAGCGCCTGATCTACTCCGGCAGGGTGCTCAAGGACGAGGACGAACTCGAAAAGTACAAGCTCAAGGATGGCCATTCGATTCATCTCGTAGGTCGTCCGCCGCGGTGCACCTTTCTAGTTGGAGCTCGCCTTGCCGGGACGGTGCTGACGTGTATGCCCCACTTTCTTCGTATTCGTTCTCGGTTCGGTCGGTTTTCCTGTATCGCCATTCAGGTCAAGGGAGCTCCCAAGACGGGACCGTCGGGCACGCCAGGCACTTCTGCTGCAGCGGGCGTGCCTGCCAACTTTGCCGCCGGGCAGCAGGTGATGGGCAACCCGTTGGCGCCGCTCCTCAACGCCGAGAACGCCGGCCACTTTGGTCAGTACAGCCAAAAACTACGCAAGGGGTCATATAGGACCCATAAAAAACTGATGCCCCTCTCGAATAGCTGGCTTCAACCCCTTTGCCGAAATGGGCGTCAACCCCAACGATCCCAACTACATGCAGACCGCGATGCAAGATCCGGCCGTGCAGCAACAAATGAACAGTCTGCTCTCCAATCCGGCCGTCATTGATCAGATCGTGCGTTGCTTCTCTCTCTTCACTACGGCCTGTGACCCCCCACCGTAGCACTGCCCGCCGAGTTGCTGAAGCCGATGACGTGCCGTTGCCCCCCACCTCACCTCGACACGACAGATCGCTTCCAACCCCGATCTGCAAGCGATGGGCCCTCAAGTGCGACAGATCATGCAGTCCGAGCAGTTCCGATCCTTCTTGACGAACCCGGAAGCGATGCAACAGATGGCTTCGATGATGGGTGGCGGTGCAGGTGCAGGTGCAGGTGCAGGTGCGCTCGGTGGTGCCGGTGGATTCCCTCCACCCGGTGCGTTCGGGTGGGGCAGTGGCACCGGCGCACAAGCACAGGGACAGGGGCAGCAAGCTCAACCGGCGGGAGGACTATTCAACCCTTGGGCTTCCACACCGCCTGTCACGACCACCACCGACTCTGCAGCGACGACCAATAACGCCGCTGCAGCACCACCAGCAGCGGGCGCACCGGGAGCGTTCAACCCCTTTGCCGCGTTCGGGGGAGGAGCCGGAGCAGGGGCAGGGGCAGGGGCAGGGGCAGGTGGACAACCGAATATGGCTCAAATGATGGCTCAGATGCAAGCACTGCAGCAGATGGGCATGGGGATGGGATTTGGTGGTAACAGCGCTGGGGCAACTCATTCCACTGTGCCCCCTGAGGAACGGTTCCAGGTTCGTTGACCCGTTTGATTTCCAGATCAGGCAGATGCCCCCAACTGAATTCGATCGTTTTTGGATTGACGCGCAGACACAATTGGCTCAGTTGCAAGGAATGGGCTTCTACGACGCGTCGAAGAACATCCGCGCCTTACTGGCGAGCGGCGGCAACGTCGAAGCCGCGATCGAGTACCTCTTCTCGAACCCGTGATCAACTGCATTGATGTTGTCTACTGTATTTTTCTGGCACAGCGTTTGAACCTTTCGAGGTTGGAATTAGATAAAAGTTCAATCATCGGAGGGTTTTGTTGGTGGTCGTTGTGAGACGAGCCGCGTCCTCGAGCTCCGAAATCAGCGACCGGGATTGGGAAGAGCTTCTTTCGGCTCTTTCGGACGACTTTTTTCCGCTGCCCCCACGTGAAGCGCGTATTCCTTCCGATCGACTAGACTTTGTCGTTGCTCTTCACGATCACCGACCGAGAATCTAGCCACCTGTCAAAGTTCATTTGCAAAGTGCTCGGTCTCCGAGCGAACGAAGTGAAGCACTGAGAGTCAGGCTTGAACAATGGCCAGACGCTCAAGTGAATGTGTCCCCTCGTTGGCGTTGATCTACACCGTGTGTGACGCAAAGATGACTCGCTCGAGTTCAACTTTTTTATATTTTAGGTACGAGCGCTTGCAATGGGGAAATCGCCCGACGGCGAACCGATTCTGCCACCCGTCGGTAATGAGGCTGAAGGCCTTCCGGATGATCCTGCAATCAGGTGGAGGGAATGTGCTATACAAGATCATTTGTGATATCCACTAGCTTCGCTGTAATTTGAATTCCCTCCTCGTCGGTGCTAGGAAGGAATCTCGGCACTCTTGACATAGTTTCGACTCTGAGCGTCGAAGCGCAAAAGTAGTAGCCGATGTGAAACCTCAAGTAAGTTGGGCGAGATCGCATTAGCGGTAAAATGCTCAAGTTTACTTTAAATGCCGCGGTTGACCAGTTGGCCAACGAGACATCGTGATGTCGATGGGTGTCGAGGACTTCCGAGACCGATCATCGCGGACCGAATCTCGGAGAGCCATGCGTCGAGGCCCATGACTCATTAACGCGCTCTCAACCTCCTCCGCTACAGCCTACTCGAAAGCGTCTCTCGTCGCAACCATGTCCGACTCGTCCACTTTAGACATCCAACTCGAATTCGGGTACGTACATCTCTTACATTTCTCCCCCCACTCCCAACACCCTAGCATCGAAGCTCTCCTTCGATGCGGTGTGCGAAGTTCGACTGACCCAGCTGTGACGTTCACTTCTTTTACGCATCGACGTACGATTACGATCAACTAGGGGCGGAATGGAGCTCTTGTTCTCTTCTATACCTTCGAGGAAGTTGACCTTACCGAGCACGTACGATCCTAGGATATTGAGTACCCAACCGCCGCCTTTGAAGATAGTCTCAACTTCAACCACGACCTCCGAGTCGAATACGGCTCAAGTTATCGACTCTACCTCATCGATGATGGAACCTGAACGAGGTGGAGAAGTGAAGAGAAGGACGAATTTGAGGTACTTGATTTGGTACTTGAGGTGGAAGGTGTTGGATGATCCGAGTAGGCCCGAATTGTTCAGTATCGGTGAGAGCGTGTGAGTCCCTTTCTTCAACCCCCCATGAGAGCGGATGAGTGGGTCTTGGAGGGATCGCTGATTGCAATTTTTTTTTTTCGGGTCTTTTTTTCACTTTTCACTTTGCATGAATTTTCGGAGTTCTTAAAAGTAGACCGGGGATTCTCGTCCTTATCAATTCGACCGACTGGGAATTGGAAGGCGAGTTGGATTACGTGATCGAGGATGGCGATCAGATCCTCTTTATTTCGACGCTTCATGGGGGGTGAGCGTAATCTAATCGAGAGAGAGTGATGAAGGAGTGCGTCCAAAAAAAGTGGGATCGGTTTTTTTCTTTTTCTTTTTGAGCGCAAAAGACTTGTTGTAATAATACCGTGGATCCTCTTTAAAGTACCCCGAGCGATGCCGGTTGACACAGCGGCGAGTAGATCGTGATTCGTGAAGCACGTTCATGGGTCTCCTCTCCTTGTGACGAGAAAGTTCCAGAGACGAATTTGGGTGCCAACGATGCTGAGATTGGTTTTTAGAATGTTATAAAGGGAGCAAATAAACGGGGTGACAGCGGGAAAGAGAAAAAGAAACAGATAGAGAAACTAGACTCGACTGAGGAGAAGACGATAAAGAAAGGCAGAGCCGGGGGGGGGGGGGGGGGGGGGGGATTTTTCGAGGATTATAGGAGCGGGATCAAATCAAAATGCTGTCGACATTTCGAATCTGGATGAAAGGAAGAGGAATGACCGGACGAAAGTTGCCAAGGATGGTGGGTTGGCTGAAGTTTGAAAATGGAAGCTTGCGTCGATGGAGCGAAGCTCCCGTCTAGGGAGTTGAAAGGAAAGAATGCAGGGTGATGCAGAGAGAGAGAGAGATGCGTTCTTTTGGAGAGGAAAGGTGGGGATGGGGGGGATCAAGGCGAAGCTTAATCGCGATCGGCCCTCTTGGCACCCTCGACATCGGCGAGGACCATCTCCTTGACCAACGAGTCGAAATCGACCTTGCGCTTCCAGCCAAGCACGCGCTCGGCCTTGGCAGGGGTACCATGCAGCAACTCGACCTCGGCGGGTCGGAAGTAACGCGGGTCAACGCGCACGAGCGTACGGCCGGTTTGGGCGCAGACGCCAACCTCGTCGACGGACTCGATCTCGCCTTCCCATTTGATGGTGATGCCGACGTGGGAGAAGGCCTTCTCGACGAACTCCTTGACGGGGTGGGTCTCACCCGTCGCGAGGACAAAGTCGTCGGGGGTGTCTTGCTGCAGCATCATCCACATACCCTCGACGTAGTCGCGCGCGTGTCCCCAATCACGCTTGGCCTCCATGTTGCCGAGGTAAAGGCAGTCCTGTTGACCGAGCGAGATCTCGGCGACAGCTCGGGAAATCTTCCTCGTGACAAAGGTGCGACCACGACGCGGGGACTCGTGGTTGAACAAGATGCCGTTGCAGGCGTACATGTCGTACGACTCGCGGTAGTTCTTGACGATCCAGAAGGCGTACAACTTGGCGACTCCGTAAGGCGAACGAGGGTAGAAGGGTGTCGTCTCGGATTGAGGGGTTTCGACGACCTTGCCGTACAACTCGGAGGTCGAGGCTTGGTAAAAGCGGACGTGCTTGGTCAAGCCGCAGGTTCGGATCGCGTCGAGCAGACGCAGTGTTCCAAGGCCGTCGACGTCACCCTTTCGAACGCAACGTGTGGACGGGTCAGTCTTGTGCCTTGTGCCTTGAGAGGTGTCATCTCGCCGCGTGTCATAGGACTCACGGTGTACTCGGCCATGTCGAACGAGACCTTGACGTGGGATTGGGCGGCCAAGTTGTAGATTTCGGTGGGTTGGACCGAGGACATGATGTAGACCAAGTTGGTCGTGTCGGTCAAATCTGTTTACGTTGAACTCTGCTGGGTCAGCTGGCGGGTCCGAGCGGAGAAAGGCCATCGCGTGAAGAAAGCGCGGAGAAGGCAAAGGGCTCACCTCCGTAGTGGAGGACCATCTTGGGGCCTGCAAAGCGTGTCGATGGAGGAATACGTAGATCAGTATGAGATCACAACACGAATACACGGATTCAACATGGCATGACACCGTGGCAGTGGACTGAAACGCGTCTGGATTGAGTTAGAAGGCAGGACTCACGCTCGTGGACGTCCTTGTACAAATGCTCAATTCGGCCCGTGTTGAACGACGACGAACGACGGATGCTGATTGGATAGAGGGCATACTTGGGTCAGCTTCTATACTGCGGCAGAGAAGTGTCGACCTAGAGCGCCGACGGAGCGCGGGCGTGTCTCGTCTCTGGCGGGAGGGGGCACCCAGGGGCTGAACACGTCGACGAGGCCGCCCGAGTCGAAAGGGACACGCGCGGAGACGGAGACGTGGAGTGGGAAGGCGACTTGCAGACCGTGGACTTCGTAGCCCTTCTCGAGCAAGAGCTCGGTCAAGTAGGAACCGTCCTGGCCGGTGATACCTGCAAAGAGATGAAAGTGGGATTGTTGAGTACGCTGTTCGTCTGTCGTCTTGCGCCAGCCAGCGCTTGGCGGCCAGACTCCAGACTGGACTGAGCTGAGGCAGGCTGAGGCGCGTGTCGCGGGGCGTGTCGCGGGGCGTGTCGCGTGGCGTCGGAGCAGCTCGCCCAGCCTTCCCGCGACACTCTCGAGGGCCCCACAACCCACGACGCGTCACGAACATGACCAAGATGAAGGCAATTGACTGACCAGTGATGAGCGCGACCTTGCGGGTACGGTATTGCGCGGGGGTCATCTGCACGGCCTGCAGCCCAATCGGCGCCGAGTGCGGGATCACGCTCGACAAGGACGACTTGTGTCCGGCCTTGGCGCCACCTTGGGGCGTCTTTCCTGTCTGCAAATCAGCCGACATGGTGTATGGGATGTGTGTGTGTGTGGTGGTGGTGGTGGTGGTGGTGGTGGTGGTGGGGTGGGCAAGGTGGGGGAGGAGAGAGGGAGTGAGAGCAAAGATGCGGGCAAGAGCAAAGAGGCGAAAGGCGACAGGCGACGCGCCGCGCATTTGGGGTGCTGCTAGCCACGCCGCACTTTCTGCTGCTTTACCCTGCTTCCGCGCTGGCCAGGCCTGAGTCAGATTGCGCGTCTCGTGGAGGGCGCGTTCTGGGAGCTGAGCCACGCGCGTGCGCGAGACTCTTTATCGATCGCTAATCACCACTGCCCAAAGGCATGGTCACGCCTAACACCCGACCCGAACTAACTACGCGTGATTTTCACGTGGAATTTAACGCGAAGCCCAAAAAAATAAAATGAAAAGCGTCAAAGTCATCATCAGATGCCCCTTGTTCCTCCCTGAGTTGCACAGTGCTGCACTGGTGAGACTGAGGCCCTTGTTCCTCCCTGAGTGCACAGTGTTGCACTGGTGAGCCTGAGGTGGACGTCCGATTCCAACCTTTGCAACTAGTAACTCCGATCCCTACCTGCCAGCGCTCTGAGAATCGGAGAGGCTCACCGGCCCTTGTTACTCAATCTTGGAAAGGAGTACTGCAAGCATCTACATTCACATCATTCTACAGTATCTGACAGCTCTCTGAACGTACGAAAAGAACTTGCTCCCACATCCACTATCCAACTCCGAGAGAAACTTTGCTCATTCCCCTACTATAGGCTGCACACACACACACACACACACACCCCACCGAACACACCCCACTGCACCCAAACTACCGATTGAACAAGCTCGTAAAACCCGACTTGATGGTCCCCTTCGCCGCCTCCTGTTGAGCGATCTTCTTCGTATCCGCAGCGAACTTGGCCGCGTCGTTCGCCATCGTACCTAACCTCTCCTGCAGCGCGGACATGTATTCCCCTCGACGCTCGAGCGCTTCGGTCGTGGACGCGAGGAGGGATTGCGTCGTAGTGAGCTCGTTTTGGGTCGACGAGAGACGCGGTTTGGTGGTGGTTGCGGGTCGGGAGGGGGTGGAGGATTGGGGTGTGGTGAAAGGCGTTGCGGCCGTTGCTCGACGTCGGATAGGGGCTGGTTTGCGGTTCGGGCCGCCGACTGGAGGAGGGTTGAGCATCAAACATCAGACATCAGCTTCAAGTGGAGAAAAACAGTCACCCCCTCCAGCGAAGAAACTCACGGATCGCATCCATATCCGAACCGGAATACACCTTCTTCTGATACCCGAACAAATAACTCGTCAGATTCGACGCCGCACCGACCAAAGCGTTCGTCAAACTCGGTACGGGGATCGTCGGATCCCAAAGCTCCAAACTGGGCGGACAACTCGGGCGTCCGATATCGGCTATCGTGTGCAGACGGATGTGGAGGGGATCGATGAACTGGAGGAGGTCACCGTCTGCGGCGATGGAGATGGTTCCGACGTCGGTGTGGATCGCGGCGTCGAAGGACATGCGTGTGATTTGCGTTAGACTGGGAAGGGAGAAGGCCACGATGGTACGAAGTCGTGTCGTCGCGATGAGGACGGGGCAACCATCTTTGAGTACGACGGCGGCGCTTTTGAATGCTGAAGCCATGTCGCCTTCGTATTGCGCCGTTCGGGGACCATTGATGTTGAAGTAGGCCGAGATCACCATCGGAGTCACGACGACCCAGAGAGAAGAGAAACCTCCATTCTCGTGCGAAGGAGCGAATTGTTGGTTCATCGCTTGTTGAAGCCTCAGAGGATCGGCGAGGAGCTCGTTTCCCAGCGGATCAAGCACGAAGGTAGCAATCGCATTCTTGACGCTGTCATGCTGGAATGTAACGGGACCTTCGGAGGCGAGCCATCCGCCCGCGACATTCGCCATCTCAAAGATGCGTGTCGTCCCTGACGCCTGAGTGACGATCAGGCGTGGTTGTCGATCATGATCATCCCCAACCGCCGAGACGGTCCATTTTAACGACGTCACGGGTGAAGCATCCGGTTTGGTTTTGGACTTGCCCTTCTTTCCGTACGACAGAGTTGTCGGATCGTCGTACAAGAGCACCTCGGGGCCTCGCAAATCGGCAATGAGCAGGATGTTGCCACTCGAAGCGGCGAGGAACCCGGTATCGGCGAGCTCGACGCAGAAGGGGGCATTGAGGCTGTTGGGTGGTGGGAGAAGGAAAGCTCCGACGGCACGGAAGCTGTCGCGATCGGGGCGACGCGCAAGAACGACCGAGAGGTCGATGAAACAGTCCGACGGATCTCGCGATGGCGCTGCGAACGACGCCGATGCGACAGAACCTTTACGGAGGCGACTTGGGGTAGGATCGACCTTTGATGCTCGACGCGGAGGGGCGGCGCTCGGATTTGCCTCCACCGAGTTGACGTTCATGTCATTCAGTGCGTCCGAGATCGTCTCATCTAGCTCGGCTTCGGCATCAGCACGATCATGTTCGATCGTCGAGAGATCGCGAAGGTCACCGTAATTGAGCCTGTGTCAGATCCGAGGATAAAGAATGAGCAGCTGAATCAAAACAAAGACGTCGTCGCTCATGGGTCCACTCGCCTCGCCAAGATGATCTCCCCCGTCGACAACGCGACGGCCAACTCGCACGTGTGCACCGCAAAGTCGCATTTGATGATCTCCAATTCCCAGGGACGTTCTTTCAGAATCCGACTCGCCTCGAGTCCGCTCGCCGACGGGTCCAAAAGCACGTCCTTGATGTCGAAATCGAGGTGAGCCAGCGGTCTAGGGTATTCTCGCGTCAAAAGGGGCTTTAGCTCGGCTGTTGCCGCTGCGGGTGTGGAGGAGGTGGACGCGTATGATGAAGGCGCATCGTTGCGATCGGCTTGTAAGAGCGAAGAAGATACGTCAAAGAAACGAACGACGAGGTCGACGTGCGAAGAAACGACAATGCGAGGTTGGTTGTCGAGTGGAACGTGGTTGCGCATTCCTGTTCGACTAGGTCGTAAGCGAGGGAAGGCCTTTCCACCCTTGAGCGGAATGCGGTCCGAGTCTTCATCTCGCATGTCAAACTGATGCAGCATTCGTCGGTAAGCGAGGGTCTGGACGTTGAGCAGCCGAGCTGAAACGCAAGTTCCGGGGCCATTCCAAGACAGTTGCGCGGGGAGGCGAAGTTGTCGCGGGCGCGGATGACCTTGCGCGGGCGGGAAGGACCAAGCCTCGATCCCTCGAGAGGCGTGGGGCGCAGCGAGGACGGGTAAGTGTCGATCTTGTCCCGTTGTAATGATCATCGCCGAGGGGTCATGGGAGAGCGAGAAGTGAGGTGAGGATCTAGGTAGGAGAATAAAGTCCTCTGGTGGGGTGTCGGTTGGGTAGATGTGGTGAAAGGTCGGTTCGATCGAGGCTTTGAGCGCTTCCCGGACGGCGTAAGAGATGTTCGACGAGGCCGAAGCGGCATTGGGCGGCGCGACATAAGGTGGAAAGGCGAGTGTATGAATACCAGGTGGGTCCTTCGGTAAGAGGCCGCCCAGGATTGTAAGCATCGTTTCGCCTTTTGTATAGGGCGAATCGGGTGTCGGCAGATCGGGGATCTCGGATGAGCTCATCGCTGCTGCCGCTGCCCCGGAGAACGATGCAGTGGCGCGGGAGAGCATCGTCTCTTGTTCGAACGAGGACCAAGCGAGTCGGAAGATGGGTTCACGACACGCTGTTTGTCGACGAGCTTCGGGACTCTTGGCGTTCCAAGCGAACAGATCTTCTTCGGTCGTCTGTGAGTGATTCAGAGTGTCAGCCCAAATCTCTGCAAAATTAGATGAGTGGGCTGGCTCACCTTATTGACCGCATCGCGTTCGATCGTTCGGATCGTGATGGGATTGTCGTCGGAGACACAGGCAAACGAGATGCACCCATCCTCGTGGCCGGCAGCAAACATCAAACCTGTGACGAGCAAGGGCACGGGTGAGCTCTGAGAAGTTGGACCCCGAAAGTACTGTGCACTGACCATCTGGACGCCAAGCGAGGCAGGTCACAGGCGGTCGTCGTTCAGAGAATATTGTGTCTTCGGTATCGTTACCTCCTCCTACGGCTCCGGGTGGGATGACGACTGCGATGGAGACCAATTCCGAGTAAGTTCTCGGTCCGTCTCGAGAGCTTACCCCGACAAATCCTCACATTCCCAATTCCTCTCAACATTCTTTTGTGCGAGGTTATAGAGCGACACTCCACCATCGTAGGCTATCAAAACGAGGTTGAGGTCCAACGGATGGGTTTTGACATCCGTGCAGACGGGACTGGAGGCAGCAGGGGAAAGTAGGAAGGTCAGTGATCAGAGAGTAACGGACAAAGGACCGAGACGCCTACTTACATGTGTCGCCTCGATGGCGCATCAGGTACTCCGGACCGACGGAGGATCTCTTCCTGCTGTACCCAACAGTTGGGAATCCTCGACGTCGGCACAAGCACGCCCCGGTCGATATCAAACACGTCGACGGTACCGTCCTTGCCTCCGAGGAGGAGATGAGGATGATTCGGGCTCGCTTCGACGCAGGTGATTTGGGCACGAAGGGACAGCGACGAATCTCGATAAGGTTTGTTGTTCTCTATGCGGCCGAGATCAAAGACGTGCAAGGTGTCCTTCTGGTCGACGCAGGCGAGGAACCCGGCACCGGGTCGGAAGGCGAGGTGCTTGATCTTGAGCGGTCGACCGAGGTCCCACGAGAGGTGCACGGGCGGCTTTCCAAAGATGTGCAAGCCACCTTGTTCGGTCGCTACCGCCAAGAGGCCTTGGACTGGATCTGTGTCGGGCGGTGCGACGCCAAGCTTTCGTCGGGTCAGCCAGAGAGCCCATGACAAGCCCGAGCACGAGAAGGGGTCGACTGACCGAACGAGATGGCCGTAAGCTCACTACCAAGACTAAGCTCGACGAGTTGACCGAGGACATAGGCGGATGCATCGCGGCCGATGGACTGGGAAAAGTCGAGCGCGCACACGAGCTCGTTCGCCTTGCGCGACCTCGACGAGAGCATCCCGACGACGAGCGAGACACTGGCAGCCTCTTGAGGGTGATGCAACAGCCGTTTCCGGGTGCGAGTCCCTTTGGTTCGCTAAAAGTTGGTGTTGGATCGGAAAAGCGTGGAAGAAAGAGAGCAGAGAGGCGGGGCAGCAGTCGGATACTCGCCGAGCCAAGTCGGAGTTGACGGTCGAATGCACACCGGGAAAGCCAGCGATGCCGATGTGGGGAGCACGGCTGCACTAGTCCTGCGTGACTTTGTAATGCTCAATTTGGGGTGTAAGCTCCTCAAACCGGCGCCTGCCCTCGGCCGAGACCGAGCGGGGTAATGGCGTATTTCCGCTCGATTAGCCTTTTCGCTCGATTAGCATTTCCGCCTCCACTTGATTTTTATCAACTGCGACCAGTTTGGGACTGGGTCCCGTATGCGAAAGGTGATCAAATGGCGATCGGCCTAGTTTTTCAGGCCACTGACTGATCTCGACCAAGAATTTGCCGTTCAAGCCCTTGCTTTGTCAGGAATCGGGCGCGCGCATATCATTTGTCGGTCGATTTGCCCTTCTCTTGCCTCTCCACCCTCGGCCGATGACCGACGACCGACGACCGACGACCGACGACCGACGACCGACGACCGGACCCCTGGTGCGACCCAAGACTCTCGGCGCGTCATGAGCTCCAAATCAATGGCCCCGACGGTCCAACCCAACTCAGCAACGGTCGTAGAACCAGGGCCGATTTGGTGGTCGAATGCGATCTTTTTCGTGTCGATGCATGTGCTCGCACTCGTCGGAGCGACCTACCTCAGCCCGTGGCACCAGCTCCGGACCGAGACGATGTGGTCAGTTCAGAGTCGAGCTCGAGTGACGGGAGCATATTCGCTTCGTGGCTTTACTGACTTGGTGTTATTTTCGAGAGTAGGTTGTGTTTTCTTAGTTGGCAATTGGCGACATTCGGGTCAGTCAACACGGCCACAACAGAGCTAGCAGCACCAGCGTGCGGCCCGACAGCGCGATCGATCGCTGGAAGCCTCCCCCGCGTGCACGCCCACCCTCACCGGCCTCACCTCGGCAGTCGGCGGCAGTCGGCACTTCGGCCAGCCAGCTCCGAGTCAGGTGGCGGTGGGGAGCCACTTCCCAAGCTGACTATGGCGCACCGCAAGCTGTCGCACCGCACCGCAAGCTGACATCTTCCCACCAACTGGGCCCAAAACAGAATTACCATCGGATATCATCGACTATGGTCACACCGCTCCTTCACCGCCGCCTTTCCTCTGCGCGTCGTACTCGCCGGCATGGGCTGTCTGGGCTTCCAAGGCTCGATCAAGTGAGTCTACTCCCCAACTTTGAGCCTTCTCACTTGCACCAGCTCATATAAAACACTGTAATGACAGGTGGTGGGTGCTGCGCCATCGATTGCACCATCGCTTCACCGATACCGAATCCGATCCGTAAGTGACCTCTGTTCCCCCGCTCTCTCCTATCCATTCTTGTCTCGCCCCCCCCCCCACATTAAAACTCTCCGCTGGGGGCGGTGACGAAGTTTCGTTCACAGTCCTCAAGGGTTCCCATGAGCTAAGCCCGGATGCTCGCCCTATCCTCCTTGTTATATTGCACAGGTACAATGCCAAACAAGGGCTGTATCACTCGCACATGGGTTGGATCTTTCGCAAGCCGACTTACCCGAGGATGTGCCTCATCGACAAGAAGGACCTCGACGCCGATCCAGGTCCGTCAGCTTTCCTCCTCAGTTGCGAAGTAAACTGTCAGACTGAGGAGCAGACCGGTGATTGCAGTGGTTCGCTTCCAGCACAAGTATTATATCCCTTTGACGCTGTTTTTGAGTTTGGTGATGCCGACTTTGATCGGGTGGACGTGGGGCGATGCGATGGGAGGTTATATCTGGGGTGGAGTCAGTCCCGCTTCTTTGCCATCGCACTCTGCCTTGAACGAAAAACCAGTACTGACGTGAAAATCACGACCGCTCACCTCAGGTCATTGCTCGAATCATGATCCAACACGCGACCTTCTGCATCAACTCGTTGGCGCACTATCTCGGCGACCAAGCCTACTCCGAGGACGTCACCGCGCGCGGTAACTTTTTCCTCGCGCTCTTCACAGGAGGAGAAGCGAATCATAATTACCACCATGCGTTCCCGAGGGATTATCGGAATGGACCGAGGGCGTTCGATTGGGATCCTTCCAAGTGGATCATTTGCGCATTGCACTTCTTGACGCCTTGGGTACCCAAGATGCATCAGACCTCAGAGGCCGAGATCCTTAGAGCCAAAGCTCATGTTTTGACTGCGAGGGCGGAAAAGGCTGCCAAAGGGTTAGGGGAGGATGAGGAAGGGGAAGAAGGGTCGTCGTCGTTCAAGGTTTGGGGAACGTTCGCGGAGGGGGATAGCGATGAGGATCGAGGGAGCTCGACGAGCTTCGAGGGTATCAATACGAGTGCTAGTGCGAGTGCTAGTGGATCGGGAACGAGTACGGATGAGGGCGAGGACGGCGATGCGTTGTTCGATCGACGCCTGGGTCGATTTGAGTCCCAATCGTTGACGAACCGAAGACGACACCCCGCTCGACAAAATCCTTTACCCACCTGGACGCGCGCACAACTCGTTGAAAAGCTCGCCGATCCCAAAACATTCCCCTCGTCTAGTCGAGCTCCGATCGTCATCATCGTCAATGGGTTTGCGGTGGATGTGACCAAATACGCGCAGGATCATCCGGGTGGGTATGCGGTATTGAGAGAGTTTGCGTTGGGGGAGGGCAAGGAGCAGAGGGATGCGACCGAGGCTTTTGAGGGAGGGTTGAACGATCATGGCTGGTCCGCGAGGGAGAAGATGAAGGATTTGACGATCGCGAGGATCGTTTGAGCGGATGAGATGGCTCATGGGTTTCGGCGGACCGGACTTGGAAAGGTACGAGGTCAGTATATCATAGAAGAGGTCCATCGACGAACACACAACGACCTTGTTTTTTGGGTAGATTTTCATGCTTTAGAAGCCGTTTTTTTATTTGTTAGGCGGACAGGTTGATATTATTTTGGCTCTTATATAGATTGAAAATAGGCCAGTTTTTATTGGTAAAAGAGATGAGAGAACGAGCAAAAGGTGGATTCTTCAAGGTCGCGATGCCCCGGAAGCGCTGGCGTGACAGGAGCACTGCTCGCGATGCGGCATGAGGGACGTGACGGTTCGGCTCTTTCACTCCGTCGTCCGCGTGAGCTTGCATGGTCCACGTCTTCTTTCAGGGGGGTTTTTAAACTTCTGATGTAGGCCGAGGGTCCCCAGTACTACTAGGTGGCAGGCTATTATTCGTCACCGACAAAGCCGTAAAATAAATTTTCAATTTCCCCCGCTCGAATTTCAAATCATGGTGGCTATTTCAGGCGGTCGAATCGAGAAAGGTGATGACGCGAGGCTTCATCGTTCGACTACTACGAGTCGACCACTGCTCGACCAACTCAAGATCCGCGCTCTGTTCCTCTCCTCTTCTAGTCCTTATGTCCCACTGATCTGAGACAAGATGTTACCTATCGGAGTGTGTAACCCCGCTGTACGCGTTGGAGGGTTTGGGCCTACGGTCGGGAACCAAGTGGTACGTACGGCGTTCAAGTTGTCTCGTTTTGACTTTCGGAGAGCGAATGCGCATTTCGGCAGTTCATCTCTTTCATTTACTTCCCTTCCGACCGCTCGAGCGCTCTGAGCGGAACTCGGGCCGGGCCCCTGCTCTGCTTTCACACAGACCTAACACTCCGCACCTTCATCCCCACCAGACAACTTGTTTCGCCGACGTCATACTCGTACCCCTACCCACATGGCTCCTCATCATCCTCGGAATCCCCTTATTCCTCACCCTGAGTCGGCCATCAAGAGCCATGGTTGGAACGAGGAGTCGTTCGTGCGGCGCCAGGATCGTACAGGGCTTGTACGGGGTTTTGGTGTTTGCGTTGTTGTTGATGGGCGTTTTGGAGATTGTTAGATTGGCATTGTCCAAGTCTGGTGAGTGATGACTCGGACGACCCTGGCTCGGCCTTTCGGCGAGAGGGGGAGGTCACGTACGTGCCGTGCGAGACAGTCCGGAACTCACCTCCCAACCCTTTTCCCCTCTTGATCGCTTTTCGTACCTTTTCCCCCAGGAATCGGTCTCTTACCCTTCTCCCTTGCCGGTACCCTGGTCGCATTGGGTATGCTCGCGGCCCGTTACAAAGCTCACAAGAACCTAAAAGGGGTCGCGGCGATTTTGGTCGTTTATTGGATTTTGCGTGAGTCCTTCTCTCGGCTCGGGCTGTTATAGTCTATGAAGCTGATCCTTATCTTGTACATACTCTGTGTTGGTCCCAGTGACGGGTTTGCAAGCCGCCAAGGTTCGTCTTGAACCTTTCCACGAACCTCCCTCCGCTACGTACCCTCAGGGCCGTGCCGAAAAAATTAGACGCCTGACCGAAACGTTGATCCCATCTTGCATGCTTTGAACTCCAAAGGTCTCCGCCCTCATCTCGATCGAAAAATCCACCAAGGCTCGTGGTAATAAAGGTCCGAGCAAGTATCCCAACTCGGACAAGTCGCTTGATAAGTTGAGTGATACCCAGCGAAGCGGACCGTTGAGCAATTTTTTCTCGTCGCTGCTTCTTCCGCGTCGAGAGGGGGTTTCAAACCGTGTTGACTCGAGAGGGAGTTGATCCTATTTTATAGTTACGTTATACTTGCCCTCTACGCCGTCTTCACCCTCTACGAAGCCGGGCAATTGGTTCGGAGGTCGGCTCGGACGGCGGACGGCGGACGTTTATGAGCAGAATGGTTCGCCGCAGGGGTTGGGTAAGGATGGGTATTAGAGGGGGGTCGCAGCGGATGGCGAGTATCATTATATTTTCATAGCAATTGAATATACCCTGTTGTCTCATACCGAACTTTGCCACAAGAAGCCAAGTGAATGAACTCGGCGATCATGCCAGTCCTTACTAGTCTTGGCTGATCGAGCGCTCGACGGGCCGATGTGCCGATCGCGCGAAAATGTGGGGGTGGAAGCCTTCCCTCCGCACATAACTACTTCTCCTCCTTCCACCTCCCGCACGACGACGCACATCCCACAACACTTGCTTGGGCGAATGGCTATACAACAGACGAGCCTATGGCCACTCTTGGCTCTGATGAACGAGCACACGGTGTTGGACTATGACAACAACGACGCGACGCTTTGCGAGGTTCATCCGAAGGGGACGTTCACCGACATGACATCGAATCAGGTCAGTGGGGAGGGTGTACAAGGTTCGGCTGGGTTGGAAGATGAGCTGATCAAGGTGGATCCCCACTTTCGACATCCAACTATTGCTCCCCATCATGCCCACCTCTTTGCACTCCCTCACGACCCCGCAGGCGATCGTCGCCGAAGAACTCTTCAAACCCCACCACCAACACCTCATGCTCGAAGCCGTCAACGAAGCGTCCCAGCTCGTGCTTGATGGTTTCGAAGGTGTAAAGGGACGAGACGTCGCTAGTGTCGCAGTGGATATCGTCGTACGTTCTTCGGACACTTTGAGTGCACCGTTTTCGACGGCGGCGGGGGGTGAAGGAATTGACTCAAGTTCGATTGTCCTGACTTTTTGGCGCACCGGTTCGCTCGGAACCTTTCCCATGATGTCCTTTCCCCCCACAAAAAAATGAAAAATAAAAAACAGACCATCAAACTCGCGCTCCCTATACTCCCCCTCCTCAAGCCGACCGGACTCGTGCACTGTCAACTCTCCCTCGGCGCTTCTTCTTCTTCACTCGAAAACTTACTCCACCACGCTTTCGATCCGTCATCTCGCTCTAACGAAGAACACTACGCGATCCCCTCGCGTGCACGCGTCTGTCTCAAGATCCCTTCAACCTTACAAGGGATTTAGGAGCGTGTGGGCTCCCTTCAAGAAGAAGGGGTTGTGCATACATTGGCGACGATGTGTTTTCTCGATCGAACAAGCTCTCGCGGCAGCAAAGGTTGGAGCGAGGTATGTAGCGGCTTATGTGAATCCGTTGGAGGTGCATTTCGTACCGGGGACGCATAGAGAGTTGGGGGTTGCATGGCTTGCCCGGATACGAGGTGTTGAGGGTTGCGCAGAAGACGCTAAAGATGAGGGGTTGGGACGCAAAGACCAAGATGATGGCCGCTAGGGGTGAGTGGGGAAGATTCTAATCTCGGCGCTTCTGTGCGTGTTCAGAAGAGGGGTGATGCTGACGCCTTGAAATACTTTCGATCTCTATATAGTATCGTCATCCTCTCCGAAGCACTTTCTCTCGCAGGTCTGGATCACTCGACCCTATCCCCCGCCGTCCTCGCCCTCCTCAGCTCGACCCCTCTCACCCCCGAAATAGAAGCCTGCATCACCCAATCCCTCTCCCTCTACGCCCAAGCCGAACCCACCTCCCTCGAATGCGACCCCAATACTGAAAAGGGACGTCAGACTTTGGCAGATGCGTTGGAAAGAGAGGACGTGAAGGAGTTGATGAGGTCCGCGACGGAGATCTTTGGCGATTTCAAAATGGGCTTGTTCGAGTTGGCCAAGGAGAAGTTGAAAGCTGTTGCGGAGGGACATTAGAGTTTGGGATTCATGCGGTTGTACTGTTTTGATGTCATGGGACTTGTTATTTTCTTGGGGGACGAGTCCATGTGGCGCGGATGTTTTTTGTTCAGGGTCCCGACGATGCGACTAGTCGAGCATCCTCTTTCGATTCGATCACGATTAGGTCCGCGTCCGTTGTTAATCGAGCTTTGATCCATTCCCCATTGAGCATATCACTCCCATCCACTGTGCGTGATCGCTCACTCAGAAAAGCGAGTGTCAGCAAACACCTTTCTCTTGAACCCCCCTCCTCCCCCTGGGTGAATCACGCTTCGACTCAAAACTCGTGAACGTACCTCTCTTCTCCGCTCTCTCCACCGTATCCTCAATCCCCTCCCTCAAGCACCTCTTCAACAACCTATCCCTCACGACCTTGGAATCGCACTCCAACCAAATTCGAAAATTCATCATCCCCGTCGCTCGAGCCCAGATACCTTCGTTGATCAGCGTGTACAACCCTTCGATGATGATCAGGCGGTTCGTAGGCTTGATAGGGGTAGGGGAGGGAAGGGGATCTTTGAGGGAGTGGGAGAAGGTGAGGTAAGGGATCTTTGGGGTCGTGAGTGGGGAGGGGAGAGGGGAGAGGGGAATCGGTTCGCGGAGAGCTTGGATGAAGGAGAGGTAGGAGGTCGCGTCGAAGGTGAAGGCTGCGCCGCGTCGGGTTAGGGCTTCGATGGGGTCCTATAAGGGGTAAGGGGAGGGAGTGGTTCATGGACGTGAGATAAAAGAAGAGAGATACAGTTCAGTTGTCGAGCTCAGTCCACGCGCGACGATCCCACCCGTGTACCCTTTGAAAGGTAAAAACACTTCTCTTTCAAGAAGACTCTTCGCCGGCCCCCTCAACGAATTGCCCCTCCCGTCTCCGCCAAAGAACCCCTTCACCCGCTCCACCAGAGTGTAAACGTACCGGAAACTCATCCAACTGTGCTCGACTATAATGCCAACCGTCCAAGCCGACGGCGAGGGCGATCTTTTCATTCAGTAATGATCCGTCTTCGGTGGCAGTGGGAACAGAATCTTTACCATCTTTCGCAGAATCCCGATTCCGATTTGACGAGTTGGTGGTAAGAAGAGCTGTTGCTCGATCGATCGTGTTCGTGTTCGTTCTAGTCGTCAATCCTCCGTCGTTCGTTTTGGACTTTGTTGCTTCAAGTTTGGTATTGATCGCATCGACGAGCGGATAAGCTAAGGTCGACTTGCCTGACCCGGGGACACCGGCGATGGCGACTAGTAGGCGCTCGGTTGGGGGGATGCTGCGGGATTGGGGGGGGGGGGGGGGGGAGAGACGGATTAATATGGATGTGAAGAGGTGTAGATGGTTCAGCTTGTTGGGGGTGAACGATGGGAACTTACGAGGCGAAGCGCTCGAGTACCATGCTCGCTAGTCGATCAATCGTTTCGTCCATCGAGGAAGTACAGGCTGGGGATGAGCAGGCAGCGCAGGTCGAAGAAGCTTTAGATCTTGTGGTGGTACTTGGGCTACTTGAAAGTAGCCCGTAGGATGCCGGGGAGGTGGGGGGGAGGAGAGAGACACACAGAAAGAGAGAGGGGGAGCGCCGCCCCCACTTGGTTGTTCAACGCTGCGACAGTCGATCGCTCGCTCGGATTTTACGATGCGGATAAGGGCAGGGTGAGTTGCGACGAGCACGGTCGGTTACTTTTCAATCACTCTACAGGCGAGGTTCTCTCGAAGATACCCGATCCCGTGGCGCATTATAATCAGTCGAAAGGAGCTCAAAGACAGGAAGTTTTCCGGGGATGTGCGATTGTTTTGGACTTTGTAGAGGGATAGCACACAGTTGAGAAACTTTGGAAGAAGAAAGGGGGGAGGAAACGAAAAGTAACTCGGGGTTCCAAAACGAGGAGAAAAGAGCTGAAAGAGAAAGGAAGGGGAATCGACGGCGCTCGTACGACGTTCCCTTTTTTTTTTGGTGAAGTGACTTCCTTTTCCTCCCCTACATGATCGATTCTTTATTCAGGGTCCACGTGCTCAAGCTGTTACCTCCTCGTCGGCCTTCTTCTCCGTCGTCTTCTTCTTCGTCGGCTTGCTCTTCAAAGGCTTGTTCACCAGCGCCTTGAGCTCCTCCGAAAGCTTCACGCTCCCCTGGACTTTATCCTCGGAGAACCAAGTCGGCGCCAACGACAACCTCGTCACTCCGGTCTTGGTGAGCGCGAACGTCAAAAACACTTGCGCGGACAGGTCCGTGGTCTTATCGGTCGTCAACACCTCGTAAGGTTTGAGCAAGTTGTGGTCAACGCATTCCTTGACGCCCATACGCGCCTTGGCTTCTTCTTCGAGCACGCGCAAGGTGAACGGGAACGGGCCCGCTTTTTTGGTGATTTCGGAAAAGGTCGCGCGCGAGGTCTTCATCTTGAGGTTGTACGTCGTCGACGTTTTCGAGAAGATCGTCGTCGCCGATCGGTCCGCGGTCTTGAACTGGTCGAATTTCATTCACAACGAGATGTAGGGGGATTCGGCGATCAGCGCTCCCCCAAAAAGCATCTCCGTTACTCGCCCGCCCGAAAGAGGACGTTTTACTCACGGCCTTTTCCCCGTTCGTGACCAAGACGTTCAAACCATAAACCTCACCCTCCTCGAACAAGTAAGCGTTATCCGAATCGGCGCGCTGGGACATGCTCGGGAAAGCGACGATCCCCTTCTTCGCCTCGATCGAGTTTTGCTCATGTTGGTGCGACAAGACGCCTTCGACTCCCTTGACGCCGACGGACTCGTATTCGGAGAGAACCTTCTTGATCACGTCCGTGATTTCCCAGTTCTTGATCCCGGGCTTGACGACTCGGAGAGCGGCTTCGGCGGCGTAGTGAGCGGCCGAGAGCAGATCCGCGCGGACTTCCTTAATCGGCGTCGAGCCGATGACGATTCTGTGAGACATGATCCAAAATAATGCGACATCAGATGTGCACATTGGTCTAGTATGGAGGACCGGCTTGGAACTGACGTCTCGGCGGCTACGACGGCGTAGCCATCAATGTGGGCGCCGAGGCAGATCTTGACGACGTCGTTCTGGGCCAGAGTGGTCGCGGTCGCGCTCTTGTCCGAGGGGAGCGGGTTGTAGTTTTGCAGGTTCGAGTTGATCGAGAGCGAGGTCGGGAAGGCGACACCTGTGGTGGGGTGGGTGAGGTGGAGGGGCGACGGCGAGAGATGAATGATCAGGTGGTGGTGGTGGTGGTGGAGGAGGAGGAGGAGGAGGAGGAGGAGGAGGCGAGGCGCGTAGTTGCGAAGAGCGGAGGTGAAAGCGGAGCCGAGCACGAACGAGCAAGCATCAGTACAGCACAATCGCCGACGGGTATTCTTCGATCGCTCCTTGGTCATTCCGAATGAACATCACCATCCCATCCGTCTGATGACCGTCCTCACGAGCTCATACACGCTCCGCCAGCCGGCAGACGAGAGCGAGAAGAGAAAACGCGCCTCCTCTTCTGATCCCATCCCTTGCCCAAAACCGATCGCCACCGCACACGATCGCATCAGACCCGACAAGACTCACCCTTGGGCAAGCCCTTGACCTTGTTGTACAGGCCCGCAACGCCCTGCTCGATCAGCTTGTCCCCCTCGACGCAAAGCTCGAGCACGTTCGCGCCTTCGAGGCACTTGGCGATCAACGTCTGCACAGCAGAAGAGACGACGGTGCCGGCCTGTGAAAAAAAAAAAAAAGAGCAACAGGTTTAGGAACAGGTGGGTCGGTGGGTGGTGTTGGGGTAGGCGGGCGAGGGAGGGAGGCACGGTGTGGGGTCTCGCACGACGACACTTACGGCCTTGTACTTGTCCAAAACGGCGGTGGGCACTGCCAGCGCGAGCTCGAGCGGTTATCATGTCAGTTCAAAGACCAATTTCGTGGTAGGAGAACTGAGCGTGCGGGAACGCAAGCCGTCGAACGGAAGCGAGCGACAAAAGTGGGGCAGCGCACACGCGGACGGGGCCAGAAAGAGAGAGAGAAGCGCATTCGCAGCTCAATCGACGCAGATCAGGTCCTCATCCACTCACATCCTTCAGCGGTCGCGGCTTCGACTTTGGCAGCGGGCATGGTGGAGTGTAACTGCGGTGGCTAGTCGGTCGTCGGGGGAGAAGGAGGAGGGGAAAGAAGGGGAAGAAGGGGGGAGAGACCAAGGGGAACGACCACGCGCGCCGCCAACGCCTCCAGAGTCCACACGCTGCCGAGCTCAGAACCACGCTACGAACAGGGCCGAAGCGAGCGGACCCGCGCCTTACAGGGAACAGAGGGTAATCATTCGATACAGCTCCCAAAACGTAGTAATCAAAGTAGCTATCGGTGGGATCTAGGCACTCAACACGGAGAGACACACGGATGGATTCTGACAAGAGAGATAGAACAGAGTTGGATCGACCCAGCTCGAGACGAAGCGATCGACGCTCTACGATCCACGGTAGGTGCTGTAAGCGAACGGAGCGAGCAGCAAGGGGATATGATGGTGTTCCTCGGGGTTCGCGATCGAAAACGGGATCTGCAGTGAAAAAAAAAAAAGTCAGGCTCGTGTTCAAGGATTGCTGCCAGCCCGACCAGTAACCACTAACCTCAACGAAAGGGTAGAAAGTGTGAATGCCGCGGGCCATAAAGTAGTCCGAGGTGTAGAACGTCATCTTGTACACTCCACTTTCCAGCCTCGGGTGTGCAGGCAACAGGTTCGAGCAACGCCCGTCGGAATCCGTAGCGCTGCCGCGCCGGGCCACGAATAGGAGCGGTCGTTAGCAGGCGCTCAATCGATCGATCAAGTGAGGGCGACTCACCCAGTGGCTTGTACGATGAATCCAGCCGAGGGGTTCAACTTCTCCAATTTGACGGCAATGCCCGGTGCCGGCTTGCCCGCAGTCGAGTCGAGCACTGCAGAGATGGAGCAGCGGGCGGGCGGGGATGACGGAGGTAGCGCGCGACGTGAGCTATCCCTCCGATCTACTGCAACTACAGTAGGGACTCACCATGACATGTGACGGGGGATCGGTGCAGATTCGACATCGTTTGCGTGAGAGCGCTGTTTCAAGAGGACGAGAAGACGGTGCAAGAGTGCGGGTGGGTGGTAGGCGGAGGGCGTATCTACGTCAGTGACCGACTCCGCACCCCAGACAACTGCAACGAGCGTCGGCGAGCCCGCGCGTGCTCGCTCGCTCGGACCTCGTCGAGCTCATAACCTTGCTCCAGTCAACTCACTTGTCCAATGCATTGAATCCGTCCAAACCCGGATCGACAGCAATCTCTTGGTTCGACGAAGTTGGAGGCGGTGCGATCGGCACGAGATCATCCTCGATCCTCCTCTTCTTACCATTGCTGCCGCTGCCGCTCCCGCTCCCGCTCCCGCTCTCCGAGGGACCGGCCACGGCACCACCATTCTGATGCGCCCGGATCGCCGCACTCGCCGCATCCTCAGGTTCCTTCTTCATCGACGACGAAGACCCCGTTCCTCCAACCGAGGCTTTCTTGCTCGCTCGTTTTTGCGCCTTGTCGTATTCCCAGTTCTGCACCTGTTCCTTCTTGAGCGGCGGCACGTGATTGCACGCCTCGGTGATGTGTTGGCGCAAACGGACCGCTTTCGGGTGGTCGGTCGTCCATTCGCAGTAGACGCAGGTAGCCGTCCTGTCACCCTTATACATCTCCCAGATCTTGTCACGGGGTCGACCCGATCCTCGCTGCTGTAGTGATCATGCCGGGTATCGAGTAGGGTAGGGCGAGGGCGGGAAGGGACGAGCGAGCAAGAGTCAGTCCGAGAGTTTGATACATGGACCATAATAGCAATGACACACCTTCTTGTTATCCTCGGGCGACGACACATCACCCGCATGTCCTCCCAAGCCCGTGTGCAAATCCCCGGGATGGTGTTGCTGCTGCTGTTCGAGCTGCTGTTGTTGCTGCTGCTGCTGTTGCTGCTGTTGTTGCTGGTCGTGGTGGTGGAAACTCGAATGGAACGCCGCGTCCTGCGACTGGTTCGAAAACAGGCCGGCCGTGTCGAACTCCATGATGATGGTCGTGTTTTGGGAGAGGTCAGGTCACGCAAAGGGGAATGCAAAGTCGTACAACGGCGCAAACAGCACCGGGAAGCGAGGTCGGCGCTCGACGGGGGGTCGGTCGATCGAAGAGATCCGGCCCTGGTCTGAACCACTCGTCGGCGTGAGCTGCTGAGCGGTGGGGAGTAAATGAGATCAAATGGTGCCCCTTTGACGAGACGAAACCGAGGAGAGAGGCGGAAGAAAAGGGCCAAAAGGCGTGCTCGCGCGCGTCAAGAGGGCGCAAGCGGGCGCAGTGCGGGCGCAAACTCACAGCAAGCTCCCGGCAAGCCCCCCGTCCGGCCTCCCCGTCCCGCCTTCCCCTCGCAGGCGCGCAACCAAATTCCGATTCTTGCCGAAAGGGACGCGCACGCGGCCGATTACGCTTCGGATGATATCGACCTTTTGGACCCGGAGGTTCGGCCTCGTTGGCCTCGAGATCGGCTCGTGCCGAGGTGGGGAACGAAATGAGATACTCGACTCTTGTACATTTGGGCAGTATACGTTGCTACTCTAATTTTTTTTAATAAATTTTACTTCCTACACTCATGCGACTTTACGCTTTTTCGCATTCACCGTCGACTCCGAATCTCCGGCCGTCTCTGTCGCTCCGGCCGAAATTAAAGACTTCTTTTCAAGGCTCGGAGGCACGTCCTGCCCCGCTCGCCATTTGTACTGCGCGCCGTAATGACGCTCGTCGAGTTTGACCTGGCCGACCCCGTAGATCCCTTCGCGGGCTGTGATACCTTGGCCGTCGGGGCGTTGAGGGTAGTCGGTCCAATGCACGCCGCTGTTTCGAGAAGGACGGTTCGGCGATTCGGAAGCCAAGTCTGATTCAGCGCGAGCATCTTCGACCCAAGAGTACGCGGATAAACTCACCGGCGTTGGAGTTCGGGAACGAGCAGATCGACGATATCTTCGAATGTCCCCGGTGTGATCGCGTAGCACAAATCTGCGAAAGGAATTTCGCAAGTTCAGCGTCTCGACTCGGCCGCTCGACGATTGAAATGCGGACGACTAACTGAATCCATCGCAGTCCGTCTCATCGATCCACTGCTGCATCTGATCCGCAACCGTCTTCGGTGATCCCACAACCGCATACCCCATCCCCCCAACCTTGATATGATCCCCCAACACGTCCGCGGTCCACTTCTCCACCTCGGGGAACAAAGCCGCGTACCCTCTTGCGACGCCTTTCACAGGCGGCGTACCCACCTCTCGCAAGTCGGCATCGGGTGCGTAAAGACCTAAATCGTGACCTATCCATCCTCCGAAAAGGACTTTGGCACCTTCGCGCGACGCCAAAGCGTAGTACTCGTCGTGCTTGCTCTGAGCGAGCTCGTCCGTTTCAGCGACGATCACGAGCAGTTTGACGAGTACTTTGATCGAATCACGGGGACGACCTTCTTTTTCGACGAGCTCGCGTAAAACGTCGACTTGGATGCGGATCTTGGCGGGCGATGGACCGGACATGAAGACTGCTTCGGCGTGGCGGGCTCCGAAAGCGAGTCCGGCGGAAGAGGAACCCGCTTGGTAGATCAAGGGTGTTCCTTGAGGCGAAGGTTCGACCAGTGCAGGTCCTTCACATTTGAAGTATTCGCCTTCGTGGTGGATCTTGCGGATTCGGGAAGGGTCCGCGTAGAGATCACGCGCTTTGTCGAGAATCACGGCGTCGTCTCGCCAGGAAGACTCCCATAGTTTGTAAAGGACGTTGAAGTACTCTTCCGCGCGAGCGTATCGCTCATCGTGTTCGATTTGCTCCGTCAGGCCGTACGAACGAGCGGCGGAGGTCAGGTACGAAGTGACGGCGTTGATCGCGACGCGTCCTTTGGTAAGGTGATCGAGCGTCGCGAACTTGCGCGCGACCGTGTAGGGGTGCTCGTACGTCACCGATTGGGTGATGCCGAATGAGAGGTTCTTAGTCACGAGTGCGCAAGCCGAAACTGTTGGAATCGGGGAACCCGAAGAAGTTTCCAAAGTCAGGGTTTGGAATCATCTCGCTTGTTGGGGTTTCGAGTTTCCGATCCATGGTCAAACTTACTCAGCAACGTCGGATCGTCAACACCCCACTGTGCGCCAGTTCGAGCCGCCGCATCCGGATTATTGTTGTATACATCGTAGGCTCCCAGCGTATCCGCAATACTGTTGAATTGTCCACAAAAACCGGCGATCGCATGCGTCAGAAACTTGCGAGCAAGGAGAGAGAGAGAGAGAGGGCATTCGACGACCAGAGACGCACAAAATCCCATTGAATTTGCCGCGCTCGAGCAACTTGGCCAACTCGGTCCAGTACTCGAGCGTGTGGTACTGCGCCGAGCGGTCGAGGGGGTGTTTCCACAGACCTGAAAGTAATCGGAAGAAGACAAGAAAGGTGCAGATATTTATCAGATACTTTGTATTCAAGAACGCAAAAGATCGGTCACGTGCCGTCCCTCGGCCTTTTGCGAAGGAGGGTGAAACTGACCAGGGGTTTGGTGGCCCGCGCACGCCATGTCGAACGCTGCGTTGACGTCAATGACGACAAGGACAACAGCGGGTCAGCACATCCATTCTCAGACAGTCAACACGCATTTTGATTATTGGAGGCTCAATAGCTTTTCTCAAGAATGAATGAGCTCCACGCACCATTCAAGATCCACCGCTTCTTGACCGCCGATCCATTCTGTACGTGACCATTCGTCCCATTGCTGCTCGGCCGAGGGACACGCCCATTGCTCGTCGGAGTCGCCGTCGACGTCGTGGGCAAGGGAGTAGCTGTCGACTCGTACGACTGCATTTCAGACAAGGAATCGGGAAGCGATGGGCTCAGCTTGCGAAAGACTGAGTTGAGAGAGAGAGAGCCTAGCTGCGATGATTAGATTGATGTCACGGCGCTTGCAAAAGTCGAGACGTCGACTTTGGTGCGGGCGATTGCGACACCGGCGGCCGAGCACGCAAGGCGGCGTTTGGGCCGGGCCGGCCGGTCTCGCGATTGCTATCGGCGGCATCATGTGGGGGAACGGCGGCGGTGCCGGGGTCGTGTCTCCATGAAGGGCGGATGAAGGACGTTCATCTTCCCGATGGGTCGCTCAGATCGCTAATGCGTACAGCGGATGTATACTGCACTTTCAATGTTACCGACGGCCCGACCTCTACCCGGCCCCCTGTCTTCACTCGAGGCGATTGTTCGGCCAAGTCGTCTAATCCGCATATCTCAATCCGATCATTGTTCTCATCATCACGAATACATAGGGTCATTCCATAAAAGCCAAAGCAAGATGAATCACCGCCCTCATCTCATCACCATCGCCTACAACTTCGCCTTGACCCCTTTCGCATCCTTCTTAAAGTACCCATTCACAACCCCTCTCACCTCTTCCACGACCGCCTCATCCTCAATCGTTGGTGGGAAACCGACCTTCTTATCCCACTGTGCTTCCGCAGCAGCTTCCACCAACTCCTTCACTGTCCTTCGGAGCGTTTTGCCCGAACGAGTTTTAGGGAGTCGTGGGGAGATGACGAGGCCACCGAATGTGGCGATCGAACCGATGTCCGTTCGGATGAGGGTGTTGATTGCTTTCAGAAGAGAGGCGGGAGAAGGTGGGGAGGATGCGGCGGAAGTGGAAAGGGTTACGAGGGCGAAGGGGACGTGACCTTTGACCGAGTCGGGGAGACCGACCACGCAGGTTTCGGCGATCGAGTCGTGCGAGGAGACGACTGTGCGAGGGTCGGCTTGTTTGAGTCAGTGTGGAGTCTTCTGCCACGCGAACTCTCAACACAGTTCCACCCAACGCACCTTGTTCCAACAACGACGTCCCCAAGCGATGACCCGCAACGTTGATGAGATCATCGGCGCGAGAGAGGATCGAGACAAACCCCTGTGCGTCGATCACGCCCGCGTCGCCCGTGTCGAAGTAGTCGCCTTTGCCGCGAAAACGGTCGAAATAAGCTCTGTGACATCCCGCCCCGATACTAGCTGCATGAGTATCTTGAAATCAAGGTTGTATTCGCCTGAAGGGACCCACGCTTGGAACCTCGCTTCATTCTTCCACACCGTCCCCAAGGCCGAAGGAGGTAACGGCTGGCCCAACACGATGTTGCCCATCTCCCCTCGCTTCACTTCCTTCCCCTCATCATCGACAATCCTCACATCCATTCCAGGCAAAGGCAACCCGGCACTCCCGGGTCTCGGCGCCAGTGGAGGGAACACCGAATTGAGTTGCAAAGCCGTGATCGGGGATCCGGATTCGGTTGACCAATAATTGTCGTTCACGATCGCTCCCGGGGCGGCGTATTGGGTCAAGAGGGTTTGGTAGCGCGAGATGATGCTCGGTTCGGAACGTTCGCCTGCAAGGAACAGTGAACAGAGCGAGGAGAGGTCGTATTTGGACATGTGGGTCGCGTCGGGATCTTCGCGACGGATCGCGCGGAGCGCCGTCGGGGCGGTGAACACACAGTTGACTTTGTGCGTTTCGACGACTGTGACATCGAATCGCTTTTTTATCAGATCTGGCTAATCTGCCAAGGCTGATAGAAGCGCGATCCATACTCACTTTTCCAGAAGATTCCCGCATCAGGCAAGATTGCTGCGAAACACCCGGATATCTCACCCCATGATCAGCGCATCCGACCCCAACACGCACCCCAACATGAACACGCCCTCGTCTCAACTCACGTTTTCCCTCAAAGATAACTGAAGCACATCCGACCAGCATGGGCGAGTAGACGCAGAACGAATGGCCGACGACCCAACCGTAGTCGGAGAAGCAGGCGATCGTGTCCTCGCGCTTGAGGCCGAAGGTGTGTTCCATCGTGTAGCGCGACGCGACGGCGTGGCCTCCGTTCTGGAAAGGAAAAAGTTTTTTCAGATTCAGATGTCAAAGTTTTCGAGTGTGAAAGCATGGGGGACTCACGAAACGCACGACACCCTTCGGCATTCCGGTCGTGCCTGTTTGGGTAAAATGTGTCCGTCAGTCTGGGCTCGATGAAGCGACCGACAAAGACCGGGAGTGTACTCACCACTCGTGTAGAGGATGTAAAGCGGGTCACTACGAGGAAGAGCATGGCCCCGAATCAGCTTTCCGAGTCAGTGTATCACAAGCACTCCAACTCACCTGCTTTTGACAGCAACACATTCTTCCACCCCCTTGCCACTTTTCCTCACTCCCTCCATCTCGCTCTTCCAGTCCAACCAACCTCTATAGCTCCCCTTGCCCAGCCCAGGCGCTTGATGGTCCTTGATACCTTCTCTTCGAAGCATCAACACCCTAGCGTCCTTGTGCGTCGAATGGGACAAGGCCTGGGACACGAAGGTCGAATAGTCGAGAACGCCTTTGGGTTCGAGACCGCAGGAAGCGGCGATGATGGCGCGGGGTTGGGCATCATCAATTCGTTTGGCAAGTTCTGTAAGGGTCAGAAAGGCCATATATGGTTACAGTAGAAAGAGGGAGGAGGAGATAGGTTTTGGTCTATACCTTTGGGAGCGAATCCGCCAAAGACGACGGAATGGATCGCGCCTATCCGAGCAATGGCCAGCATTGCGATTGCGCCTTCCAATACCATGGGCATCTACATGGGATTGTGGCCGAGAGTAAATAAATTCGGCGTCAGCAAACATAGTAGTCGGACGGCACTGGTCTGGAATGAAGCCCCTCTCCATCGGCCCCGCATGGCGCTGTCCCCCCACTGCTCAGACTCGAGACCGATCAATCACATAGACGATGACCCGATCCCCCTTCTTGACGCCCAAGGTGTGTCTCAACACGCCAGCAAGCGTCTTGACCTCTGCCAAGACCTCGGCGTAGGTCATGCTCCTGCTCGAGCGCGTTTGCGGTGGGAGAGGAGATACGTGGTGGAGACAGGGGCGAGAACCGAAACCGGCTTGGACGTGGCGGTCGAGGGCGTTGTAGCATGTGCTGAGCTCGCCGTCCGGGAACCAGGTTGGTCGCTGTGGGGCGAGGTGAGCTTCAGTGTTCTGCAGTACTTTTGGTGACATGCCGCCGATGTGAGTGCACCACTCCGAAGTGAGCTCGAGTGCGAATGTGGGGCACGCGGCTACCCCGCATCGCACCGCGGCCGAGGGAGCGAACCGAGGTGGGGGCGACCAAGACCCGCCGCACCCAGACCGTGCGACCGAGCGACCGTGCGACCAGGTGACCGTTGAAGTTTAAAGTTTGACCGTGCGACCGAGCGAACCCAATTGCAACTGACCTCCTGTCCTCGGCCGACTTGACCATACGCAAAACTCGGTGACTTGACCCAATCGATCGTTTTGCTCGCGTTCAGCCAGAACGCTTGCGCATTGGGGTTGCCTAGAGCTTGGGTCGTCGAGGTCGATGACGACTCGGAGAGCGAGGTGGGGAGCATGATCGAGATGGACTCGGCAGAGTGGGGGTCCGCCGAGGGGGGTGTCGAGAGGAGGGAGAGCGTGTTGATGGCTTGTTGAGGGTGCATGCTGACGGGATTTTTGTAGGCGAAGGGTGTGGGGGGAGAGAGGCAGAGCAAGGTCGAGCACTTCTAGTCTGCTGGGCCGAGTCGCTGCGGGGCGCTTCGGGTCCGTCCGCGCTCGAGATGATCGCCCTGGCGCTGCAGCTGGGGGCAATTCCCCGCGCAACTTGAACTTATGCCTCGGCTTCTCGTCCCCTAGCTTCCGAACTGCGCCCGTGCGACGCAGGTATAAAACATCATTTTCCTCGACGATAAAACGCCTGGAATTCTAGTGCACTTTGGTGGGAGCACGAGTGTCCCCTATTCACGATGTGCTGTGGAACTTGCGACAGTCACGCCACGGGCGATGTCCGAGTCCGCACCCAGCTTCGACGGGCGAGATCTCTTCCTTCTTTTTCTCGGGTTTAATTCCACGTGCCATTGGCGAACGTATTCACGCGCCGTTCACCACTCGTCCTGCAACGCCGAGGTTCAGCGACCTCGACCGTCGCAGTCGATCAAGTATTGACCGGCTGTCCATTTTCCATCGAGGGAATTGTAATTTGAGCTACACGACTATCTTACCCCTCGCATCTCCCCAACCTACACATCATCGTTTCATTCCTGATCCTTCTTTTGTTCCAAGCATCATTTTCAATCTATGCCAAAGACTCGAGATCCGTTTTCTTCGTTCCGACCGAACGTGAATTCTGCCGCGAGCGAAATTTACTCCTCATCATCGTCCTCCTCGTCCTCCTCGTCTTCATCATCGTCGGCTTTGTCCTGCGGGATAACCGCATCGTCATCGTCTTCGTCATCGTCGTCTTCGGTCGCTGGGGGCATAGGCACTTTGGCTAGGGGCAGCAGAGGGAGGGACTCGAGTTAGTTCGGCTCCTAGTTGACGGAGACGGAAAAGGATCAACACGCACTGTAATCGATTTTCTTGCCGCCTGTTGTGGAATCAAGCACAACCGATCATGTTCACTCGATTAGTACAAAGTGTCGCTCGTCCGAGATGATCCCCACAGCCCGAAGAATCATCAAACTCACGCGTACGGCGCCCCTCGATGATGTTGCTCTGATCGAGGTGCGACAATTCGGCTGTGAACGCGAAATCGCCCACGACGATTAGACGGTCGTCATCACCGAAAGCAAGTAAGGGGTCAAAAAAAATATGTTGGGGCTGACCACTGGCTTCGGCGGCATCCTCGTCGACTTGAGCGTCGGTCGTCGAAGCGGCCGTTGGTTCGGGCTCGGCTTCGGCAGGGGCAGCTTCGGGTTTGGGCTCGTCTGCTTTGACTCTGTGAAGAGAGAGACCAAGGATCAAAATATGACTTGGGGGAGAGAGCGCCCAAGCCGAAGCGCGGGTGGGAGGGGTGGGGGCACTTGCCCAAACCGCATTCCCGTCCCACCCTCGCGACGACAGGACCCACTTTTTGGCCTCGGCCTCTTGGGCCGGAGCTTCTTCAGCCTGTCGCTTGGAAGAAGTGTCGTCCGTGGTGGCGGTCGTGGTGGTGGAAGGAGCGGCGGGGGTGTCTTGGGCTGGGGCAGGAGCGGTCGCGGCAGCGGTGGAAGGAGCGTCGGTGGAGGACATGGCGGATCGGAACTGGGTGAGAGGGTAAGAAGAGTCAGTATTGGATCAGGGGGACAGTAAGGACAGCGCGGCTTACCTGGGCTTACCTGGGTACGGGTGAGTGTGGTGGGCAGAAAAGAGGGAGAGAGACGCGTCTACGCGTCGCCTCGAGGTGGGGAAACCGCGCGGGAGAACGGAGAGGCGGACAATGCTATTTAGTAATAGCAACCGCGCGCGCCGTCGCTAATGACTAATTCAGAATCCAAGTTTTTGGCCAAGTCCGTCGCCGCACCCGAGGCAGGTCGCGCGTGACTTTGGTGTGCGTCCTGCTGCAGCTTCTGTCTCGAGACGCGTGGGTGTCTCCGCGAGTGAGGTTCTCTTTGCACGACGATGGACGCCAATACCTTGTTCCAGCTGTTCAACGCCTCTTTCGATGCCGGTACGTTCTTTCGTCGAAAGCCATGAGCCAAGTGCCCGCGCGCCTCGACTTTGACGCGGGAAAAGACACGTCCTGCCTCGAGGATGCGGTGTGGGTGTGGGTGTGTCCTATGCTAGATCCGGGGCTGACGTCCAGCCCTACTATCGTACTGCCCACCCCACAGATCCGAACGTCCGCATCTCGGCTGAACTCGAACTGCGAAAGGTCCGTTCCGCTCTCTACGATCGACCCCCTGACCGCGCGGTCCAGCGCTCTCCCCGTTGCGCCCTCTGGTCCTTCACGCGCGCCTGGCGCTGACCACGACGCGTCCCACCTCCCGCAGCTCGAATCGGTTCAAGGTCTCATCCCGACCCTGCTGCAACTGATCGCGCCCTCGTCGTCGGCCTCGTCCGTCGTACGCCTCGCAGCGTCCATCTACCTCAAGAACCGCGTAAAGTCGTCCTGGAGGATACCCAGTCCCTCCTCCCTGCCGTCCTCTTCCACCAACCCCTCCGCCCGGACCAACTATACTCCCATCCCCTCCTCCGATCGAGTTTCACTCAAGGCGAACCTACTTCCCTTGCTCAACTCGTTGGCGAACGATCATTCCCAGGGAAATGACAAGGTCAAGGCCCAGGTCGCGCAGGTCTTGGACAAGGTCGTGTCGATCGATTACCCCAACGATTGGCCCGGTTTGGGCCAGGAGATTCAGAACTTGTTCGCGACGGGCGACCAGGCCGGCATCGAGGCCGGATTGAGGGCTGGCGTTTGTGTCTTTTCGGCGTTGAGGTCAGTGTCGATCGCCGTGCGAGTGCGAGAGGCGGCAGTAGCTAACTTGTTTGATGCGATCCTCTCCTGTCCAGATTCAATGGTGACGAACGCAAGACCGATACCTTGCCGAACCTCGCCGCGTCGCTCTTGCCTCAACTGCTCGCGCTCTCGCAACACATCATCACCCCTTCGCCTACGGACGCGAGCTCGTACGCCGCGCAAGGCACTTTACTCGCCCTCCTCATCAAGGCGTACAAGAATTCGATCTCTCATACGCTTACTCCCGCACATCAAGCGCACGATTCGATCGTCCCTTGGGGGAGTTTGTTGCTTCGAATCGTGCAAACCCCTTTGGCGATCCAGTTGCTCCCCGAGGACGAAGACGAGAGGGAAGAACACCCGTGGTGCAAAGCCAAGAAATGGTCCTTCTTCGCCCTCAACCGTCTCTTTGATCGTTATGGCAACCCCTCGCAATTGCCCTCGAACATGAAGGAACCCTACCTCGCGTTCGCGCAGAGGTTCGAACAGCAGTTCGCACCGGAGATCTTGAAAGCTTATTTGGGCCTTGTCGAGAGGTTGATCGGAGGGGAGTGGCAGAGTAGGAAGGCGAAGACTTTCGTTCTGAACTACTTTATGGACTGGTCAGTCGAAACTTGAACAACAAGTTGAACGAAACGCGTCGCACGCACGCTAACTCAAACAGTTGACGTCTCTGGCGCCGACACAGCATCAAGCCGAAGAACACGTGGGCGTTGATCAAACCGCACATCATCCCGCTCGTACAATCCTTCATCTTCCCTTTGGCCTGTCTCACGGACGACGAGATCGACCAATTCTCCGAGGAGCCGCAGGAGTTTGCCAAGGCGCATTTCGGCGATTTTGTCATGGATTCGTACGGCTCGCCAACGGCCTCGGCGTTGAGCTTTATCAACGAACTCGTCGAACTTAGGACCGCTTTCGCCCTTCGACCGATCCTGACCTTCATCCAACAAGTCGCGTCCAAGTACCCTACCGAGACGACGCCGCAGCAGAAAGATGCCGCGTTGAGGATGTTGATCGCTTTGGCACCGACGGCGGTCAAGTCCAAAAAGATCGCGCCCATGATGGAGAGTTTCTTTACGGTTCACGTCTTGCCCGAATTCAAGAGCAAGCACGGGATATTGAGGTATCGTGTGTGCGAGGTGGTGGAAAAGTACGAGAGCTTTGATATGAAGTGGGAAACGAGGACGGTAAATCGTTATCATGCCGGCTGTTTGGCCTTTATGGGGATGTTCCATGCTCACTCGCGCGTATGCTTTGCTTTGCCCTTCTTACAGAACCTTGATGCGATTCTGCACGCCTTGATGAATTGCATCACCGACCCGGAACTGCCCGTACGGATCCAAGCTGCGATCGCGCTGCCCGAGTTGATCCGGTACGAAGACGTGCGCGCCGAGATGGTCCCCAACGTCGGGCGCATCATCCAGGAACTGCTCAAGCTCTCGAACGAGGTCGATCTCGATGCTTTGACCAACACGACCCGCGCGCTCGTTGGCGAGTTCCAGCTCGAGGTCACACCCTTTGCGGTCGAGTTGACGCAGTCGTTGACGAGTTCGTACACGCGCTTGATCCACGAGTCGATCGAGGCGCGCGCTCGCTCGAACCCCGATGACGAGAGTCTGTTGTATGGCGACGAGAAGACGCTCGTGCAGATGAATTTGCTCAAGACGATAGAGCAGTTGACCGTCTCGCTCGAAGGGATGCCCATGTTGGATCAGATCGAGGCGATCGTCGCTCCGGCGTTGCAAATCACGATCGAGAACGAGTGCATTGGTGAGCCGGGATCCTGCCCCATCGTCGCCCAATTGTCGCCTAGCCGGTTCTTGACGACGGACGGCTGATGCTTTGGGATCATGGCATTACAGATCTGTACGACGAGGTGTACGACATCCTTGACTCGCTCACCTTTTTCCAGAAAAAGATCTCGCCGTGCCTGTGGCCGATCTTTGTCGCGACGTACAACACCTTCAAGGCCGGCTCGGTCGAGTTCGTACACGAGATGTCCGGCTTCCTCGACAACTGCGTCACGTACGGACGCGAGGTCATGACCACGAACGAAGCGTATCGAAGGATGGTGATCGACATGTACGATACGATCATGGTCTCTCGCGAATTGGGCGCCGCCGATCGGTGCACGGCGTGCAAGCTCGCCGAAGGGATCTTGTTGAACTTGGCCGGGCACGCCGACGAGGCTTTACCGATCATCTTGGAACGCTCGATGAAGATCGTGCTCGCGCGCAAGACCGACGACCCGGACTACACCATCACTAACAGCTTGTTCCTCCATGCTCTCGAAGTCGTCGTAGCGGCCGTCTTGTACAACCCTGCTTTGACGCTCGCGACTCTCGATGGTCACGATTGGACGCAGCAGTTCTTTGCGGTCTGGTTCAAGAACTTGGCTCGTTTCACGCGCGTGCATGATAAGAAGATGATCGTTTCGGCCATGTGTGCGCTGTTGGAATGGCTCGCACAAGGGGGGAAGGAATCGCCGTTGGCGAGGAACGCGTCGATGGTCGTCGTTGGCGCGTTGACGGTGTTTAAGGAGTTGCCCGGTGCGCTGGTCAAGAGGAGAGCGTTGGAGACGCATTATGCAGAGGGGGGCAGTGATGAGGAAGAGGAGGATGTCGATGATTTTGATGAGGAGGATCTCGACGAGGAGGGGGAAGGTTAGCCTCATCCTTTGATTGTGCTTCACTGACTAGAGCACTGACACTTTTCGTGCCTTCAAACGATACGTAGGCGAGGAAGGGGATCTAAAGGACGCCACGAACGATTACCTCGAACGACTTGTGAGTCAAGAAACACAGTCGATTCAGGCCTGCTCGACCCTGCGAATCTAGCTGATACACCTTCCATGATGATTTTCGATACAGATTGCACGAGATAACGCCGGTGCAACAGAAGGTGAAGACGACGATGATGCTCGTTCTGATTGGTCCGACGAGATCCTCTGGGCCTCCCCGTTGGACGATGTCGACGCCTATGTCAAGTTCACGACCGTGCTCACGACGCTCGAACGGTCTGTTCCTGACTTGTTCCAACTTGCTGTTGGACCTTTGGACGCAAAGCAAAAGGCCGAGTTGGAGGTCGTTGCGAGGAGAGCTCTGGCGGGTGGGGAGAAGGCCGAGGTGGAGACGCCGGCAGGGGAGCAGTAAGAGCCTGATATGTTGAAGGTAATGGTCACTCCTTTCGCAAATGTATGTCATCCAATTCCTGAGGGAGAGAATCGAGTGGTCGGTCGCGCGAACGTCCCATGCCGGACGCTTTCAGAAGTCGAGACTGAAAATTTCTAGAGCATGATCATTCGATTGCAGCGCAAAATAACGAAATATAATACCGAGCCCAATAAGTACTGGCTAGTGATTCAATCATCTGAAGACCGTCCATAACTCATCCAAGCATGGAGCTTGTGTGGCTTGTCTCTTTGATGGAGGTATTCGGGCCCGTACGACACGACCCCGGTTTTCATCTCTACGCCGCGTTCCCCGAAGGAGCGACAGTGTGATGGATCGCGAATTGCCTGCTTGGCTTGGGCGCTCACGGCGGAAGCAGCTGCTTGTTGAGTGTGATGCACGTGATGGGAGACAAGTATATTGGGGTCACTCGATGCGAGATCGCGTTCGATGGCTTTTATTCGGGAGGTGACGTCGCCGCGGGCCTATGCAGTCTTCGACCTGTTATACAATGCGGACTCCATGTGTAATCAACCTTACACAGTTTGTCAAGCAGAATAGTAATTCGAGCAAGTCCATACCGCCTTTCTTGCCACAAAGACTTCAACACTTCAGCGGTCAATCGATGCCATTCACTCGCCGAGGTGGAGTCCGAGCTCGGACCCGAGCATGATCGAGGGAGCTCTGCTGCGCAGTTGCAGTAGTTGTCAATGATTATGAGCAGGCAGTGCTCTCGGAATTCATCAATCACTTCGATACGAATGGCCAATTTTACAGACCGATCCGCAACATTTTGTTGTCCGCGGGAGGAGTTCCGAGGAGCTCTGATCGCCCGATCGATCGTGCGGGGCGGGGCACACAGGAGGTCGCTTCCCAACGGCTGAGGTCGGTCATCGCGCCGTTCCACCTACTCTGTTGGGCTCCCTCCTCTACCTGCTTGCTCGCGCACTCGACCGCCTTGCCACACTCTCAGCTCATCATGACTGCTCGTCAGCTTGCCGCCCTTCGTGAACTTGCCGCGCTTGCTGAGGTCGGTGTTGCTCCAAGTCCACCTCCGCCGACGAGCATTCGGGTGATCCCAAACCCGCGGCTGACACGGCGCCGCTTCTCGCTCGCGCTCTCGTTCCCTCCCGAGCTCGTCGAATTGATCGGCCATGCGCTGATCGGCAAGGACCCCAAGATGATTCAGTCAACGCACTATGGTGATCTGTGTCGCTCGTCGCTCGTGTGTCGTGCGTGGTCGGGTCAGATGCAGATGCTCTTGTGCCAGATCGTCGTTCTGCGTGATCATCACCAGCTCAAGGCGTTCGTGCGCTCGGGACTCACGCACCGCTATCGCACTCCGCAACTGTCGCTCGAGCTCGAGCTCGAGCTCGAGAAAGAGAACACGACGGCCAAAGAGCGGCGACGCATGCGTCGACACCCAGACGAAAGCGACGAGACCACCGGTTCGCTCTGCAAGACTTTGATGCGCACCGCCCAAGGAGTCGTTTCCCTCTCGATCGGAGCTTGCGACTTTGAGCTCGATCAAGAGTCGATTGACAACCTCAAAGGTACGTAATTTGTCGTCCTTCCGGAGCGATGCAGGAACAAGCGTTCTTTGTACTAATTTGCCGCCTCGGACAATCAACCCTGTCACAATAGATGTTCAGAACTTTCGCCTCTCGAGCTCCTGCACGGTCCGCTCGGCCCCCGATTTCCAACCCCTTGAATGGCCAAACATTCGCACATTCCATGTCGATGGGACCGACCCCGCAGTCGCCCTTGCTGTCGTGAACAGCTACGGAATGCCAGGGCTCTCTCAAGCGTCGCTTTACCCCAAGCCGGAGCAATTCCAAGAGACCGAGATCGCCAAATTCTCTTCGGCTTCTTCAACACTTACGGCGGCATTCTCGCCCACATGGTCTTGAGTTGCCTCGATTTCGAGGACGAGGAATACTACCGATTGGGAGAGTTGTTGAAGCTGTCACTGCGACCTTGCCATGCGTTAAAAGTCCTCAAGCTCACGGCGACCCAATTCGCGAAGCTCATCGACTACATCCCTGCGACGGTGCAGATTCAACAACTCACGCTCCAGTACTCTGTCACGACTCGCACGGCGGCGATTGAAGCGGCCGACCAAGCCATGAAGATGATCCGCGCACCTTGCTTGGACGACCTATGGTATCTCGGTGTTCAACAAGAGAAGCAGAATCTTTTTGGACAACAGGTTGAGGGGGGTGGGGTCATGTTCTTTGCTTCGTTCGGACAACGCGAGGAGGTGCCCCCTTTCGATATCGAGGTGTATTGGGAGCCGCTGAAGCAGTTCTGTCGCGATAACAAGATCTTGTTCCGCTTCAATCTTGATAGCTGGTGATAATGCGGTGAGTTTTGAATTTCCTTTTCGTTCGACCAGCGGGAGCCCGTCGAACTTGATGGGTGGATGAAATTCAAAACCGGGAGAATTGAACAGTTTAGATGATTCGGCAGAGGTAAATAAGATAACACGAAGTACAACAGATAACCTTATTTCCATTCGTCACCCTGAGAGCACTACGAAATACATAGCAAAGATGCGTCTCAAGTCGCGGCGCGCGATCCCCATAGCAAAGAACCCCCCCTGAAGTCATCCCGGGATCTGTAAGGCAAGGCCTTACGACGGGCCACAGGCATTAGAAATAGAGCTTGCGCGCGCCTAGCTTCTTCAGCTCTCTCTTCATCGAGCTGACACCAGAAGCTAGGTGAGTACTGGTGTTCCCTATCTCAGCACTATCGTATCTCATCGAGCTGACACCAGAAGCTAGTTGTAATCCATATAACTTGCACCTGTCATCTTCGGTCACCAGTGAGGCTCCGCTGTCCGAGACAGCGTGCCTTTCACTTTTTTTTTGACAACGTCGAGTTCATTGGTACCCCAACGATACGGCCTACGCTCATCAGGTCCGGCCGTACTCGAACCATCGAACCAATCGACTAGCCAGGATCGTTCAAATCAAGACGACCCTGCAGCACTAGCAGCCCAGCGCCCCAGCCCAGCCCAGCCCAGCACGCCCGCACCAGCCCCGCCCGCACACGCCCCGCCTCCGCACAAGCCCACACGCACTCCGCCTCCGCAAGAAGACGCAATTCACACGCGCCCCCCCCCCCCAGCCCAGCCCAGCACGCCCGCCATGTCCACTCCTGTCCCGCCCACGCACGTATACAAAGCCAGCGACCCACCTCAGCTGCATCAAACTTCGATGGAGGCTCTTCGGGAATAGTTCATGCGCCTGGATTACTACAACCGGCGCGTGGCCCGTGTACCCGTCACTTCCGACCACGACAAGATCGAAGGCGCTGGTATGGGGTTGCAAGTCCTGGCGCTCAAAACCTGGTTCTCTCAAGGGTTGAGCAAACACCTTGCTAAACCGTACGCCCAATTCAAGTCGGAGTTGATCCGCCGCGCCGTGCCCGCCGATTTCGTCTGGACGCAACTCGAGGTGTTGCACCGGCAACGCCAAGTGACGGGTCACGATGTACACGCGTTCCAGGACTTCTCCGATCGAATGCGCGTCCTCCAGATGGAGATTGGGTTCCAGGTCGTCTCGGATCAGGAACTCGCCAAGCTTGTTCTCCTCGGCACCGATCCCGAGCTGTGCCGACTTCTCCGCACGCATGTCGTCTCGTCGCTAGCTGGATGGTCCGATCTCTCACTCGAGAGACTCGCTCTCGATGCTCCCGCCCCAGCTGTGGTCTCGGAAACCGACGTCTACAGCGATGCACCGGCGGAGCAACCCGGGGAGTTCGATTATCAAGTATTCGAACGGATTGGACGCGAAGAGTGGGGCGTCATCGCGCAACGCCGAGCGGCCATTGCGACCCAAGTCGCCGCACTCCAACAACAGCGGCCGAACACACGACCGACGGCCTTCGCAACGGCGACGATGCGACCAGTCCCCACCACCGCCCCAGCCTCGGGGGGACCCCGTCCCCGGCTCACCGCCGAGGAGCGCGCCTACCTAGACGCGAACCATGGGTGCTATCGCTGCCGCGCCCTTAATGCGGATCACATGTCGAGCAACTGCCCTCGATATGTCCCTGCTCCCGGAGCGCCCGCCACCTCGTCGACTCCCCTGTCGACCGCTCCCGCCGCTCGCACTCGTCCTGGTATGGTGGCGGCCATCCAGACGTTCCAAGAAACGGGTGATTCAACCGCGTTTGCTGGCCTCAACAGTGACTCGGAAGACGATGCTTACTCGTACGCCCCTCGCTCGTTCCCGCCTTTACCCGTCTCTCTGCGTGGTGCTCATGGTACCCTCACTGCCTCGGCCCTCGTAGATTCGGGGTCGCCTCAAACGTTCCTCAGTGAGGACTTCGTTCAGCGATTGGGATTGGAAAAACGGGCCTTGGAACAGCACACGAAGTACACTCTTGCAATGCAGAACCAAGTTCCCACCGTCTTCACCTGCACGCATTTTGTGCGAGTTCCGGTCGAACTGGCTAATGGACGTTGGGCGGCGGGCCCCACGTACGCCGAAGTGGCGCCCCTTGGGAGGGACCTCGAGCTTATTCTGGGAGGCAACTTCATCTACACGCACAAGATTGACCTAGGTCATTTCCCCCACCCCCACCTCACGTGTAAGAATAACCCGGAGGAGCCAATTGACCTGCTTGAACTATCGTCCCAGCCGCGCGGCACGTCGCCCGTGGCCGCTATCGCGCCCGTCAACGAAGACGAACAGCTCCGCCTTGCCGCGCTCGACCAGCGCCTGCGCGCGGTTTACGCTGATCGCTTCCCTGACGACATTCCACCGGTTGCCACCTATCAATCCCCGGTGCGACACCATATCGAGCTTGACAACCCGCGCACTGTGATCAACCTGCGCGGCTATCCGGTCGCCAAACGCCATCGCCAGGCATGGTACCTGCTGCTTCAAAAGCACCTCGCAAGTGGCCGTCTTCGCCCCTCACGTTCGCCGTACGCGTCACCGGCGTTCATCATCCCCAAGAAGGGCTCGGATGTGGACCCGACCATTGCACCGCGATGGGTGAACGACTACCGCCACCTCAATCGGCACACCATCAAGGACCGCACACCCTTGCCCCTGGCCGATGACATCCTGTCGACGTGCTCCAAAGCGCAGTTCTGGGCCAAGATTGACATGACCAACTCCTTCTTTCAGACCAAGATGGCGGAAGAGGATATAGCAAAGACCGCGGTTTCGACACCCTGGGGTTTGTACGAATGGACGGTCATGCCCATGGGACTCTGCAACGCGCCCGCCACCCACCAGCGCCGCGTCAACGACGCCCTGCACGGATTACTCGGCACCATCTGCTTCGTCTACCTTGACGACATCACCATCTTCGCCGATACGCTGGAGGAGCACGAGGCCCGTGTTTGCCAAGTTCTGGACGCCCTGCGCCGAGCCGAACTCTACTGCTCGCCATCAAAGACCAACCTCGCCACCTCGGAGTGTGAGTTTCTTGGCCACATCATCAACCGCTCCGGCGTACACGCCGACCCCAAGAAGATCAAGCGCATCCACGACTGGCATCTCCCAGCGACCGTCACGGAATTGAAGGGGTTTCTCGGTTTGGTGCAGTACCTCCGCAGGTTCATTCCGGGCCTTGCCGAGCATACCGCTGCGCTGACCCCGTTGACAATCAAAGGGCTGACATCCATCGGCAACCTCTGGACAACTCCAACGGTCCGTCACTTCGAAGCCATCAAGTCCATTGTCGTCTCCCTTGACTGCCTACGCCCGCCCGACCACTCTGCCGATGCCATGCCATTCTGGGTGATGACCGACGCCAGTCTTCAAGGTATCGGAGGTGTGCTCCTGCAGGTCTCGCATTGGAAGACCGCACACCCCATTGCCTACTGGTCGCGTCAATACATCCCAGCTGAACGCAACTACCCTACGCACGAGCAGGAACTCCTAGCTATTGTCGAGGCTCTCAAGGAATGGCGCATTGATCTCCTGGGTGGCCATTTTCACATCCTTACCGACCATTCCACACTTGAGCACTTTCAGACGCAGCGCACGGTCATCTCGCGACGCCAGGCGCGCTGGCTTGACACCTTGGCCGAATTCGATTACGACCTCCAGTATCTCCCGGGCAGGGAGAACATTGTAGCCGACGCGATGAGCAGGTACTCCTTTCCCGAGCCACTTCCCGTCATTGTGGCCAACATTTCGCAAGTCTCGCTCTCGGATGTCGTCAAGCAGCAAATTGTCGACGCGTACAAAACCGACGCATTCTGCCAGCAAGCCCTGAACAACATCGCGTCGGTCGCATCGGAGTTCAAGATTATTGACGCATTGCTGTATTTACGGGGCCGGCTTGTCATTCCACTACTAGCCCCGCTCCGTGAGTCCATCCTTCACGATGCTCATGACGCGCTGGGGCACCTAGGTGATGTAAAAACGTACCAGACTGTTATACAGACGTACTTTTGGCCGAACATGTCCCGCCACGTCAAGCAATACGTGCAACAATGTGACTCATGTCAACGAACCAAGGCCCGTACCACTCGCGTCGCGGGCAAGCTTCACTCCCTTCCCGTTCCAGTGCGCCCCATGACGGACATCGCCGTTGACTTTGTCGGACCGTTGCCATCAAACAAGGGGTTCGACCGTGTCTTGACGATCACCGATCGACTGTCGGGATATGTCCGCCTCATCCCTGCGCGCGAAGCCGACACAGCGGCGGATGTTGCCAACCGCTTTCATGAGGGGTGGCATCGTTTTTTTGGCCTGCCTCAACGCATTGTCTCGGATCGTGACAAGTTGTTCACGAGCAAGTTCTGGTCCGCCCTGCACAAGCGTCTGAACATCAAGCTGCAACTTTCCTCGGCGTTCCACCCCGAGACTGACGGGCGCAGCGAGAAGACGAACAAGACCGCATTCCAGATCCTACGCTCGCTTGTCAACAGGGAACAATCCAATTGGGTTGAATGTCTCACCGCTTGTGAGTATGCCATCAACTCGTCGGTCAACGTTTCGACGGGGAAGACCCCGTTTGAGCTTGTCCTGGGGTACACACCCACCCTCGCCCCGCTTGCCCCTATTGAGGGCGACGAGGAGCTCCCATCGGTTGAGGAGCTGCTCGCACTTCGCTTCCAGTCATGCGAGGAGGCACGAGACCAACTCGCTGTGTCCAAAGTTCGTCAAGCCGCCCAAGCCAACAAGGACCGCGCGGATGAACCTTCATGGGCCGTCGGGGACCTTGTGCTGCTCGACTCAAGTGACCGCAGGAAGCGACTTCACACCCGCAAGCGCCGCGCAGCCAAGCTCATGGACCGTTTCGACGGCCCTTATCGCATTGTTGCGGCGCAGCCAGGGATCTCCACGTACACCTTGCAACTCAACAAGGACGATTCCGCGGTACCGTTCTTCCACACGGGCAAGCTCAAGGCCTACCGCTCAAATGATTCGGAATTGTTCCCAAGCCGAGAACCCGCGCGCCCGGGACCGGTGGACGTAGGTGGAGAACCCGAGTGGGTCATCGAGGACATCGTCGATGAAAGGGTCCGAGCGGGGAAGACTCAATATTTGGTCTCTTGGGTTTCATGGCCGTCGGATAGCGATTCATGGGAGCCTGCCGAGGCACTGGAGGACACGGAGGCATTGGACCGTCGGGAACATCGGAACGAGGAATGAGAGTGTTTTTTCAGAGGGGAGCTTTGTGTCAAGGAGGGGAGAGTGTAAGGCAAGGCCTTACAACGGGCCACAGGCATTAGAAATAGAGCTTGCGCGCGCCTAGCTTCTTCAGCTCTCTCTTCATCGAGCTGACACCAGAAGCTAGGTGAGTACTGGTGTTCCCTATCTCAGCACTATCGTATCTCATCGAGCTGACACCAGAAGCTAGTTGTAATCCATATAACTTGCACCTGTCATCTTCGGTCACCAGTGAGGCTCCGCTGTCCGAGACAGCGTGCCTTTCAGGATCATCCCGGGACTATTCGAAATCGCACGTCGCATTTGTAATTCCGGAGTGCATTTGAAATGCATTTGGGATGGTTGCGCCGATTTGAACTGCTCGCCAGCTGTTAACTCGCGCTGTCCAGCACGATCCTCGCACACTGGATGCTAGGAGCACCCTTTGCCATGATTTTGAGAGGAGGGCCGGCCGAGATCGCTCGCCGATCTCCGAAACCGTCTCGGGCCTCGGTCATTCGCTGGAGCTGCCAGTGAGCCCAGTCGGCCCGCCCTCGCGGTATTGTCTATAAGGATCAGTCTTGCACGGACTAGCTAGCTCATAAGCTTTTGCTTCACGGCTTGTGGGACGTCTAGAGAGGTGCCCCGTGCCGGGGTGGGCGAGAGGGGGCAGCAATGGTATACCAACCCTCTACCAAGCTTTCCCCGGCCAAAGAACAGAGAAGCTGCCTTATCGCGCGTCCGCGCACGAGTTCCTTTGGCCGGCTTAATGGACCCGCCGATCTGGCGAGTGGCGCGAGGGGGCGCGCTGCACTCGCCTGCACCGCGCTCGCCGCGCCCGCCGGGGCGCTCTTTACCTCCAGCGGTCCACTTGGGGCCTCACTACCTCCAGCGTCTCGCTCTGTATGCCTTCTGCCAACGAAGCGACGCCAATTGTTTCCACCAACTCTCGGCCACCAACGCTCACCCGACTCCTCGCTACTTGTGCTCCATCCGAGCGTGTCACTCAACTGCTACGCGCGTTCAAGCCACGCTGGGACGACCGCCTACGATTGCGTCGCACGGCTGGGAGGATTGAAATGGGACTCACCCGCGTCTCCTGGCGTCAGGGTTCTCAGCTCTTTCTTCGACTTGCTGGAGCAGCACCCATCATTGCTGGAGCTGTTCCGCGAGAAGCTGGACGCCATCAGCAATGCTCCTTGCAGCGAGATGGCTCGGAAGAGCGAGGACGATGTCAGACTTTCGTTCGAAGAGCTCTTCTTTGGCGGCTTACGATCTGCAACGGCGGCGCTGCTCAATCATCATGCCGCGATCACCGAGGCCGCTTCCGCATCGACCTCCGCGACGAGACCCCGGTACACGGTCCGGTTGGCCAACCCTGACCGTGCTCTCCGCACGCAGGGCGATGCTGTCCTCTACATTCAACGTGGGGCTGGCAACGTCGTTGCAAGTATCTCGATCGAATACAAGCGGGACAACGTACATCATAGCTTGGCCAAGGTACGCATCTGCACCCTTCGACGTTTCTTCCTCTAAATCTTGAAGCGGCACTGGGGCCCCGTGGTCGAGTATGGGAATATGCGAGAGGGCTGGTCCTGGCGTACCTTGGCCAAGCTATGATGTACGTTGTCCTGCTTGTACTCGATCGAGATACTTGTAACGACGTTGTCAGCCCCACGTTGAATGTAGACGCCAGGACGGCGCCCTCTCGCATATTCCCATACTCGACCACGGGGCCCCAGTGCCGCTTCAAGATTTAGAGGAAGAAACGTCGAAGGGTGCAGATGCTGTGGCGACCAAGGTGAGGCATGCATCTTGCAGGCTTGGACATACGCTTTCTCGATCCGGCCTCGAATATTGGGGCTCTGTGTTTACTCATTTCTCATTTTTTATGCTCGTGAAGGCCATCATACAATGCGTCTCCAGCGATAGTCGATTCTTCTTGCTGGTGTCGATTCCGTTCTTCCAGATCGGTGAACTGGGTACGCCGCATCTTTGAACTCACCAACACTTGTCGAAACCTTCCGGGTCCCACTGATGCATGCGATCATGCGGCCTTGGTTTGGCCATTCGCCGCTCACCCACATTCCAACACCAGTCGACGCACGCTGCAACGGCAAGGGATCCCGTAGCGTCGACCTCAGCCTCGTCGGCCTCAATCTCGGCTACGACCGCTTACTCTCCGGCACCTTCCCCGAAGGCCAGTTATAGCTTGATTCTACAAGAACTGGCCCGATGGGTAGAGCCCTCTCCGACGACCTTGAACTCAAAGGCGGCCGAAACACTGGGCACCGACCTTCCACGACGGTCACTCATCGTGTCCTTCATCGCCCTGGCTTTCACAGCCGTGCTCGAAGTACCCAAGCCGGACCAAGCCGTCGTCGATTCTCTGCTCGATACCCAAATCCAACCTCCGAATCGGCCTCGACCTCGCCCCAATCCGGGCATCACCCCGCCCAACTCCGTAGAGTTGCAAGCTGATCCGTCCTCCGACCCGTTGACGCCTGTCACTCACATCTTCTCGTCCCCTCCTGCATCGACGGATTGGAGTCCTACAAGCTCTCCGCTCTCCGGCTCGCGCCTCCCGTCGAAATTGATCAACATAGTTCAAGATCGCGGGTTCGTGATCAAGGCCAGCTTGTCGAACGCGCACTGGTCTATGATGGTGCGTCACGCGCTCTGCCATGCTGCTCCTGTCCTAGCCCTTGTAGCCCAGCTCACCAGAAAGGATCGTTTACTTCATGCTCTTGCGCAGTCGTACACGGGCACGAGCCGCGTGGACCTGGTCGAGATCGGCTTTGATATCGTCTCTTCGGTTCCTTTCGACTCGCCCCTTCCGTCCCGTCCGTCGACTCGCCCCTCCCCCGCGAGCGATTTTATCCGGGGCCTCCATTTGTCCGATGCTGTTTTGCGATGGCTGTCCGAAAACCACCGGGAAAAGCCACCCTCCGGCAGTACTTCCCGTCCCGACCTCCTTCTCCAGACGAAGATCCGCAGTGGGCTCGAATCGATCCAAGACTTCCAGGGGGATTCGATCGTCCTCGAGCTCTTCCCGGGGGTTTTCGGACAGCCATCGCAAAACAAGGACGATCGAATCCCCCTGGAAGTCTTGGATCGATTCGAGCCCACTGCGGATCTTCGTCTGGAGAAGGAGGTCGGGACGGGAAGTACTGCCGGAGGGTGGCTTGCGAACGTGGTGCGCGTCAACCGACCTTTGTGCTCATCGGCCAAAGCCGAGGTACCCCTGGTTGATCACCCTGCTCCGAACACGAGGTACTTTCTCAAGCTCGTGACCGGTCATTACGTCGGCTCGGTCATCCGCGAGACGCTATTCTACCAGCATGTCTTCCCCTACCTTCCCGACTATCTCCGACAATATCTGCCGCAATATCACGGCACGTACCGAAGGACCAATGGCAACGGCTACGCCATGGTACTTGAGAATGTGGGGACGACGATGAACGAGCTCGAGTTTTACGAATCGCCCGGCCAATTGTGGTGAGTTCCTGCAGGGCGGCGCACTGATCCAGCCATGTGCAAGCCGGTCAAGAGGCTGCGCGGATTCCTAACCCTCTGATTCTTCTTCCTCGTTCTCTTGGATGTGCAGGGAGATTGAGGCGGCTTTTAGGGAACTTGGCATCATCCACAATGATGTCAGCGCCGGCAACGTACTGGTTCGACCCAACAATGGTCGTCTTTGCTTCGTTGATTGGGGACGATCGTATCTCAAACTCCGAGGGTGACTTTTTTCTCTCCTCTTCTTTCTGACGTCTCTGTTTTTTCTCTCTTCTATGGTTGTTTTTGTGTTTTGTACGCACTTTCCCTCCTCATGTTCATCTGCAATGGGCTCCTGCTGTTTGAATGTCATCATCCCGTTGATTTAACGGGTTCCCACTGGTGCAGCAAACGCCGAAAAGACCAATAGTTCGCATAGCGCGTGGCATCGACTGCTCCTTGGCCTCCGGCCGCAACAGATGTATGGACATGTCTGTCTACTTTTGGGTACACAACCGAACCAGATGATCCGAAGTTTTCATGTCTGTACCGCAGATTTCGTGTTCGTACCGCAACCCCATGTTCGTCCATTTGTCCGTCGCGGTTGCGGACACGGCGGCACGGCGGCACGGCGGTCTGAGCTACGGACATAGCCGGGAGATGTCCGCACATGCAGTGGCATCCGACTGGCAGCGCTTCGCTCGCTCCGAAGTCGTCTGTGACAGAAGAGAAGTAGCTGTATGGACTAGACCGTTAACACTACATATTACATCAACAAACGCATTCTGGTTCTGCAAGTCAAAGGTCATATGTATTCATGAACATTGCTTTCCGTGTCGGACAACTTTCGGGCCTTCTCGCCGACAGTGCTACTAGTATTAACTGGGCCTTTCTCTCCGCACCATCACAAATCCTTGTACTATTTCAAACAAGGCCTTTTCGCCGAAATAAATCCTCAGATCGACCTGACAGAGCATTGCAATCGAAGGCGTCCGAACTATTGCGCAACCGGCACCTAGATGATGATGGTGCCGACCGCCGCATCTTTTCATCGACGATCTACTAATGGAGGGAACCTACTCTCAATCAGGATTGACCCCGTCAGATACCATTTGCAAGCCTAGTGTATCTCTTCATGCATTTCACAGCATTGCGGTCTGCGAGAGACTGAGGCGTGCTTCCGGGACACGCCCGGCGTGACTCTTAAGCCTCGTCGGGGTCTACCATCGAGTCGCGCGATATCAAGTTGCTCGTAATCGGACCGAAGGTTTGCTCCCGAATACGATGTCTTTCTTTCAAATGTTCCGACACAGCTCGTCTACGTTTTGAGCGACTTTGAGCAAAGAAATGACAATTGTACAGGCTTGCTCAGTGTCAGTGACCTGGACGATTGACTTCCTCGCCTTGTCGGACGCCGCAAACTCGACCGAGCCGTTCAACGACACACGCGCAGACCTCGGAGGTACTCGCTCTCTCTAGCCTTGTAGTCTTCTCATATTCTTGTTCGATTTTCACAAAGATATGCAGCTGAGATTCTTGAGTGCAATTGCTCGATCGGACTCGAGCAAATCGGAGACCGATCTTTCGGCCGAGCGCGCTCAGCTTCGGGATCTCGCGCGCTCGACGCATGGTGGCACTTGAGTTGCTAAGTAGATTGGCTCGGCTCTGGTCCCATACACCACAAGCTATCTCTACATAACCCAAACAGCGAGATGCTGCTTGGCCGCTTTTGACGGACGCTCGACGGCTCCCTTCGCGCCGGCTAACGCGGGCACGGTGCGACGTCGCACGACACGAATATCAGCGAGTACCTCACTCGGACAATATTCAGCCCTCGCCCCATTCGCTCACCTTATATTCGTCTTGTGCGACCCCTTCATCAGCACCATCAAAGAGATGCTCAACTTTCCTGAAGCCTCGCATCGATGCCCATGCCACTTGATCCTCGTTGCTGCACCCCGAACACTACTGTCGACCTGTGACCTGTGAGGATCACCTGAGCCACCCCCACATCGTTTACTCTCGTCGTCAACGTCAAGCGACCACTCGCATGCGATCACTTGCCCTCACATTTCTTTCTTGATCGAATTGAAGAGTCTTATCGACGCGGCAGGCTCGGAGTCTGTCGGAACTATGTTGCACGACTCGGCGAACATTTGATCGACGCCCATCCGCATTTCGACCGACCGAACCGACACCCCTCTGCAGCTCGGTCTCCCGCTGTCCGTGGCCATCCCGTCACCACGAGTGCAAAGTCACAATCCGCTCGCCCCTCGCAATGGCCGCCTCGACCGCCTCGACCGTCGACCTTCCACCGGACTCGGCTCACCGTCATCAATTGACCTACTCACCGTGAATGCCAACTCCACAATCACTTCATTCTCGACCCATCTGCCAAGTTCGCCTATCGACACGAGAGTATGGGACGGAAATTCGGGGTGGGTGGATGTCGCGCGACGCCCAGTCTCTTTGTTCGATGGCCGAGCTGGTACGTGATATCTACGTGGCTGGCACAACCAACTGAACGAGTGTGGTATGTCTAGTCGATATTCGATCGAGGCCCGGTCGTGTGTGCGCTCGTACACCCTTGGGCGCATGTTTTATCTTTCCTTTCGGCGCATTTACTCCGTACGCACCCCAACAGAGCAGCGAGCGAATCCTCTTTTGAGGAGTCCAAACGACAATGCAAGTCAATGGGGTCCCCATCGGCGGCGACGACGCCGACGCCATCGTCAACAGTGGTACCGTTTACATGGTCATGGTTGACGCCGTGACCGCTGCGGACTTCGCTTCAATCCCCGGCTGAGGCTACTATCAAGACAGCACAGCGTCCAAGATGTACACGTGCAACCCCTCCCGTCTTCACCGACTCGTTCCCCGGCGGATCCACGGTGTGGACCATCTCCAAAGACACCTTCAACTTGGGCCAAGTTGACGACACGAACTGCTTGGCCAGCGTGATGGGTGGCGCCCAATGGCCCCGATGGGGCGGTGGGGCGGCCGGAGGTGCGGGCCACATCTTGGGCGACGCTTTCATGCAGAACCTTTACACGACGTTCAAATCCAACAATGCGCGTGTTGGGTTTCCCGATTGAGCTAGATAAAGGGTGGAGTGTGTCTAGAGTGGCCGGGGCGCGGTCCAACGTTCTTTCGTACTTTCTGATGCTGCGCAGAGGGGCTTGGAGTTGTTTTGTCTTTTGGAGCTTTATTCGGTGTGTAGCTCGCCACTAGCTGTCTAGAATTACAGTACAATATGTTAATGTGGGTGTGAATACAGGGTGGATTTTTAGAGCGCCAAAACGCCCTTGGTCGAGGGGACATCGTCGGAGCCATCGGTTTGAATCGCTTCTCGGATCGCCAACGCCAAAGCTTTGAAGGCGGATTCGGCTCTGTGCTTGTTTAGATTGAGGTGTCTGTCAGCTTGCTGCCCATGTGTTTTTACGCAGAGACAATGGTCATGGAAAAGGTGGAGCGAGCCAATGTCGGGAGAGACCAGCGTTCCACCCTGTCCTGTGAAACTCAACTTGTGGTGATCGTTCTCGCCTCTGATAACATCCACGTGAAGCGTCACCCCTGCACCTTGGGCAAACGACTGAAAGACGTGCGGGATCATCTCGCATGACAGGTCCCCGATCTTTTCCCGCTTGAGTTGAAGGTCGCCGCAGAAGTAAGGCCGCGACGAGATGTCGAGCACGGCTCGAGAGAGGGCCTGTCGGTCGGCAAAGGTAGTGCGCCGCGATGTCAGTGCGGGTGGAGGAAGACGGATGAAGCACTAGCTGCTGGACATACCTCGTCGAGTGGTGCGAATCCTGTACCGTACCTCCTGATTCCCTTGCGTTCACCGAGCGCGAGCTTGAACGCCTCGCCGAGCGCGAGCGCACTGTCCTCGGCGGTGTGGTGGTCGTCGATCCACAAGTCGCCTTTGCATTTGATGGTAAGCGACATTTTGGAGTGCTTGGCGAGCGCATGGTACATCTGGCGTATCGGCGGCACACTCCGTGGTCACGGTACACGGAGCAGATCGCAATCGCGATGGGAGTTGATGCACGAGGGACGAGAGACGAGGCAGGGCGGAATCGACGTCAGCGTGCAGAAGCGATAGTATGCGGGAACACTGCATGGCAAGCTCACATGGTCTAGGAATCCGATGCCTGTGCTGATGTTGATCTCCTGCGCGGCGCCGACCGCGACGTCGAGCGTGAGCGTTATGGCGATGTCGGTCTCGTTCGTCTTGCGCGAGATCGAAGCGCTTCGTATTGTTCTAGACATGTTCAGGATGCGATGTTTGATCTAAAGCAGAGGGAGAGGGGAGACGGCGCCGGCGCAGGCGCGGAAGGAAGCGAGGCCGAGAGCAAGCGCGGCGCGGTCTGGCGCGGTCGGACGCGCGCGCTCGCGCGAGCTCGCGCGCGTCGTTCTCGTCCTCAGCAATTAGCAAATCAACCAAAGACTCCGAGTCGAACTCGAGAGTAGTGTGAGCTATCGGCTACACACAAGGTCCGACCCGAGTGATGCATGATATAGCTTCTTTCACTTCTCCTCCACTTCTCTCGGCTATGGGTTAACGTTGGGACTGATAGCCCGTTCTGTTTGACGTTTGACGCTGAAACAATAGGGGCTAGTGAAATTAGCCGGACACGTAACCGTCGCGCCCCCGCGCCTCGGTCCCTTACCATGCCCGCTCCTCGTCGACAAACGGCTTTGGCCGTTCACCCTCTAGCTACATCGAGCTTTTAGAGCCCTCAGTCTTTGGTGTGAGTAGACCTTGTGGCAGTGCACAACAAGTCGCTTCGACCCACCGTCCCAGGGCCACCTGTGCTGACCCGTTTCTGACTCCGCTCGGCCCCTGTTTACGAGCGCTTCGTGTAGGCGCCGCGTGTTTGCTCGTTCGAACTGCCGGGGCTGAGACTGTTTTCGTCCCAACACCGCCTTCTCGTTCAACATGCCAGTCTCGACCGCGCAGAAATGGCCCGCTGCCAACTCTCGATGGAATTCAATCGAGGATCTGAGCCTGCTCTTCCACCTTTCTTTACTTGAAGCAAACCTTTCGCCGTCGTTCACCTCCGCCTCGTGCCCTGCCGAAAACGGCCAGCTACCAAGCATCTCAATCATGGCCAACATTCCGGGCTGCAAGCACGTCGTTCTTGCGCAAGTAAGACAACCATCGCCCCAAGAGTGGGTCGTGGATCGCGTCCCACTTTTCCGAACCGCCGCCATTGCGAGACTGCAGGAAAAAAGTGGCGCGGTCGGCAGAGGCCGCAAAGGCAGCCGCCCCAAGTCGAAGGCAAACCCCAAGAAAGTCCTCGCCCACGGTCACAGGGAGGAACCTGCGGATTTGGAGGTCAGTCTTGCCCTCCATCGGCGCCGCTGCTTTGGTGGGAGCGAGTCGAACTTGGCGGTGCAACAGGCTCGTTATTGGTGGAGAGTGCACTCATGTACCGGTATTGCTCTATTTGACGTTTTATCATCCCAGACGTACTTGAACCGTGGGTATATCGACGTCGGCAGCGAGCTGTTGGGTCCAACCGACCTTACCCGTCTCGAAGGTTCGCTCCGGTCGTGCGCCCGCCGTGAAGGCCGCTTTCTCCGCGCGTTCAGGACCCAGAAAGGTTCCGTTACTTTCTGCTGTGCTATCGGTGCCGCTTGCCCATTCAGGCTCCAATTTCAAGTGCCTACCACACCGTCGCCTGGGGTTGAATGGAGGTGTACTCGGCTTTGCGCAACGCACTCGTGCCGAGCTGTCGACACGCCCCTCATCACCATCATGGATAGGCAGATGATAATTTTTGTAAGTCTATAATTTTCCTAATCATCCACCATTGTACCCCTTACAATCCCTGATACGGATGGATAGCACCTCTTCTCAGCCGATAATCAGGCTCGGCACGCCACCGGAAGCCCTGCGAGCACCCGCATCTCAAGCCGCTGCCCCGGCCGCCAATCGCCATGTAGGTTGCGACCGCTATCCCCGTGATTTCGCACCGGATCTTGTAACGTCAGCGCCACTGACTGTTTGGTATTCTGGATCCCGTCAAAAAGTTGAATTTCATCAAAGGCGAAGAAGATGACGACGAACCTGAACCGGTGGAAGAAGAGGAGTTGGCAGCGGAGCCGGCTGCGCATCGTGCATCGACGCCCGTAGACATGGAGGAAGACGATGATGGCGAGCTCGACGGCGGTGGAGAGCTTTACGCCCAGCAGGTCCGTTTGCCAGAAGAAGACCACGAGGATCTGAATCAACAGTATCTCAGGAAAGGGGTTGTCGAGGGCCATGGTGCACACAAGGTGCAACTGCCGTCGCTTCGGCGAGAGTCCCTCGTCTCGCCAGCCACGCCACGACCGTGATGTACGTCAAGAGAGCCGAGAGCGTCGCCAGGTGCCCTACGAAAGCAGACACCCTGCTCTTCCCTTCGTGTATGAGCTGAGGTGCTGACCGACGTCTCCCCACTAGATTGCTCGAAACTCGGGTGAGGTGCCCCGCTCCCAAGCACCCGACCTTGCAGTCTCGAAAGGTCTCAAGCAAGAGCCAGACGGCACGTCAAGTCTCAAGCGGCCTACTGAAGCAACTCAAGACTCCGATTTGGCTCGACCCACCAAAAAAGTGGCGATCGTCCCTGCCAAGAAAGTGCCGACGATCCCCAGGTCACAAACGAAGCAGGCGAGCGGAGCTGTCATTACGACCGAATCGACGAACGGCGCCGTCGCGACTACCTTGCCCACTGGCTCGGTTTTCGATGCATCTGAATCGTGTCCACGAGCGGCGGCCGCGCCCGGCGTGACTGTTTCCAACAAGGTGTCGGCGGTCGCGGCGACATCCTTCAAGAAAGCTTCGACTTCTCCCCTCCCCGTCGTCGCGTCTGGCTCGACCAGCGCCAAGGTAACAGCCGCTGGCGCTCGAGCTCAAGTAGTAGCTCAGGGCACACCGCCGAAGCCGACGATCAAGTGCCTCTTGCCATCTACCGCCGACCAAAACCGATCCAAGCCGCCCGCTGTGGAACTTCCTGTGCGACGGCCGACCGTCAGATTCGCTCGAACCGAAGTCTTCTCGACTGCGGATGGCCGATCCACCACCGTCTCCGCCAAAGGCGACTTCCTTGGAGTTTGGGTGCCCAAGCACTGATGACGCCTCACGCCTTGATGGCGAACAGGGGCGGTTGTAAAAAAACGTAGAGAAGTGAAGCTTATACCAGTTTTGAGTACATTGGGTCCGCTGGGCGGTCTCTTTGCTCCGGCTTATAGTAGTAGACATAATAGTCAGCATGATGGCTGAACTTGGACTCACTGGACTCGGTACATAGTCGATGAGTGCAATGATGAGTCCCAAGTTTGCAGTAAGTAAGTCTCATACTTGTCGACCGACCAAATGAACTGAGACATTATTGGAGCCAAGAGTGAAGGCCAGTGTCACGGTGTCGCCAGCACGCCTCCGTCAAATCTCAGCGGTGATTCGAACACGCGCCGGTCACAGTTTGGCCAGGTTTGGCCTATGACAAAGGATCGACCACGTGCCGCGAGCGCTTCCGCTCCGTCCTGGCTCCCACCTCTCATCTCCGTCGTTCTGGGGACTCTTGTCCGACATGAAACATGGTGCCGAGCTAAAAGCTCGCCCAAGTGGAATTGTGTCGTATGCCAGTGGTACCGTCAAGGACGCCTGCGTCAGTTTCGACGCGTTGCACGCGCGCCTCGCCGCACTGCCGCATCAGAAGCTCCCCTCGACATTCTGGCAGGCGCTGCATCGCCTTCACATCCTCCTCAAGGCACTGGAACGTGTGTTCACCCTGGAATATTGAATTCTACTCCCGACTGAGCTCATTATGCTGACGTATGAGGTTGTTTCCCACCCACAGCAGCTACAGTAACAGCGTCCTTCACCACCACCGTCCCCTCTACCTCCGCCCCTACTCGCCCTTCCATTTCCGTGACGGCCGGCCCCACGCCAACACGATTGGTCGTCCGTATTCCGGCTGCCACGGCGCCGCAGATCAAGCGATCGCGATCGTATTCCGATGACGACGACGACGATAGCGACCTGGAAACGGACTCGTCGTCGTCGGGCTCGAGCGCACAACTCTGGACCCCTCCTCGGAGTCGATCGACGACGGCCAGCAAGTCGGCCCAGTCGAGCGATGGCAATGATGCTCGCAAGAGACCTCGGATGGTCACCGCGGAGACTACGAACATGACGTCACCCTTGGTACGCTACCGGGGGTCGACCGTGGAGACAAGCAAGTCACCTCGAGCGCTGGGCCAACCCCGTGCATCATCAGGTCGAGTGGACTGGAGAGCGGTTGCGCAACTCGAAACGATCGCCAACATTTCGCCAGCGACTCCTGGCGAGCAACTCGCACGCGCACTTCATTCGTTCGGAGATCCAGCGTTCCAAAACAAATTCGGCAGCTTTGTGTGCGACGTCATCAATCCGTCGAGGCTTGAACAGTTCTCGGCGGCTCGTGACGACGACTTGACGAGTGTCGGCGGCCAAGCAGGGGAGAGCGGAGGGCGGCCTTCCTTGGATGCGTGGACAGACCGGGAGCAAGCAGCCAAATCCGAGTTGATCCGCCTGTGCAGACGCGTGCACTCGTTGCAAGACAAGGAGATGAGCATCCGGTATCAACGATGTCTCGAAGGGATGCGGCTGGTGCAAGTGATCACTCGGTATGTCTGGTGCTCATCCTTCAAGGTTTGCAGCACGTCATCCGAAATCTGACCGCGACCGTGTGCTTCGAGGGGCCCTCCACAGACTCAAGATGACTTCCAAAAGGGTCTGGGGCTACCTACGGAAGGTCGAACCGTCTCTGGCGAACTCGATGACAGAGAGTGGGTTCGAGGCCATCTGCAAACGCGGTGCCGCCTTCGCTGTCGCGTGGGCTTTCGGCAAGTCTCTTCCGTGGTCTCACACCACACATGTTGCCCTATCCCGTTTCTGACACCTCCTTCGCGACGCACCCCTTCCCTCTCCCTCATTCGCGCACAGGCCGTCCCTACGTTGCTCTCGTTTTGTTTTTCGTGACAGACGGATTCACGATCGACAACACGGTCAGCTTAGGATCCGCAATGGAAGGACTGCTCGCCGGCTCGACTCCTCCAACAAATGGCCGAGCGGGGAACGCCGCGACGAAGAAGTGGTCCACCGATTGTATGTTATGCACCGGTGCTTTAGTTAGCAATTCTTTCGTCGACTAACTCGAGTACCCACCGATCGCTGTAGATGCATATTTGCAGAACGGGCTGCGATACCTTCAGGCCACGGTATTGACTCTTCGGACCCTCGCTCCGCCGATCCCCGTCACGTGGCAAGGCGAAGACGTACTCCTCTCTGACGACAGCTACGGGAAGGGGAAGAGCCAACAAACAATCTACAGTGTCGGAGGATCTTGCCTGTCGGGCCACTGGGCCGCCAAGAAGCACATCAGCAACGCGGATGTCTTGTTTTCCTCGCTTCAAACGGAGAAGATCGCAATGAGCTTGGCCGACGCGGCTCGGTGCCTTGGAAAACCGAGGGGATTGGGAGTGGTCCCACTTGTGAACGAGACCACCGACGACGCCCTTCTGCCAAGAATAGAAGCGACCGACCTGGGCATGCAGCTCTTGTCGACCAGTTCAGGTGCGAATGAGACGAGAAACAATGGTACCGCGTGAGCCATCATGCCAAATGTCTTGCTCCGTTCCCGGCGTTGCTGCACCCATCTGACCAACTTGTCGGTCGTCGCAGCAGCACCACCCTTACCAATAGCTTACCAATAGCAGAAGTCGACAAGATTTTCTTCGATTTTCGCAAGGCGTTGTTGATGGAGCTATCTCGAGCGCACCTTTCGACAACTTTGCGTCGATCGACGCGGCCATGGACTGCGTGCGAAGGCTCGACGTTGCGGACCCGGACACGCTCTGCAAATCTCTCAACATTGAAGCACTGCAATGCACTGATACTACCTCAGGGCCATCCAGTAAACGAGGTGCCCTCCGCCAGGTTTGCATGGCGCTGGGCGCGCCCGCCGGGGCCTGGGAGACGGACTCGAAGGCTGCCGAGCTGGGCTCGCACGGCCCCCAACACGGTGCATCACTCCCGTCCGCTTCGCGCCTTGACATCGACATTGATGGCGAGACCTTGCGACGAGGACAAGATCGGTTACGGCTGTTGCTTGCTGAAGAGGAAGCAATGGGCAACATCGAGGATATCTCCACCCTTAGAGACTTTAAGGCGATGCACGGGAGGTTGGGACGCTCGGGCGGCAAGAAATTTCGCATCAAGAGAGAATTCATCGAGCAGTGAGTCCGCACCGCCTCGAGCAGTGTTTGACAGAACGCTTTCCTATGGTTTGCTGACGACGTCGGACTCATCGCTGGCGAAGGTACGGAGCCATCATCCGAGATCCACTCAACCCAAAGGAGCCCCTGATTGTCCTACACCCTGCCAAGGTCTTCCCCGAAGCCGTCAAGCGCTCGGTCGAGAGCTCAATCCGCGACGACCTTTTCTTTCCGCCGGGCCCAATGAGGATGGAGCGTGAGCTTCGCCTCGAGAGAGGGGAACAAGCACAAGCATCGTGTATGATTGGATTGCAGCTCCGATACGCTAAGGCGCCGTACGTCATCAAATCGGCGAAGGACCTCGGACCAGTGGGCGGCGCCGTCCTTGCTGCGCTTCATCCCGTCATCTCGTATCTTGACGACTCGGTGAGCCACCTTCTCGCAGTATTCCTGAACGCAAGCGTATGCTGTGGTGTTGACTCAATGGACCTGGTGCTGCATCGACCTAGCTCAAAGCGACGAGTCCCGAAGCGCACGCGACGCTCGAAACAACACAGGCTCTGGCCCGAGCGAACCTGGACAATGTGCCGAGATTCCAGACAAACGTGGCTATCAACTGGGAGAGCGTCATGGGAGGTCACATCGATCCCGACGTCTCGAAAGCGATGTGCTCCCTGTTTGTCGGCGGCTCGTTCGACGGCAAGCCATTCGCGCGAGGTGAACTTTGCTTCCACGAGCTGGGCCTGATCATCGAGTGCGGGGACGGGCTGGCAGTGCACTTTCAATCCAGCCGACTTATTCATTCGAGTTTTCCCTTCAGTGGCTCGAGGTACTCGGTCGTGTTCTTCACTAGCCAAGAGTTCGCGAGCAAGGTTGCGGCGGGCCGGTCGGCAGACGCTTGAAATGGTCTCGACCTCCACGGCGACTCTTTTACCTCATGAGACGTGATGGTTCATAATCTATCAGAGCTGAAGGATTGTAAGTGTTGCGACTAGAATGGCCTGAGATGACGTCGTTTCCGCCTAGTCCTCGGACTCGGCCGATGTAAGAACTTGGGGACGGTCGCCGAGCGTTAAAGTTGTTGTAGACGATCATTGAAGTGACGTGTTGTAAACAATATTTGAAGAGTGAGCGATGCTGCTTTCTGAAATTACAGTGTGAGCGTGCTGTAGCTGTCAATGAGATGGGATCCACTGGTGAGCAAACGATGACGGTATCATTGCTCGCCGGCAGCACTCTGGCAGCTGGGTTCGCCACGCCTGTGCTCGCAGGCCTCGCGAGCGCTCGCGGGAGAACCCGCGCCCTGTCGGGCCTGGGAACGTGGGCCTGGAGCGTGGGCCTGAAACGTGGCCAACTTCACACACCCTCACCACGTCGCTTTGGAGCCATTCTTGGGTGCTGAACCTGTTGTTTGTGTACTCAAGTGTATATGGTTCTCTTGGTGATGGCCAAATGTGCGTGTTGAGCTTGTGAGACGCGATTGAAGACACGATTCGTCGTGGTTTTGACGAGGTATCCCGTCAAAACTTTGGCTGGTGAGCTTGGACCCATTACCGAAACCCATTGTCAGTTAGCGGAATGTAAGGTCTGAGCGAGTGAAAGAGCTAATGCAATTAGGCGCTCGCGCTTCAAACCACGCGCCGTGGTCTCCCGCGTCTTTCCCACCTCGCTCACGCAAAAGGACGCGCGACGGCGTCGTTGGCGGCCACCTCACTCAGAGCGCGGTGGGCTGCGTCGACCGGCGCTGTGGCAGCACCACGTCCACATTGGCAGCGACCCAACAAACGCGAATCTGGGCCAAGTCTAAGACGACATGGACGATGACACGCTCGAGAAATTGTACGTGAGTGTCCGGCGCCGCGTAACACTGGCCAGGAGGTTGCGGCTTTGTTTCACCCACCCAGACTGACCTGGCTGTCGACGCCTCTCTGTCCTCATCACTTCTCTTGTCTCTCTCTCGCGTCCGTAGTTACTCGACTCGGTGCAGAGTCTGCTATCGCCCAGTTTACCCTCACCTCCGCCGTCACCTCGTCAGAGCACGGTTCTTGAAGCGCCAGCCTCGTCCATTGTCTTGAGCTCTGCTGCTGGGGACTCGGTCTCGTCATCCGCGACGGCCAGAGCGACGTGGACCGGCGGCGCACGAGCCCCTGCGCCGCCACCGCCGCTCGGGCTGGGCTTTGAACCCTCACACTACTCGGATCTGCTCCATACCCACAGCACGATCCCATCCAAGTCAGTTGAGCGTATTATTTCGATGAAAACCAGCCTCGCTACAGAGAACTGACTTTCCTTGCTTGCTTGTACACGTCAGACGTGCTCGGTCCTCTCCGTCGGCGCCACCATCGCACTCAGCCCTGGCCCCACCACCCACCGCGGATCCACGACGACCCTCACGCACATCACTTGAAGGCACTAACGGCCTCACACCTGACATCCGCGCATCGCCCTTCTCCACACCCCGTACAAGGCCGCCGGTCACCCACGACGAGCCCAAGGTTGGTTCCGAGGACTGGACAAAGAATTTTAGCAAGGACCGACTCCGGAAGATGGCCGCCCGGTGCGTCACTCCTTGTCACACGTAGCCAGGATGGAACGCGACTGAACCTTTCCTTTCCGTGTTACCCTTACTGCAGGTTTCGCGCCACAGGTCGCGAGCTCAAGCACATGGGCGACAAACTCGCACAGGAGTCGACAGCCAACCACGCCGTTGCGCTCGCGTACCAAACCGACGCGATTCTGCTGTACGTATTCGCCTTTTGGTGCGACGACCAAGCGGCCAAGACGTGCATTGCACAAAACTGGCAAACCATCTTTGGGCTCGTCGCCTACGTCAAGCGAGCGGCGCAAAAGGCCAAACTAGGACTCTTGGAGGGCATATGGTGAGTTTCAGTCGACAGTCGGCGCTATGCGAGTGCGCAGCCTGATATCTGACGTCGCAGTATGCTTTACTTGCGTTTGTTTTCAAAGCACTCGAATGGAATCGATCGCCGTATACACGCTAGCGATGTACGAACAGAAGCAACTCAACCATCGCGGGGCCCAGCTGCTCGCATCCGGTGCCGCTGCATCGACGTTGACATCGAGCTCTACCAAGCTCCCTGTCGCTTCCTCGTCAGTTATAGTGCCCCCAAGATCGAACCTACCGGCACCACCCCCGTCGCTTCCCCCTCGACCGGGTCCGCCGCCTGCGTCCGGCGCTTCGCAGGATTCGCAGTCCCCCGCCTCCGCCGCTTCGCCACCTGGCATGGTTGCGAGTGGTTCGGCACCGGCCACTGCCGGGTCCTCGATCGAGGTGCTGAAGTTGTTCGTCAAAGCCGGCTCGGAGTTGTTCCGATATCAACGTTTGTGGGACGAGGCCGCCGCCCACTTTTCGCCGGATGCGCTGGCAAGATCACTCCCGTCCACTTTGGAACTGTGCTTGCAATCGAGCATTTGGATTGATCCCGGAACGTTCGTATGGCCGCAGCCCCGGGTAACAGAGGAAGGCGAAGAAGGCGGTCTGCATACGTGGGCCTTCGCTTGGCCGGTCGAGCTGGGCAAACCCATGATGGTCGTTCACACCGTCGCGTTGATGCGATGCATGCTGCAAGAGTGGGCGAGGGAGAATGCGCGAGGCTTCACCCTGACCAGTGTCGATGTTTGAGGATTGAGTGGTGTGAATAGAAGTTATGTTGTATCCTTGTCAGTGCAAGTCTCGTTGTGTCAGGTCTGGCTTGCTCAGATCATGCCTCGGGGATGCCAGCCCACTGGCGAACGAAAATCCACCAGTTGCTGGTGACACGAGTTCAAGGTAGTTTGATTGAGTGTAATTCTACAGCGGTGGGCTGAAAGAAGACTGTTCATGGTTCACATGAGATGGAAGAGTCAGTGTCTGGTCTAACTTGAGATTATTTTTATTTTTATTTTACTGGGGCTCATAAATTGCAATCCTTCGGGTTGGCTGGGACCGCTAGAAAAAGAGCTAAAAGAGGTTATAAAGCAACGACGGCAAGCAATTGGGTGAAAGTCAAACCCCTGCGCGCAAAGAGCGCTGCGCAGATCAAAACTCGCCGAGCACCTAACGCGGACTCCAACGGGCGGTGAGTACTGCTGCCGCTTCACGTCCCAAGAGCGGGAGCGAAGATACTCGAAAACCAGGCAAGAGCGCCTAGAGAAAGAAAAGGGGAGAATATACAAAAATTCACGACTGGAAACACGGAGAACCAGGAATACTAAGACAGAGAGGAGGGGAGGAGGAGGGGAACACACCCGAGGGGCCAAGGGAGGGGGTCGAAGCCAGAGCTAGAGGTCCCCAGGGACTGACAGGCCGCAGCCAAGCCCCAGCTACTCGTCACCCCGACAGCGCCTGATGTCCTCCCTTGGCTGAGTCTCGAGTGCTGGCTGTTGAGCCGTCGGGGCCGAGCGAAAACGATCCAATACAACGAAACAAGCCTCGCCTTGACGCGAGGATATTGACCAAAAAAACGAGTGACCTTTCTTCCCGATCCATGCCGTAGATCTTGACCAACGCGAACGAACGATCTATTCGACGGAATCCAACACACGGCTTAGGAATAAAAGGAGAAGTGGCTGAAGCGTAGTCAACAACCGAGCAACAGGAACGAGAAGAGGAAGGGAAGGGAGAAAGGGGAAAGAGAGGGGAGAACTTCACAAAGCCTCCAACGCAACGACGATCGACCCGGCTTGCCGATCCATCCAAGAACGAAAATCGCTACTGCACAAAGTAGAGAGAGGGAGAGGTGCGCAGCCTTCCACTGCGCAACAAGTTTCAAGACAGTCAGCTTCTGACCGAAAAGGAAGGGAGGAAAGGAGGGGAGGAAAATGGGAAGGAAGGACTTAACTCGGTCATCACACCTCCCAATCTCGAACCCCAGGCACAAAACCCGCTCGAGAGAGAAAATCTCGCTCGAACGCTCTGAGCGCACTGGGAAGCGAGGGAGGGGCCACGACGTTGTCCAGCTCGAACCGCTGATGAACGCGCCAGCGGAGCAGGTGCAGCCGCTGGAAGCCGATCGCGCAGGCCAGCCGAACCCACATCCATTTCGAGGTCGTTCTCCCACGACCCCGCAAAAGGGGGAGCCCCATAGTCAGCTGCTCCGGAGTGAACGTCGACGGATCGACGTCGGTATCCTCGATGCCGAGCTTGTCAAGCAGAATGCGTAGCACCCCACCCCAGAAGCTGGTCGAGTACGCACACTCGAAAAAGTAGTGGGACACCGTCTCGATGACCGCTGCATCGTTGCCACAGAACAGACACGTCGGCGAAGAGGCATGACCCTGAGTATGCTGCCTCTTGCGCGTCGGCGTCACGTCGTACATGAGCCGCCAGTGGGTGTCCTGCTCGACAGCAGACGCGAACCGGTCATGAAGCCATCTCCAGAAGCGCTTCCTATCGCTCTGAGAAGTCCCATCAGGGAAACGCTTGACACGGTCCTCCCTCCCTGGGAACCGCACCTTGTTCACAAGCCGACGAAGCTTGCGAATCGTAAAAGGTCGGGAGAGCCCAAAGAAGTTGAAGCACCGAGGACGGGGAGCCTCCTTGAGAGGTATCCGAGCAGGTCGCAACGCGGTCTTGGCAGCAACGCTTTCGCCTTGAGCAACTGACCCACGCGCGACCACACGTGCTCGTGCTGTAGGGCGGGTTCCTTAGAGTGCTGCCAGAACCCGCGTCGATGACCAACCAGAGCCCATCCCTTCCCTTCGTCCCTCCAGTACAGGTCCGCGATCTGCGCAAACTTCGCCACCGCGTCCGCATCGTCATATGCGTGCTGGGCACCTTCAGCATAGAGTGAAGGGAGGCGAGGCGGAAGCGAGAGCAATTCGGGAAGCGTAAGGAGTTCGGACTTGATGGTTGGAACTGTGACCCTGGCCGCTGCAACGACTGCCCCCCAGCGCGTCGAGTCGCGATACAGCTTCTCGACCCGAGCCGTGCTGCTGAAGAACCCCCACGGACTGAAATCGCGGGTCGCAGCGACGAGGCACCTCCAGCTCTCGCGAGCTAGGGGCGCCCAGATCGCCTCGTCCGAGCCCGCCACAGCATCCCAAAATCGAAGCGCCACCGAATGAACGATGTCGCCAATCGAAATCAAACCCAAGCCACCGTCCTCCCGAGCCTGGAACACGAAATCGCGAGCGACGGTATTTCGCCCTGCTCCTCCCCAGACAAAGTCCGTAAGTGCCGTCTCCGCCGCCTTAATGAACCATTGAGGCGGTATGTCGAAGGACAGCACGTGGAGGACCGTCGAGATGATGTGAGCGTTGGCATAGAAAACCTTCCCACTCGGCGAAAGTGTCCGGTCTCGAGCGGCGCGGGTCTTGGCCTTGATCCTGTCAAGAACATGGGTCCAAAACAGTTTCGAGTCACCGTGGCGAAAGAAGGCATGGCCGCACCACTTGAAGCTCTCCCCTCCTGCACCGTTGGCAGCGCCTGCGCAGTCTCGTCCCGAAGCCAGTTCGGTCCGAGTGGTAGCACCAGCGTCTTGTCCGTGTTGGTCTTCCCGTTGGTAGCCTCGTACCACGTCTGCGACAGCGTTTGCAGCTTCGACAATGCCGCCGGTGACTCCACCACCACCACAGCATCGTCGGCAAACGCCAGATGCGTAAGCTGCGCACGCGGCCCCCCTGGCCACACCTTCTGCAGGTCGAGCGCGATCCCGCGCCGAACGAGGGCGTCGAGGAAGGGCTGGAACGTGATGTTCCAAACCGGGCACGAGAGGGGATCCCCCTGACCGAGACCACACAGCAACCGCACCAAGTCCGTGGGGAACCCATTGACAAGGTAGCGCACCCCCAGAGTCTATAGGTAAATCACCCCCCACCCCCCCCCCCCCCCTAAAAAAGTTAGCTCTTGGAGTTAGGTGGTGGCCCCAGAGGCAAAAAAGTCACGTGATGTTGTGTTTTTGATCTTCATTGCATCGACTCAACATCAGCACGACCCAGTGTAGCTCGAACTTTTCGTGGCCATGCAGAGAGATTGCCTCTATTGCTGTTCCCGCACCGGCCGGTGCCGATTCCTGTTCCCGCACCGTCCGGTGCCGAAACAGATCTCACTATTTGGGCACTTTCCATACCAGGGCAAATGCCTCCCACCAGCGCACTTGAGGCCGGCCCTCGCAGCCTTCGGCCACCGGCGCTCGCGATCTCCGAAATGGGAAACCCATTTCGGGCTTCGGTGTATCGCTGGAGCGGAGGCACGGCAGACTTGAGGACTTGTAGACGTAGATAAGTTTATTTTAAATCTGTACCGATCCCAACTGGTGTGTACATGCTTAATTTGTGCTATTATGCATTGTGCTTTGAGTGTATTCAATTACACTAGTCGTTTTGGCCTTGACGACTTTGCCGCGCGCGGTCCACTGCCTCTTGTCGTCGGGCCAGAACAAATGTACGGACGTGTCCGTCCCCTTGATTTAGGGGACGGACATGAGGGGACGGACATGTCCGTCCCTTGATTTTAGGTCCATAATATCAGATAATACTGATGCTGTTGAGCAATTATATGAGTAGAATCACTTTGAGTCTGCAAGGAGAACATGATAGCATGGGTATTTTAGTACTCATGATGAATCGAAATTGTCATGTCTGTACCGCAGATCTCGTGTCCGTACCGCAACCCCACCGCATGTCCGTCCACTTGTCGGTCGCGCGGTCTGCGGTACGGACATGGCTAGGAGATGTTGGCACACATCCGACCAATTGCAACGCCGCGGCTTCGCTCGCTCCGAAGTAGTCAGTGTGACAGAAGACATGTGGCTGTATAGATTAAACCTCGTTAATACCTCATTACATCAACGAATACCTAGGAATCATCTTCGAGTGGTGATTTTGCCCGTCAAAGGCCATGTATAGTGCAAGTCATGAACGCCGGACGATCGAGCCCCTTTTCGCCGACAGTGCTAAGTGGACGATCTTCTCCGCGCCATCATCATTTCCCTGTACTTTTGCAAACGAATCCCTTTTCACGGAAGAAAAAGGCGTCAGATCGACCTCACAGAGCATTGCGATCATCGTCGAAGGCGGGTGACCGAACTTGTGCGCAAACGAAGTGCCGACCTTTTCACCGACGTTCTATTAAAGAAAGCCCAATCTCAGGCTCTGTTCACGCTACCAGGTATAATTATCTCTTCATTCATATCACAGCAGTGCGGTCTGCGGGAGACTGCCTGTGAGACATGCTTCCAGGGACACGCCCGGCGGCTGACTCTGACTCGGAGTCTCGTCAACCATCGCGCGATGATCTCGCCCGTACTCGGATCAAAAATGTGCTCCCGAATACGATGTCTTTTCCTCAAATCTTCCGACATAGCTCGTCTACATGCGAAGAACAGCCCTTCAGTAAAGGAATGTCAATTGTACAAGCATGCTCAGTGACCTGGACGAATCGACCAAGTTTTCGCCGCGGACGCCGGCCGACTCACTCGTTCACTGCAACGACTCCCGCCGCCAAGCGCTGAACTCGGAATTACTCGCTCTCTCTAGCCTTGAAGCTTTCTCGCACCCCTTTTCGAGTTTCAAACAGATATACGCCTTTGAAGGTTGACTGGACCTGAGCCAATCGCAGACCGATCTCACGGCCCGAGTGCGCCGAGCTTCGGAATCTCGCGCGGTTAGCTGATTGGCTTGACTTCACGCGCGCCGACGCTCCTTTCCCTCTCCCCACTCACTCGCACCACTCGCACCACTCGCACCACTGGCCTCGACTCGGACTCGGCACTGATCGCACCACGCCACACCTCGACTTCACATGCTTTCACATCGTCACATGCGCCATTCAATCCGCAAGATGCAATTCGATCTCTCTCAACTACAGCTCAACGTGTCACTTCAAGCCGGCTGATGCGGGCACGGTGCGACGTCGCACGACAAGACTATCAACACCTCCAACCTCGTCATTTTCGGCACGATACGATGGGCAATCCTATCTGAGAGGGAGTGGTCACTTTCAGCAGCGTGCTAGCTTGCCTCGATGCATCGCTCGAGCGTTTTCGGTCGGACACGTGCTCGGTCACCCCGATCGCGCCCTCGACATTGGCCGACTCGCTGCCATCCGAGCCTCGCACCACACCGCTCTGACTGGTATGGTCATACTCTGCGCATCAGCACCATCGACAAGACGCTCAACTATCCCGAGGTCATCAATCGATGCAAACATTACTCGATCCTCGTCGCCCCACCCCCAAACACCACTGTCGACCAGTGACGATCTCCTCCGCACCCCCACATCGTGCACCCGCGTCGTTAACGTCAACCAATCGCACGAATGCATTCCCTCACATCTCTTTCTTGATCGAGTCGAAGAGTCTCATCGACGTGGCTAGCTTGGGGTTTGTTGGAACATCTGTTGCACGACTCGACTGATTTCGTCAATGTCAAGATCGGAGACGTTCATCGGCACAAGCACTTTCACCCCGTCTCGACTGCGCCGCGAATCACTCAACCTCCCGCGCTCGTCGTCCAGCTCGTCGAATCATCCATCCAAAGCCACTAAGTCTCATCTCGTGCTAAACATCCCACGTTCCTGCTCGCCCTCCTCGCCATTCGAATCGATCGGACTTGCACGCTGGCTTTCAACCTCGTCGATCGCACCATCTAATCAACTTTCCGGCAAAACTCTCGAGATTGGCCACGGAACGCCACCTCATCGCTTCACATCTTACTCAAAGTCCATCGTCCGTTGCGCACGTTGAACCGTACAATCACGACTGGCTTCTCCGGACCTCTCGGCGCTCGGTTTCGGCGTTGGATCGTGACGATCCTGCGACAATCGATCTTGGCGATTCGCTCGACCAGCTTGATACGTGCGATCACTGTCCCACCTCGGCGACTTGCGCGTTTGTACAATCTTTGGCAACCCTGGACATGCGGTCATGAACTGCGATCGGCGTTGCATGGCGCTCCATCTCCTCTCGTTTCGCTTGCACTCACCTCGCTGGGTGTCGACGAACTCGTTTGGCAGTCACAAAGCGAGCAAACATCCGAAAGGTCAGTGCGGCCCTTCAACCTGACGTCCTTAACTCTCTTCACACCGCGTGTTGCAAGTCTGTGCCCTCTTGCTTATGTTTGACTCTTCTTTCGCTCCACCAGGTCTCATTCCGGCCTGCGCCTAACTCGACTCTTTAAACTTTGACTCGCTCGAAACCGTTTCTAGCTCTCATGGATAAATGATCGTCGACTCTTCCAATTGAGGATTCAGACTTCTTCGGGGGGACTTGCTCTGCTCGACTTTGATCTCCTCTCAATCGGCCCTGACCTCAAACTCAGTGCGATAGATCGCTCGTCGAGGATGGTGGAAGCTCGTATCTTTGCCGTTGCTGCCTCCGCCACCCAAGACTCGATAAAGACTCGATATTCGCCGATCCCTCGCACCACTCGACTCGACTCGACTCGTCTTTTCTCTCACTGCACGAAGACACGACGACGCAACACCTCTTCGCCATGGTGAAACACGACTTGGCCGGTACATGCGGCTCGACCTTACTCGACCCGGCACTTGAAGTGTGAACCCGAGCCGGCTGAGGCAAGCGCGGAACCCATTCAGCAACTGCAGCACCTTCAACATCGCCAATCGGCTTTCAACGACTCGATAACGAGCTCGAAGGTACCTGGCTATGTCACTTGCTCACTTGAGCCATCGCGACCCGGAACCAGGGTTCCCCATTAGATAAGATAATCTCGCAGATATTAGATATCTATCTAAAAAAATTGGGCTCTGGCCCTTATCTATCTATCTCCCATCTTAGTCAGATATCTTAGATAGATGCCTAGATATCTAATAGATATCTAAGTGGGTTAAGATGAGATATAGATAGATATCTTAGGAGATAAGATGCCAGATATCTTCGCTTGGAGGCGGTCGATTGGGACTCGTAGGAGCCTGTTGGGTGGCCAGTACGACATTGTAAGTATCACAAAATGTGGATGAACTGGCAAAGCTGGCTCTCTGTTCACTGTTTTCTGATTCTCTTGTATTGATAAGTGCTGGGAAGACGAAACATTGCTCAGTCAAGCGGGAGAATGCATTGATGCCGATCGTTGTGCTAATCCGTGTCGTCAGAGTCGTCCGAAATATCCACCTCCGCTGGAACGACTGCCATGACGTCTTTGACTTTTACTTCTTCTCAGCTGACCTAGCGAGCTTACCAGAGATCATTTGCAGAGCCGGCTCTCAGTCAAAGTAAGTCTGTGCCTCTCCGTCGATGGCGCCGCGTATTCCGTACTCACAAGCTCCTCCTCAGCCGTGGGGAGGTCCGACTACATACTGCTTCCGCAAAGACTATCGATTATAGTCGTTCGGCGAGGTGTGAGAGTGCGAGTGTGCAAGTGTGCAAGTGTGCGACGAAAGAAGAGGACCGGGGCGGGTAGACTGCCAAAATTTCACAATTGCACCTCCTTTCTCTGTGCGATTAGTTGATGAAGCACTCTGACAGCAGAAGCGTCTGAAGGGGTGCCAAATTGGCCCGTCGGCAAGCCGTGCCGCCTCACCCACGGTCAGCGGTTGGGCCAAACCATGGGGCACAAACATGGGGATTGAGCCGAATACGATCATAATTCGATGTCCTCGCTAGGGAGCAAGAACCTCCTTAGGGGAAAGTACAACTTCCAGCGCAACAGGAGTCTGTACCAGACACCAAAAAAGTTAAGATATCTTAAAGATATCTAAGGAAACCCCGGGGCCTTATCTATCTATCTAAGATATTCGGCCCCTAGATAAGATGACATCTATATCTTAGCGAGATATGCTAAGATAGATATCTTGACATCTAATGGGGAACCCTGACCGGAACTGCTCGACCTCGGACGACTCGCTCAGACCGCCCACAGTGAGCTGTTTCGATCTGAGCTCTCGCTTGCGATTTGCACCCCTATATATATGGGCAATTCCCACATACCACATACCACAGACTCCCGAGAGACCCTTGCAAAGAAGCTCGCACGAGCACCCTGTGCTATTTGACAAGCCCGCGCCTAGCCTGCAAAGAAGCTCGCGCGAGCATCTTGTGGTATTCGACAGCCGCGCGCCCAGCGTGTCAGATACCACAGACTCCGGCGCCTGCCTTGCAAAGATGCTCGCGCGAGCATCTTGTGCTATGTGACATCCGCGCGCCCAGCCTGTCAGATACCACAAGAAGCTCACGCGAGCATCTTGTGCTATTCGACATCCACGCGCCCAGCCTGTCAGATACCACAAGTATATAGGTATCATAGGTGGGGTACAGCCAATTCCGGTTTACGTTTTGGATTAGAACCCCAAATCCCCAGTGAAAATGAAAAGTGGCAGTGCAGGGGGAATTGCTCGTGCACTGCTGAAATCCGGTTGCTCGAGGATGGAAGGCGACCCGGGGTCAAAATCGCCAAATCGCAGTGCAGGGGAAATTGCTCGTGCACTGATGAAATCCGGTTGTTCGACGCTGGAGGGCGACACACCGAGTAACCCTGCCAAGCCCAGAGCGCTGAACCGAGATGGATCCGAAACGAGATTCCCATTCGGAAATCGTCGGAGATCGTCGGAGATCGTCGGAGATCGTCGGAGATCGTCGGGCTGGCGGCGTGGCGTGGGGCGGTAGACTTGCAGTGCTTTGTGTGCAGGTCAGATGGAAGCGGTCTCTTCTTGCCGGCTCTGTAGAAGAAATGTCTCGCCCACTCGTCTGTGAATACTACACAAACCGCTCAGCATCTCGGAGAAACTCGACAAAAATCGTACTCGGACTGTAGCACGGTTTTAATGGTCCAGAAAATGCAGAAATGTTCGTACATGACGTCTGATCGGAACGACGTTGATACGACAGGCCCCTGCGGCAGACTCAACAGTATTCTGGTACATCCACTACAGGGCCGCAATGCAGCCAAAAACAGCCGTTTTAGGTACATGGGGTTGCGGGTCGACGGGTTCACCTTGGACTTCGCGGCGCTTGGTGAGCTGATTGGCTTGACTTCACGTTCGCGCGCGCCAACGCCCCTTTCCCTCTCCCACTCACTTCTCACGCACCCTTGACTCGGCACCGCCTGACCGCACCACGCCACAACTCGACGTCACATGCTTTCGCATCGTTTACATGTTCCATGCAATCTGCAAGATGCACCTCGATCCAACTACAGCTCGACGTGTCACCTCAACCCGACTGATTCGGCACGGTGCGACGTCGCACAAAATGGTTAACAGCAAGTCCAACGCTGCCATCTTCAACACGATACAACTAAAACTGCGACCTAAGAGGGCGCGGCCACTTTCAGCAGCGTGCTAGCTTACGTCGATGCATCGCTCGAGCGTACTCGGTCGGACACGTGCTCGGTCAGCGCATCGCCTCGATCACCCCGGTCGCCCTCTCGCCACTTGACCGATGAGTGTGGGTGAGCTCTTCATTCAGATAGTACCAAGCTCTCACTTCATTCGCTCACCTCGTGATCGTCTTTGCTGCTCATCACTCTAGTTCAGATCGCGCGTTGGCCGACCCGCTGGCAACCGAGCTTCGCACCGAACCGCTCTGTGACTTGTAGGACCATACTCTGCGCATCCCTCATCAGCACCATCGAAGAGGCGCTCAACTTTGCTGAGGTCTCGAATTGATTCTCGTCGCTCCAC